TTTTTCCCAACTTTCGGTTCCGATGACTCCTTGACGTATCTGAAATCTGACATGCGTCTGTACTACGGCTCCTTCGTCCTCGACCGCTGGGAAACGGATCATGACTTACTTGCTTGCCTACCAACCAAACTACCTGGCTCGTTACCTGGGTACACGTACATACCTACACCCGCACGCATATATACCTTGCCGGCTATAATACTGGGTAGTCGCTGCAAAGAAAACCTGCTTGGGAATATACGCAAACAACCAGGCAGGCGGAGTTTCATATATACGCTAGAAGGTGTACCGTACACACGTCTATCGGAAGCAGTACGCTTGCGCCACACGAGAACTTCACAACGGTCCATAAGTATATCGGGATGGGGCCATGCCATGGCTCCTTAGGGGGGGGGGGGGGGGGGCTGTGGAGAGGAAGGGAATAAGATCTACAGCGAAGCTAATATGATAGCATGCTACTGCACGCAAACGTAGCTGCCTACGACTTGCGAGAATATCCACGTCAGTCTGCTTCCCCTTAAGATACCTATTTTTCGGCACGTTAAGTTCTATATTATAGGTGTATACCTAGATATGAAAGGCAAGCCTAGTAACGGCAGTGACGGCAGCATTCAGAGACGACACGTAGCTCCCCCCCCCCCATACACCACCTCTAACCCCTACGGTGTGACTCGTGCCCGGGAGCTATCCCATCCCCAGCCTGTACCGTACCATCCGCGCCCTACATAATATCCCGTTCACGTACATCCCATGACGTATTAACCCACGAACCGGGGTCGAGAGAGGCAGCATCGCAGCCATCAGCATTCCTGCCCTCGGCGTCGGCGCCGGCACCAGCACATGTGGCCGGCCAATCGCCTACCCTTTCGGCAGGGCGGGAGAGTGACACAGAGAGACGGAGACAGAGAGAATACGCTTTGGGAGTGAGCGGTCTACGTGGACGAGCGGGACAGGGCTGGCAGGCGGCAAGAAAGGGGGATAGAGAGGGCGAGACAGGCAGACAGGGAGAGAGAAGGGGGAGAGGGCGAGACAGGCAAGGATCACAAGGTCAGTCAGCTCTTATGACACAATTGGCGTTATCCCCTCGAACCCGAGTAGTAAGACGAGTCCAGCAGAACGGGATCCGCCCAGGCGAGACCAACCCGAAAAGAAACGAAAAAGGCGCCCCAAAAACAGGTCGCCAACCCCCCCTTGCCCTCCCCCCTTGCCCACCGTTTCCCCCTTCCTTCTCCCCCATACTATGTATTGTGGCATGCCCTGCCGCGCGCCCTGTTGCCGTGCCGTACCGTAGCAAGGGAGACAGGTCCACAAGGCCCATTTATCAAACCATACCATACCCTCTCGGGGAATTTTCCTCCTGATTTGATTTTTTTATTTCCCTTAACCGACAGAGCCGGGAAGGGGGAGCCAGCGGAGGGGAGGGGAGAGTCACGACGTGTTTGTCGATGGCGTCTTGCCATCTCGGCCTTTGAACTGCTTTCATGGGGGGATCCTTCCAACCTGCTTACACACATGCCTACCCAGCTACCCAGCCCGGAGCGAACCTAGCGAACCCAGAAGCCGACCAGCTTGGCTAGCTACGTGTAGGTGCTACTGCCAACTATCCTACGTGCTGCCTGCTACCTACATCACCACCTGACTCCCTTCATGCTTCGGCACATACACATATTACGCCACGGACTTGATCGCTTGCTTGCCGGCCCGTGGCGAGGCGGAAGGGAAAGGGGGAAAAACGAGACAATGATACCGAAGAGGAGATGGATCCTCAAGAGTCCGAGACATCTACCCCCATTTGTGACCCCCTCCCACCCCCCCTCTCTCTTCATCTCCCCTGGGTGCTGTCGGCCGACATCCAATCAACCCGAACACGGAGTGGGCTCCGGTTGTTTTTGTTGCTTTTTTATTGTTGGGAACGGTTGGGGGGCGTGGGGAGAAGGCGGGATAGGCGTCATGTATGCGTATATGTACATACACACGTATGTCTTATGTATGTAGATAGGTACGTGTGCCTGTATTATCTGTCTGTACGTATAGACAGATGCCTAGTGCCTGACAATTTACTCGCTCGTTCGCTGTTTTATCTGCCTAGCGACAACCGGACCCCGGCGATGGACGGACAGGCGCACGGGGAAAGCGAGGGGAAACGAGGGGACGCGAGGGGACGAAGGAAACCAGAGAGGGCAGACGGGGGGACGAGGGGGGGAAGGGTGGGTGAGAAGACATCGTCGTCGCCGCCCATCATCGACCATTCCCGTGGCCTAGCCTACATATCTGCCCACCCACCTACATACGTGCTTACCTGCATGCCTATCTCGCAGCAGCGCCAGCGCCGAGGTGAACAACGAGAAGAAGGAAGAGAAGGAAAAGGAGAAGAAGCAGAGAAGGCGACGGAACCGCAAATGTGGACCGGTTCTGGAGCTGTACATCCTCGCGTTATCGCGAAGGCCGGGGGCCGGGGGCTCGGGCTCGCTTGCCTGCTTCTGACGTCTGTATGTCCATCTGTGTGTGCTAGCCTCTGCGTAACATGCGTGTTGTGCCCCCCTCCCCCGTCGTCCCCTTATCCCTACATATTCAATGTGAATTCTATTTTTGTTTCCTTTTGCTGGACTGGATTCTGCTGTTTCGGCGTAGCCTAGGCTGGCCTCTATGCGTGTGTGCGTGTACGTGCGCGCATACGAACATACACACCTATACCCGTGTATAATACGTCGGTGCGTACGTATATAGGGATAGTATGGGCCATATCTGCATCCCTGGCGTCCACACGTTCCATGTTCCCGCTGCTGCGAATGCTGGCACTGCTGCTGCGGGTGTTGGCGCTGCCTGTCTCTCTGCTGCGAACCGATTCCAACCAAGCCGAACCACGTCCCGCGACGCACTCTGGTAAGCGAACGCCGTGTAGGCGACAGAAGGCGGACCGGCCGCGGACCAGCAGAAGATCAGCAGCAGGAGGAGCAGAAGGAGCCGAAATAAGCAACACGCGGATAGGTGAATAAGTATGTAGGTGGGTGAAAAGAGACTGCTAGGAGAACGCTGCCCCGTCAGTCTGCATCGACAGCTCCCGGCCCTGTATCGAGAACGCTAGGGCAAGGTCGACGGGCACTCTGCATGCGCATGGCGGCGGGCAGACTTGGCGATGTCGCGTTGGAAGGACAGCGGGTCGGTTCAGTCAAGTGGAGAACGGGGGTGGAGGCGACTAGGGGGGAGAGTCAGGGGGGAGTCAGGGGGGCCAGCGTGTGTGGTGCAGTGCAGCGTGAATCGTTCCTGTCCTGTTCGGTCCTGCATAAGAGGAGGACAGCGTTGGCTGTCTTATTCGCCGCAATCTCGCTCCCAAGCAGACACCGCCATGCTGCCGCAATGCCACCAGTTCTCCCGCCGAGCGGGCTTTATTGGGCTTACGTGGAACGGGTGGGAGCGAAGAAGGAGAGAGCATGTGAGTCCGTGCTCGTCTGCGGCCCGGTCCCGCCCATGGTGTGCAAGAGAGAGCAGCATTACGAAGGACAATCGGATATGTGCGTCTCCATGTAGGTGTGTCCGCACACGTACATACATACATGCGCGTGTAGGTGAGGGAGGCGTGCGTGTACGAGCTCTCCCTTCTCGTAGGGTATCGCCAGCCCAGTTCACCGCGGCCAGGTTCGATATGAGGCTAGCAGGCTTGCCAGCAATAGCGTCGTAGGCTCCCAAACTCGAAGAATCGACGGATCGTGTGGAGCTAGAGGACCCGAATTGGGCATCGTTGCGCTGCGACGCGACGCTCTGGCCTGTTGTGTAACGGATGTCTCGCCCAGGATATGACCCGTGGCAGCTCGAGCGGCCATGGGGAATTGGCCAGATACACAGGCGTGAGTATGCAGCATACCTAGGTCAAGGTCGCGGACAACGCTGACAACGCTGACAACGACCACCTAGAGAAGCATACTGAAAGGGGCATAACTGAGAAGGAGGGGTAGGGGGGGAGGGAAGCTGGGAACTGGCTCAGCCAGGGCTACATTACTACCTGGCGGTCGGTCCACTCCATCAGCAGGGAATAACAGCTATGACTGTGGACGACGAATAGACGGGGGTAGGGCGAGCTTGTTTCCCTGGGTTGTCGGCGGGCGGGATGAACCCGTTGGAGGGCGTAAAGGGTGTTGACTTTGCGTTGTCGCTTAGGTTTGCTTTGCTTTGTTCGTCGACGCTCTAACCTCCGGAGGCGACGAAAACCCCTTGGGCTCGCCAGCCTCGCCTTGCTAGGCCCAGACCCTAGCTGGGAATGGCTGATTCCTATGACTATGCGAGTCGACCGAGTAGGGAAGAAATTACTTGAGCAGCACCGTGCCAAGCGATAGCAGCGTAGATTGCTCGGCGACCCCCCGGGATTCCCTAATCTCTGGTACTTGCGCGGTGAACGGACTTCTACCGCGCAGGCGTGGTTACTTCTGGCACGGCTTTCTCCATTGCTTTGATGATCCTTCGATCGTCGATGCAGGCACGTAATTCCTTGTGTCCAACCTGGCATCCGTTCATCACATATCACATTTTCGATATCTCATCTCCTCTGGGGGCCCAGCCTAGTGGAGCTGCTCCCCACGACGGGGTAGTCGTCTTACGTCGGACACTACTCTATCAGACCACCCTCAACAAAAGGGTACAGGCGCTGGGATAGAGGGTCAGGTCCGGCAGATGGTCCTCTACATAGCATCCGCTTCCTCTCAGTCTGTGCCGGGCCAAAGGGTATCATTTCTAAAAAAGACACGAGTCGTTCATCGACGTGCCCACTCCCAGACCGTTGGTACTGTCACGGAAGCTCCGCTGCGATGCACCGTTCCCTAATCCGGTCACCTCGACCGAGTGACCCCCACTCGCTTCCAATCTTCGCGCTCGCACCTGAGCGCACTCGAAGTCCGTCCGGGGGGAGGGATGATTAGGCATTATCTTACATTCCGCGATCGTGGGTTATACCCGTAGCATATGCGTGGGGATCACCTGATGATCGCCACATGGGCGGCTGGATCGGAATCTGCCAGACCGCATTTCACGACGCTGAGACGATGCCCGGTGTTCTCATGACCATCCAGGCCTCGGCAGATACCCCATCTCCTGATCAGTAAAGACTCAGGAAAACGGCAGCGATTGAGGACTTGTCGTACTTGACGTACTTGCCCTTGCCTTTATCAATTTCGTGATACCGATCCCAGAAGCGGTTGTAGAGAGGCTCGAGCATCTGCTGCATGTCCCTAGCGAACATCTGCCTTACTTCTCGCTCCATGCTGTAAGTCTTGTGCTTGGATACCAATTCGTCGAAACTCATGTTGAAGACCTGGAACTTGGCCTTGATGCTGTCTTTATCTTTGCTGCTGAGCCCCTTCAGAATCGAGGCGGATTCCGACGAGCCAGAGGGTGGCCGCTGGGTTCGGTTCGTGTGGATGACATCAAACAGGTGCATCGAGACGTCTTTGCAAGCTTCTGTGTAGAAAGCTTTCGCCTTCTTCCGCCAACTCTCTAAGCCGCCAAGCCTGCCTTCGAGCAGCGGTTTAAGGTCGGACTCGCGGATCATACGTTCGATAATGACAACGCTATTTGCCAGGAAGACACCCAGCAAGGACTTACCCTTGAGTAACGTCCTCGCCTTCTGCTCGAGCGCCGACATTAACGCATCGATCGTGTCAGTACAATAGTGCGCGAAAATCTCCTTGCCGTCTGCGCCAATATCGAACGATGCCAAGCTCGGAATGCCGTCCAGATTCGTGTTGGCAGCGGTGGCAGACCTCCAACCGCCATCACCCAGCGATATCATAATGCTGGAGATGGGACGGAGGAAGTCGACCATAGTCTGCAAGCGTTGTATCGTCTCGGAGATGATGGGCACCGGCGAACCATCTGGCGGGAGAGCTTGTAGGCCCCCGACCTTGCGCTTCGTGTCCTCTAGCAGCTCGGCAAGCGAGAGCTTGCCTGTCTCGCGCACAGGCTTCAGTGCCGAAGCCAAGGTAGTCTTGAGCTCCCCAGTGCGCTGCTCGATATTGTTGGACAGATTGGACATGATCTCGGTGACCTCGTATGCGAGGTAGCAGTCGGTGCTCAGGTGAGCCTTGATGTGATTGTTGAGTTCTCGAAGCGTCCGAGCCAATTCTGCCAGCGGGGCTTGACAGGTCATCTGGAAAGCCGGTCCCCAGTCCTGGCGCATGAATATGTTGCAGATGTTGTCGTATTCGGCCCCGAACAACCCCTCCATCGCTTGCGCATACATGCCGATCCCATTCGTCCCAGCCCGGTAGATGGCATCGGGACTCTTCTTCTTGGCCGTGTTTACGCTGGCATACGCGAGATTTACCAACGTCTGGGACAGATATTGGCCTCTCACATCGGCGTACATCTTGAGCAGCGGATTTTCGGACGAGGAATTGCCAGATGCGTAGGCATTCATCAAACTCAGGCGCGAGATTTGGTCTTGCGTTAATAGAGGAAAAGGCGTGTTTTTAGTGATGTAGTGAAGCGGCTCGATCGAACGCGGCGTCTCGGCCCGGAGCATCTTATCGAACGAGTTTTCCAGTTGAGTATTTCCTGACTTGATGAGACGTTGGAGATCAGCCATAGTCTGCTGGTTGGCGCGCAGATTCGAGGTCTTCATGTTCTCTAATGCCTTGTTTAATCGCTTTATGGAGTTGAGGTAATTGGAGAGGCCAGCCTTCTCGGGGCCCTGGCGGATAATGGCTTCCTCGTCATTCTTGGAGTCGGCGGGTTGACGGAGGCGCTCGATCGCAGCGATGACCGCGTCGATGTCTAGAGGCGTTTACGCAATTCAGCATGGGGCGGCGTCGGCAACAATGAGTAGAAGGACAACACGTACTATTCCCTAGCGTCTGCAGCTTCTGGGTTTCGCCGGTGAGCGGGCCGGAGACATCGCGCACACTCTTGCCCGTAGCCTCCAGTCTCCCAAGGCATACTTGGATTTTCTTGGTCAATTGGGTCGTCTTCTCGAGACGGGAGTTGAGCACGTCGACTTCGGCACGGGCTTCTTCGTCAGCAGCGTGGCGGGCGTTGTTCGAGAGCCCTACCGCCATGGTCGCGGCTCGCCGGCGGTATTAAGGCGGACTCGAGAAGGACAGATGCGCAACCCCAACTACTGCTCCCCAAAGCGTAACGGTCGCTGTACTTGTAGACGTTGGTGATTTCTGCTCAGGTGGGCAGGGTCGGGAAGGTTGCAGGAGCGGTTAGCTACCTGTTCGCTACGGAGAGGTAGCATGTAACGTGTATGTGGAAGTTGAGGGGGGGGAGGGCGAATACGACAAAACAGCCGCTTAAAGGAGGATGGGTGGCGCTTTTGTGGCTGAATTCGGCGGCGGCTCTAGTACCTCGATAGTCATCCCCGACAATTCTTGCCGTCCAAATCCGTTTCTGGTGCGGAGCCTGAGCCATCGCTGCTTTAACCTGAGCAGAAGGTGATCTGGTAGGTAGGTAAGTACGGTGATCAGCCTGAGGTACTGAAATGTTTGGCATGGGTTTAGGCCCCTGCTTACCTATGCCAGTGCACAGATGCACTTTGCTTAGCAATACTGGCCTGGCTCCTGGCTCCAGGCCCTACTCATAGGCATGCAAAAAGTCTTGGGCCATAACCTCGAGAACCTCTATCCCTAGGTCTAGTACTCTCCTTTGGGAGGGAGTGTTTATTCTCAGTTTTATCCACTCTTCAGCCCGAGAAGAGTGTATCAGCACGCGGACTCCATGAAGAAGATCAAGAGGATGATACGCTTGTAATCTTTGGAGAGGAAGAGGAATTCTCCGACCTCGCGACCGGAGTCCTATCTCAAGAGCATCGACACCGAATCCATGAGTCTAACACTTCCAAGCGGAGTACGTCACATCAATCTAGTCAGATTAGGGGGTCGAAATCATTGCCCAGTTCGGGCTCACGAACCTCGCCTCTAAATGTGCTGGGCCATCTCCCAGCAAAGGCATTATTAATGAGCGATGCCCGCATAACAGCATCATCGATTTTGATACTGCAAGGCTCATTGTCACAGCACGAAACACAAGACAATCTCCTCGGCTGAGACTAGATTGCCGCTGCGTTACATGCTCCTCCGAGCGTGAGATGAGAACTTTCATTTCAAGCCATGGCTTAGATGTTCAAGGCCAAAGCTCTACCTTCATGTGGAAAGGCTGCTCGCAGCCTTCTACCTACAATTCCACTGAATGTATTCACCATGTTTGGATTATGGTGTTCAAGACTCACTTTAAAAAGGTTGACTGTCGACCGGCCCGGGAAGAACTCGAATCTGCGGCTCGGAATCGTTGGGTGATTCCGCACAACTACAGTGTTGTAAGGCAACGCATGCTAGATATTTCCGTGGGAAACAGGCCTGGTTTAGATCTAGTGATCCTGGATACCGAGGACGGGGAGGTGCGGGACAGTGTACAGAATCCGCACAACCGCAATGCAGAGCTGACCCATCGCGACCAGACTAGCCAATTTGACGTTGGGTCTTTCAAATTTGCATCTATAACGTATGAATAATCAGATAAAGAAGTCTCAGCTATTGTTAAGTCTTAATTCTCTCTTTAACCCACTGCTCCAGACCAGCCTTTGCAATCTCCTGGACATTAGGCGGCACCTCGCCAACTTTTCGTTCCCATATCGATCCGTCCTTCTTAGTAACAATGACCTTAGAGCGGCGGACGTCCCAGAGGAGCTTCCAGCCAGTGCGGCGAGTCAGGGGCTTAGCAGGGTCATCCTTGAAGGTTTCACGAAGATGCCGCACTAAATCAGGCATCTCGATGCTCATAAGAGCATTGTTGATGCTGTTCCGGCTGAAAATATTGCTGAAGCTGCCAGCAATAACAAGAGGGATCTGCTTGGCTAAGATGGCTGTCGCTGCTTGCTCGCGGGAGCTGCCACAGCCAAAATTAAAGCCACTCACCAAAATATCGCCTATCTTGGCAATTGTTTGGAACTCAGGATCGTAGTTCTCCATACATACCCCAGCCATCTTCTCCCTGGAGACATCCTGGTAGGTATACTTGCCTTTGTACTTGTTAATAGGACTGATCAGGAAACAGGATTGAGAGTACTCACCAGGATAGATACCATCAGTATTGATGTTATCATTATCGCAGAAAATGATCTCCCCCTCAACCATATCCGGGAAGCCGGGAAGGATTTCAGTCAAGGTTTCCTCGTTAGAAGCACTAGGCTGGGATTGCTGCTCAGTAGCATCCTCAGCGCCCTCAGCGCCCTCGGCGCCTTCAGCAGCAGCAACCATGCCCTCGATATCATTGATAAGCTTGTCAAAGGCATTTTCAAAAGAGCGAGTCTGATCAACGATATGATCGCCACTCCCCTCGCCAATGATCACTTTTTCTACGCCCTCGGGCTTCTGGTACCAGCCAGGACCCGCAATCTTGCCCCGAATAGCACTGGCAGCAACAATTTCAGGGCTGGCAAGGTAGGCTAAAGCCGCTGTTGATCCCATGCGGCCTTTGAAGTTACGATTCGAGCTGCTAATGCAAGTTTCACCGTCCTCAAGAATCCCAGGGCCGAGTCCGATGCAAGGGCCACACCCTGAGATTAGAGGCTGAGCACCAGCGTCCAATAGAATTTGCCAGTCGCCTGCCTCCTCGGCGGTCCGTTGTTCAGCAAGGGAAGCTGCAGCGAGATAAAACTTGACACCTGAGGCAACCTTAGCAGCCTTACCATCTGCTCCGGCTTCAAGGAAAACCCTAGCCGCTCTCCTAATATCTGAAGCTCGGGCGTTGGTGCAGCTAATCAGAAAACATTTGTTTATAGCAATGCCTTCAGCCTCGAGCTTTGTAATTGGTGTAATAATCCTAACCGAATTAGGACCAGCAACCATTGGTGATAAAGTGGATAGGTTCAGGTAGAGTTCTTTAGCATATATCGCACCGGAATCAGCAGTGAGCCGATTCTCCAGGAGTTTGTCGATTCGCTCATGGTTGATGCGCTCTTTAGTGGAACTATTGAGCATAGCGGCAGTGGACGCCTTAGCACGGTACCAGGAGATAAGCACATCATCGACAGGGAAAAGCCCTATGGGATGCGTAAGAAGTCGGAACGGGGTGATCGGTTGTATTCGGCTTACCACTTAAGGCTCCCCACTCCGTCGTCATGTTGCTTACGCAAAGGCGGTCGTCCACTGGTATACTTGCTAAAGTCTGTTCAGAGCCGGCAAACTCGATGCAGTGGTTGAGAGCCTCATCTTTGTTGAAGAGGCCGCAGAGAGCAACTAATCGCATTTAGTATGTATACGGTACTTCTTCACCTCAACTGATCAGATCAAAAACCTACCAATGATATCTTTGCCAGAAACGCCAATAGGAAGGACACCAGTAAGATTCACCTTAATGACAGGCGGGACTTGCCACCACGTCGTTCTGAAATGGAGTGTTAGCATGGCTATCCGCTGCTGGGTCATGTAGAAGCTGCCCAACCCACCCAGTAGCCCAGATGGATGCCGCGTCCGACCTTACAACAGGAGTTCCCTTAGGGTGTCAGCATTTGCTTAGTCAAAAGCCGGACATGCTTCAGCCTATGACTGAACCTGCGTCGGCGAGAGCGAGGGAGGGTACGAACGAGACTTCCTACAGCGCCGTACATATTGGAATGACTATCACTCGCAACAGTGACTGCTCCTGGCCACGAAAATCCCTCTTCGATAACTCGCTGATGACCTATCCCTTGTCCTTTTCCAGAAAAGAAGCAGCCGTGTTTGTGGGCAAACTCTTCAAGCAGACGATATTTAGTAAGATTAGACTCAGATTCGTTACTAACGTCATGATCCAAGGTCATGACAACCTGTCGACTATCATGGATCTTAGAGGCTCCAATTTCCGTAAACTTCTTGAGGACTGGCCAACCATTATCGTGTGTCATAATGCATTTCGGCCGTAGCGTGACGAAATCTCCTTGCCTGACTTTCTTGCCAGGGGCGAGGCCGACGGCGTGCCGCTGAACAATCTTCTCGGTGATAGTCTGAGGGGTAACCACAGACTTCTCGGAGGGTATGAAAGATGCATTGGCGGCGTTTTCGAGTTGCGAGGGAAAAGCGTCGAACTGTTGTCGTCGAAATGAGGTGTTGCTGGAGGCGCGAGACTGCGACAGAGCCGAGTACAGTGACCCGGGGCGGCCACCGACAGTCCGGGAGTAGCAGAACAGCGCATTACGAGCAACGGCTCTCCACTGCAAGTGAGGTACAATTCGCTGTGTCATATTAGTAAAGTGTCTTTGAGCTAGCTGCGGGCTTATGAAGGAGCCGAATTGCCAATAGAGGAACATACCATAGAAGCCATAATGCAGGGTGCGTAACAAGCAAGGAAGCAAAATTTTTACATGGATGCGAATGAGTCGTAGAGTTTGCACGTGCAAGGTCTAGGCGTGTTACGTCAGCAATGCACATTACATAACCTAACACCTCAAAGGGTTTTTGACCTTTAAACCTATTTCCCATGGCGGAGGCAGCAGGAGCAATTCGGCACCTTCGCGACATGCACTATGTAGAGGCTGAGCTTGGTGCTAGGAGCCAGGCTTATAAGCTGACTTGAGCTCGCCCCCGCGCCCCTGGATCCTTAACTACTCCGTATAGCGATGGTTGCATATAGTTAAATAGATATAGAGCAATGACAAGGCGATATTAGCTATAAATAGACAGGTTTGTACATATTCTAGTAGAGGGGGTGGGTAAGGTGATCAAAAGTCTGAGCAAGGGTGATGAAAGTCTGAGCAAGAGCGGCGTTGCCTGACTAACCAGGCTAGGATGCGGGTTACCCAGTTTTCGTGGAAGACTACCTAAGCAACACACTAAAAGCAGCAACTTATTAAGGCGCGGCACCCACCTCATCCATATCTCCTGTTACAAGTTGCAGCTCAAGTGTAGCTCGTTGAAACATGCACACCTTCCCGGTTCTCCCCGTCCGAAGTGCGAGGTAAAGAATAAAGGCGGTTCGCGAGGTAAAGCTGAGGCCGGTTACCGATTCGTTGAGATGGGGTGCCAGGCTCCCTTAACTACCTACCTGTATTTGCTATAAGTCGGTTCCTTACCGCTATGTGCATATACCCCCTGGACCAGGTATAGGTACGATGAGGAAATGCCTACATGACCAACATAACCGCCTGGGTATTGCATAAACTGCACTTTCCCCCCTTTTGCAAGATGCATGTATACCGCAGATCTAGGTCTTGATTCTCTACATTGCCTCCGTATACAAGTCTCCATATTTGGAAGTGAATATATAACTGCTATGCTATGCTATATACTGCCCTAAAATAGAGAGGCACTTAGAAGGTGCTTAAGGCGTCTGCCGGGAAAGCGATAAGCTTATCTAATCAGAGACACCGGAGGTTGTCGGGAAACTACCTAGGTACTTGCCGGGAATGAAGTTGGCAGCTGCAACCACTTTAAGACGCGTGTCGCGACAAGCGCGTCTGCGGGCGCGCCCACAAACGCGACGTGCATTTTTTTGGATTCCCATTTTCGTCCACAACCTCCCACCCCACCTATCCATATCGCCCGACATCCCCTTCAGGAACAATTTCAAGGTCATATTAAACAACTGCGCCGTCCTCAACTGATTATCCATAGCCCCGCTACGCGGATACTTCCAGTCTGACTGTTGAGGTTTCCTACGAAGAAAGAGTATTAAAAACCCCAGGTTTGCGAAATCCGCACCATGGACGGTCTTATACTGCAAGATGAGGCGACCAAGGAGCGCATTCGCTTAGCCGAAGAGTTCCTCGACCCCCGTAAGTTTACCAAGAAGCCGCGGTGGCGGCTAGCGCCTGAGGGAGAGCTGACGGAATCTCGGTGATTTAGATGATCAACATGCGAGGAGCTACCGATCCGACATCATCGTGATGATACAAAAAAACCAGAGACGACTCGTAGTGAACCTCGACCACGTCCGCGATCACAACCCAGAATTGGCAGACGGCCTGCTGTTCGACCCCTTCGACTTTACTCTAGCATTTAATCATGCGCTCAAGGAGATCGTCAAGACCATCCCACAGGCACGCCCTGACCAGACCGATCAAGATGTCCTGTACTACTGCGCCTGGGCGGGCAGTTTCGGCCTAAACGCCTGCAACCCGAGAACCCTGTCATCGAGTCACTTGAACCATATGGTGTCGATCGAAGGTATTGTCACTCGGTGTTCTCTTATCCGGCCGAAAGTTGTCAAGAGCGTACACTACAACGAGAGGAAGAACATCTTCCACTTCCGCGAGTATCGTGACCAGACCATGACCAACGGCGTGACCACGTCAAGCGTCTATCCGCAAGAAGACGAAGAAGGAAACCCGCTCCTCACAGAGTACGGATTTTGCACCTACCGAGATCACCAGACCATCTCGATACAGGAAATGCCCGAGAGAGCCCCCGCCGGTCAGCTCCCCCGCGGCGTCGATGTCATTCTCGACGACGACTTGGTGGACAGGGTGAAGCCCGGCGACAGAGTCCAGCTAGTCGGTATCTTCCGGACCCTGGGGAACCGCAATACGAATCACAACAGCGCGCTATTCAAGACGATAATACTGGCAAACAATGTCGTCTTGCTCTCGTCCAAAGCCAGCGGAGGCGTCGCAACAGCAACCATCACTGATACCGATATTCGCAACATCAACAGGGTCGCCAAGAAGAAGAACCTCTTCGAGCTTCTATCCCAGTCGCTAGCGCCTAGCATCTTCGGCCACGACTACATCAAGAAGGCGATCCTGCTCATGCTTCTCGGCGGCATGGAGAAGAATCTAGAGAACGGCACACATCTTCGAGGAGACATCAATATCCTTATGGTTGGTGACCCTTCGACGGCGAAATCCCAACTTCTACGGTTCGTTCTGAATACAGCACCGTTAGCCATTGCTACCACCGGTCGCGGCTCTTCGGGCGTCGGTTTGACGGCCGCTGTCACATCCGACAAGGAGACGGGCGAGAGGAGGCTCGAGGCAGGCGCTATGGTGATGGCCGACAGGGGCGTGGTATGTATCGACGAGTTCGACAAGATGTCGGATATCGACAGAGTCGCCATCCACGAAGTCATGGAACAGCAGACCGTCACTATCGCCAAGGCCGGCATCCATACGTCGCTGAACGCCCGCTGCAGCGTCATCGCAGCCGCCAACCCCATCTTCGGCCAATACGACACCCACAAGGATCCGCACAAGAACATCGCCCTCCCCGACTCCCTCCTCTCGCGTTTCGATCTCCTATTCGTCGTCACCGACGACATCGAGGACACCCGCGACCGCCGAGTCTCCGAGCACGTCCTGCGCATGCACCGCTACCGGCAACCCGGCACCGACGAGGGCGCCCCGGTTCGCGAGAACGCCCAGCAGGCCCTCAACGTCGCGCTGCAGAGCCACGACGCGACGCAGCAGCCTACGGAGGTGTACGAGAAGTACGACGCGATGCTGCACGCCGGCGTGACCATAACCTCGGGCCGCGGCGCCAACCGGCGCCGCGAGGTGCTGAGCATCCCGTTCATGAAGAAGTACATCCAGTACGCCAAGACGAGGGTGCGGCCGGTCCTGACCCAGGACGCGTCGGAGCGCATCGCCGAGATCTACGTCGGCCTCCGCAACGACGAGATGGAGGGTAACCAGCGGAGGACGTCGCCGCTGACGGTCCGCACCCTGGAGACGCTGATCCGTCTCGCCACGGCCCACGCCAAGTCGCGCCTCTCGAGCCGGGTCGAGGAGCGCGACGCGCTCGCGGCCGAGGGCATCCTGCGCTTTGCCCTGTTCAAGGAGGTCGTCGAGGACGAGTCGCGCAAGAAGCGCCGGCGCACGCGGCCGGTCGAGTCGGACGAGTCGGACTCGAGCGACGACGACGGCGGCGACGGCGGCGACAGCGCCTACCGGGGGTCTGCGGCGCGCGGCAAGACGGCCCCCTCGACGCGGCAGACGGCACGCCGGCAGCCGTCGACGAACGGCAGCCGCAACGCGGCGGGCGCCTCGCCCGCGCCGCGGGACGAGGACGGCGACGAGGAGCTCTACGACGCGACGCCGCGGCGGTCGAACCGGGTGGTGGGCGGCGGTGGGGTGGCGGCGTCGTCGTCGAACGCGCCGACGACGTCGCAGATCTCGTTCGCGTCGTCGCTGCCGGCGTCGCAGCTCGAGACGCAGGAGGAGACGCAGGAGGAGATGCAGGGCGAGTGGGAGGAGGAGGACGCGACGCTCGCGACCGGGACGGCCGCGCTCTACCTCGACGCGCCCATCACGGTGGAGCGGCTCGCGACGTTCCGGTCCGCGCTCGGGCAGCTGCTCAACTCGGACCTGTTCGACGACGACTCGGCCAACGTCGCCGAGGTCATCGAGGCGGTGAACCTGCGGGTCCGCGCCGCCGGCGCGCCACCCTTCCCGCAGGAAGAGGCGATCAAGGCGCTCAAGCAGATGGACGACGCGAACCAGATCATGTAAGTGCTCAGACTCTAACTCTACCCGAACCTTGCTATTTACCCCCCCCCCCCTTGCCCCCCTCCTCCTTGGCTCAAAATTAGACGACACCAACCGATGTCCCTTTCTTTTCTTTTTCTACGGCTGACTCAATAAAACACAGGTACACAGAGGGGAATCTAGTTTACAAGATCTAGGGAAAAGAAGAGAGAGAGCGAGAGTTAGTCGACGAACCAAGCAATGACGAAATCAACCAAGCAACTGCGCAATGACGACGGCATACGAACTACGACACAAGATAACAAAGCAAAGGCGTTTTCTTCCTCGAGGCGTACGAGGCGGAGAGATCGAGGGTCCCGAGAATTTGTGAGCCGTTCGGGGAGGAGGTCTTTCGACAGCCACAGGACATAAAGTAGCAGGAGAGCGCGTCGATGAAACGAAGATAGACGTACCTAGTAATGTGAACCACAGATGACACATTCCGCCAGGAGACCCTGGAGTAGAGTCGGGGGGTGACGTGATCAATGAGTGTAGGTGGTAGTGCTGCTGGGTGTTCAGTGCCGCCCGAGTCTCGACGCTCCGACAAGTAGAAAGCTACTTAATCGATTGTGTATTCGACCGAATGGGCATTCCCAGCCCTGATTCTAGCTATACTCGGAGATACCGCACAACCCAGATGGGGGAGCTCGCCAGCCGAGGTCACTCTACGCGGGACTGGACGGTGTAAAAAACCGCAGGCTGGTATTTTGGAGTCCTGAACGATATAGAGTTACCTATCTCTAGATACCAAGCCGAGTCGGGAACCCAAGGCCCCAAACCACCTTTTTTCCACCAAAGACACGACAATGTCTAGTCCGCGTCGACCCGGTAAAATATGCTGATAGGCCCTGCCTTCTCCTCTCCCGTAGGGAGATACTCATATACACACAAGAATCAAGATAGATAGTGAATGCCAACATGAACAAGACAAGACACAAGATGGAAACAATCCGGAATCCACACACACACACGTACACACACAATGTTCTCTCTCTCTCTCTCTCTCTCTCTCTCTCGCACACACATCGTAGTAACCTCTAGTTCAGTGAGAAAGTAAAAATCGATGACAAGAATTAGGTTACCTGACGCAACATCCAGTGCTCCCCCTACCCCCTTCCTCCAACAGTAAGCGTAGACCGTTAACTAGGCAGACACCACGAGCCATCCGTGATCATGGGCGATGACACCAACAATAACAAGCCCCCTGCGACCAAGTGAAGCCACACGTGGTCTTGCTCCCCTTTCATCCGTCCTTCCATGCCAGCTACAAGCGCGTATGGTATGGTATAGGTTGAAACAACGGAAAAGCGGTGGGTAAGGGAAGGGAGGGGAGGAAGACGAGGGGCGAAGGCGATATGAGGAGGAAATGGGGGTATTATGGTAGCCGTGTCCTAGCCGCGAGGCATGCCGGCGATCGTATGAGACAGGGAAGGAAAAAAAAAGCAGACAAGGGGCTGCAAGTGCAGGGCGTCTTGCCGAACGCCCAGTCACACTCGGGTATCTGTGCGAAATCCGGTTAGTCGTACACTCCGTCCAGCGGGGAGGCTGAGCCGGGCTTCCCCGAGAGCGGACAATGGCAGCACACTCCGCCATCAAGAACATAGAAAATAGGGTGGTACGTTCGGTGCGGATGCATCCGTGTGTGTACCAGCAGACTACCGTCGAGCACTAGGTGCCCTCGTTGCCCTCCAACTTCGAGACCCATTTGTTCATGGTCGCGTACTTCTCCTCGAACGTCTTCTCGAACTTCTGGCAGTTAGCCCATATCGGCGAGTCCTCGGTATGGTAGATGTAGCAGTTCGCGAAGATCTGGCGCATGTCAGACGCAAATTCCTCGTGGCTGCTGTACTCGCGGTTGTTCATCTTGTCCTTGATCGTGTTCAGGTCCATCGGCTTCTTGATCTTGTCATGGTAATCGGGGACTCCATCCTCGACGGGTCTCACCGGGTAGCGGAACGGGCCCACCAGACGAGTCCAGAAGCCTATGTGTATGCATTCTTAGCATGGGGGGAGGGGCGAGGAGCGAGTGAAACGAGACGCAACTAGGGAGACGGATGTGATTAGAGGGAAGGCTGGCTTACCAGGGCCGGAAAGCATCTTAACAAGTAGGTCGGCGCAGAAATTCAACCTATGATCTGACGAATATTGCTTCTCTTCGAGCGAGCCGAGGCTTGTCCTCTTTGCTTTAGTCGGCTTAGCTGTGGGAGACGTACCGGACTTCTTAGAGGTAGCCCTTCTCTCGGTGGAGTTGACTTTATGGGACTTGGGCATCTTTACGCGAGGCTCGTCGTCACTTCCATCACCTTCTAGATAATGAACATTCTTGCGCTGGGTCTGACTCGCCGGAGACGTGGCAGCGTTAACCTGGATTACGGGAGAGGAGTTCATGTGACTCATGGCGATCACCAACTCACTCAGCACTTCCTGAGGAAGAGACTTGGTAAACTCCTGCTTGCATTCGGAGGAACGAATATATTCCTGGGCCCAGTCGAGGATGAGCTGGCGCATCGAGGAGCCCTCGGGGCTCTGCTTCCACGCCTTGACAAGGGTTGGCGTGGCCGGGATGTGATGTGTGATACGTCGGCACTCAGCCATAGCCTCGAGAGTCTCGTCACAGAGCCCATCAATTCCCAGCTCCCTCCCGAGCTTCCACGTCTCTATTAACGCATCGTATCCAGGGGTCGGCTCCTCGCTAGTGAAGAGCTTGCCGGTGTACATGAAGTTCTGGGCATAGCCGAAAACCTCCTCGGTGGTGTTGGGGAGATAGAATAGATTCTCGAGTTTTTCCTTCTTCTCCTGGGAAAATTCCGAGCGGAAAAAACTTGACTTGGAACAGAGGAAGTCCATGTGAATTCCGAATGGGCTCTCCTTCTGGCCAACGAAAATCATGACAAATACAGCATGTGGATCCCTTTCAGGTAGGTTAGCAGCCAACAAACCACGTGATAAATCCGGGTCTACTTACTTCCAGGAGAAGGCAGGAGGAGCCGTGGTGGTTTCGGCCTCGATCGGCGCCCCGTTCGGCGCCTCGTTCGCTTCCGTCTGAGTGGCCATGGCCAGGTTGGCGGCCTAGGGTAACGGACGAACGTCAGACGCAGAAGTCGAGCGATGAGTTTCCTCTGGACAAACTTCCTGAGGAGCGGGGAGAGTGTAGATACAAGCAAGGGCAGGAGGGAGAAGAATGACCCCAGGTATGAAATAGCTGCGCAATACGTTGACCGGAATGAAGTGGTCACCGTACAGCGAGATGCAACGAGGTGGCCGTAGTGTGAGAAGAGGCCGATGTAAGAGGACGAAGGAGCAGAACCCAGACAGCAGCTCTAGTTATATACAGTGGTTGGACCTAGAGACGATATGTTGGCGGGTTGATATACTCCGTAGCTTGGTTGGCTTGGTGATGATGACAAGCGATAAAGGACGAAAAGGGGGCGACTTGCTGAGGCCGCAGGTCGGCGAATCGAAATACCAGCAGGAGTAAATAAATGCATGTGCTTGCGCAAACGCAAAGCCCCCCAAAACGTATGCCGATTCAACAATGCTCACCTTGTGAATTGCCGTCTGTCTCCCGGGACACCACTGGGCAGGGCGGAAGTGAATTCTCCTTATCTTCAGGAAGAGAGGCTGCCCTGCGTAGTCTGGAGACGGAGACGGACCATACCTATAGCTGTCGCCGCCGAGATGAGAAACCCCAAGCCTCTATTCACCGGAATAAGTGACTTGGGTGGTGAAAGGAGCGAGGGCCTCTTGCCCAGGCGAGGAGATGGGCAAATTTAAGAATGCAAAGGCGAGTTGCGTGAATAAATGCGTCGGCGTTGTCGAGATCGAAGGTCGAAGGTACAAAGGTGCCCCAGCCACGGGTCTGCAGAGGAAGCCACGCCGGAGCTCAATCTCATCAACCGTGACTGCCCACGCTGCACTTCACCTCAGTGGGCGGATAAAGGCATAAGACAGCTCCCCTGCGATGTCGACATGAAGCCTGATGAGCGAAACCGGGGTCCCTTATCAGAAAGAATGAGCTGGAGGTGTCGCTGGTCGCGATGACGGACAGCACGATGACCGGCGATGAAAATGAATTGACGCCGTTCCTTGGCGGTTGAGAATGAACGCTGTCTGGGCATGAGGCGGATCGAGTTGTAAAAAGTAGACGATGGAACCAGCGCGCCTCACTCACTACCAACGACGCTAAACGCACCAGCCACAGCTACACAGCCACCACAAGTCTAACAACCCGTTCTGGATGCACATCCCACACTTTTTCCATCCTGCAGCCTGTCTCTCTATCAACACCACCTCTTCGTCGACTCGAGATGCTCACGAACAGGCCTTCACCTCTGCGTTTCCACGGCGTGGCTCAGCCATCGAATGCATGCCAATACACGTAGGTAAGCCCGTACACGCGGTTACACGGTCCTTGTCCGCCCCAGGACAGGCGGCAGCGCCACGATACCTAGCAATCACCTTGGGCGTCCCCATTCTCAGCGGGGGGCATCAGCCATCGGATAGGGAGCTGCCTCCTCACGTCGGATAAAGAACGGCGGCGGCGCGTACGACCTAGAGCCAGCACTTTCTCCTCCCATCTACCTGTCTCCCTGCCTCTCTACAGTAGGTAGGTAGGTATTGTACCTAGCACGCGCCTCCGCGTCTGAGAGCAACGCTCTCACGCTTCGGCCGCCGAAGCGACGGCAACAAAATGCCGTACCTACATATGCAGGCAGCAGCATCGTCCCAATCCGCAAACCCATAAACTGCCATCCCGCCCCCCTCCCCCCTCTCAGCGCACATGGCTACCCACCTACACCTACCTACTCGCCTACGTCAGCCCCGCACGCGCTCGCCGACGGGTCGCGAAAGCCCCCGAAGGTCGACGTGCGTCGGGCAGGGCAGGACGCGCCCCCCCCCCCCCCCCCCCCCCCCGCGGCCGTCGACATTGGGCTGGCGCGCTTCCGTGGCCGGCTGGGCGCAGAGCGCATATCCCGCGCCGCCGCCACTGCCCTCGTCGTAAGTCCGGGCCGGCCCCCCCTGCGCCTAGGGCGGGAGGCGGAGAGGCATGAGGGGATGGCTGTGAGGGGAGGAGGGGGCAAGAGAGATGGGTGGTGCAGGTGCGCGCGGTATGGCCGGATGCTCCGGCCAGAAGAGCAGGGGGTGCATGCCCGAGGAGGCTGAAACCGCGCATGGCGGCATATGCGTGGCGCTTCGCGGCCGCCCCTCGACGGCCGGGTTTCGACGGAGGGAGGACGGCGAGGGCTGCAGGGCGGCGACTCGGACCCGGACAGCAGAGGTGAGACGGGCTCGGGGCGAGTTTAGGCTCCGCTCACCTCGGCGGCCCCCAAAGCGCCTTACTTGCTCACGTAAAGCTGTGAATAAAGACGGCTCCTACGCGGCATGCGAATGTGGGTGGGCAGGTTCACGCCGGTTAAACTAGCCGCGGAGGAATTACCAACTCAGTATCTGTAGCATTTCTCTTATACTCAGACTACGTATCGCACAGTATCCAGTTGCAGAGTTCTACCTGGTAGGGCTGTCTCTACCCCCCAACCTCTGCTATCAACCGACTCCCGGACCCATCCCCAAACTGGTGTTGGGCATACGCATATACCCGCTCCGCAGAAAATCTTTTCCCCCGACGCTCACTGGGATCGCCCCATATGGAGAGTGTGGGATGTTTCTTATATGGGGGAGCAACCCGGCATGTTGTCGCCCGTAGAATGGGGGGCAGAGAGGGTGGGAGGCCGCGCCCGTCATCCAACGAGAAGAGCCGTAGCCAAACATGTGCGGGTGTACGTATATGTGTGTGTATGTGTGCCTGTATACAACATTCGCTCGTTCTCACATGTGCGGTCGATGCCCACCGCGCGTCTCTATCGCCGTCCGGGTGGGATATGGCATGTTACCAACACTGTTCCTAACCTCGTAGCCTTCGGCACTTTCGAGCGGCAGTGGCATACTCGCACGTATTCGCCCATCCCCCACGCGCTCCCGCGCCAGGAGCTCGCTGTCCGCACCAACAACCTAGACACGCGGGTCGGTGGTGTGTGCCCGCCTTCCAGCCTGTTTGCTCCAGCATGCGAATGATAATCGGAATCATGCGACTGGCAATTTTCCACTCGTGGACTCATCCCGCGAGAGTCCCGCGATGGCCGGTGACTGCGGGAGCATGTGAATGCTCCATCATGCCACTTACTCTACCTGTCCCTTAAAGGCGTCCGCGATGGGCGAGAGGGGGGAGAGGGGGAGGGGCAGTGGATGAAACCAGGGAAAAAGAAGACTCGTAAATGAGATGTGATTGCTCTGGAAAACGGAACGGCCGTAGTCGAGGTTGTACGGAACGGCGCTTTCAATCGAAAATCGCGATGATAGGTCACGTACCGATCCAGACATCGGTACCTAAAAGGCCAATGTCTGCCCGACGGGGTGCGAAAAGACCGCCGGAGCATCGAGGAACGTCCTGCTGTATCGAGAAAGCTTACTACACGTACGTACGTGGTAATTGGAGACGGCAGTATCGCAGTGCCGCCAGGCGTGCGGAACGTTACAGAGACCCGGGAGGATGCGTAGATCTGATGTGCCCATGAATAATCTCGAGCGAACGAGCTGTCCGTCCTGAGGTGGCCTTGCTGTGGTTTATTCCTGCCCGACCGCGACTCGACTCGACCGTGGGATCGTCACCGGTATGAGGCGGTGGTCCTATATCGGGCGTTATGCTACGCGTCCTACCGAAGGAAACCCTCCCCAAGGGAACCCTCCCCAGCGAACACATCTCCAAGAGCCAAGACCTTACGCGGTTACGGGCGGGAGAAATAGGTTGGAAGCAACCGAGCCGGTAAGACTTGAGCCGGGGCCGGGGGGGAGGGAGGAGGGGGGGAAAGGTGGGAGAGGATCATGACAAACAAACCGTACGAGTTTCATTAACCAAGACATAGATAGATAGATACCATCATGGAGGCGCGAAATGATAGGTACGTGCTCCTCGCTCGCGTTGAAGAGGGAGGACGACCAGAGGGAAACACCAAGGGATCACGGCAAATTATCCCGAGGGTTGTGGAAGGACATCCCGCACCCGCAGACCGGTGAGCGTGTTGCTAAGCAGGCCGGCCTGCAGGTAATGCGTCCCCGGTTGCATTCCCGCTGCAGGTTATTGTCGTGGAACCAGGTTCGCCTGTTAAGCACGTCGCAGCAAGCACACTCTACGAGAGGGAGGGGGGGCCCGTCTCCGCAGGCATACACACGCACTCTCTCACTCTCTCTGTCCCTCTCCCTTTCTTACACGCAAAGCCGCGAAAATCTAGCCAAGGCCTCGAATGATCGACAAGCCCTGCCGAAGGTGAGTACGGAGCGGTGCAGTGCCGGGGAGTGGGTTCGCCCGTCGGATACGTAGTAATTATATCTTCTAGCGCTCGGGGTGCCGGTATGCTCATTCGAAGAATACACCCATTCGGGGATCGAACAGCTCACGGTAAAAGACGTCTGACCGCCGGTTCGCCTTCGGAATTTTGTATGTGTGCTCGTCGACCCTACCTGCCTACCTACCTACTCATCTCCTTATCTACCTGCCGATTCGTCGTTATCCGCCGCCCACCCCTCTGGAGATATTCTGCACAGATCTTCCGTGCGGCTGAAGTCTGACCGCGGTTCTAGCCGCCATGCCAATACCACCGCCGGCCGAGCGGGTTACAGTAGCTCGCGCAGTATCGTAGTGGCAAGCTAGGGACCCGGGTGTGATCTCGGCGGTAGTTGATGTCCTAGGTGGCAATGGAGCGGTCGGCAGGGCAAGATAACTCAGAACGCTGGGAGGAAAGGAATGGCCCGGATTCTCAGGCCATTCTTCTCGGACAGTGTGCGATAGAGTGCGGGGCGTCGTTCGATAGGGGCCCCCAAGCGGCAGGATCCCATATGGAGCTGCAGTGATGCGATGCAACGGTCCTTGGCCAGTGCTGCTGCCGCAACCGGCTAAAGATCCGTTCCTGGGGGACCCTGAGGAAATCGAACGGTCGGCCATCGCCTTTGCAGGGTCGACGTCGCTGCACGGCCGTTTCATCTCGGAGGGCATCTATCTCGTCAGGGAGAACGGCCTAAAAGCGACCAGAGGCAATCAATAGACCCGGCCTACGAGTTATCGGCATGCTAGCGTAACTCGGCGGTACTAGGAGAGGTGTGCCCCTATCAATGAGAAAGCGATGCTCGATCTAGGGACATCATCATCTTGCAAGTACAACCATACCAATCCTACTGCGGGGGACTATTGTCAGCAAGTGAAAATTTTGACACAGTACCGACCCGTATCACATTAGGTATATACCTTTCACTGACCAAGGTCTCGCTCGGCAGCTTCGAGCGCGATGACAGACTAGCCTACGACACAATAGAATTGGACCGTGAAGGGCCGAGATGTGGAGTGGCGGTGGCCGACACCAAACTCGAGCGGCCAGGCATTATAAGGAGCCGATATTTGGCCGACTGGAATAGCTCCTCGACGATGTCGAGCCTTAGTGGAGCCTCATATCCCCCTGCCTGTGTGGACTTAGAGAGCGTGCGCGTCTCGTAGTCGTGATAGGCCAGGCCGTGTGAGACCCGCAACTGTCGGTCAGCCGTAGACGCTTCCATCGTCTCCGGCAAGACCCGAGGCCGAGTGTGCCATCCTCCCTTACAGCGATTGGGCATCCAAAGCCTCGTCAGTTGGGACCTCGTCGTCCTGTGCCTGCCCCAGAAGGATATCCTCGCTGCCTTGCCATTGGGGTGGCATCCTTGGCATTTCCAACTCGTCATCTTCCTCCCAGCCGTAGTCTTCGCCCTCGCTGTCGGCAACCTCAAAATCCGTATTGCCTAGTTTTCGCTTCGGACCGGGACTGGGAGACAAGGGTAAGGATACTTGGCTCCCGTCCGAGTTGGCGCTGACGAGACCGCCCTGCGCGAGTCAGCATTACTGGCCGGCCCGAGAATTCAGACCTTTTGACGTACCGCCTGAATATTGAAGGCGAAAACTTGGCTGATGCCTCCCTTACCACTCAGTTTCTGGATGCCAACAAAGTGAGAATCGTGGACTTTACCCCCTTCCATCGTCCAGTCTCGAAAGAGAACTAATCGGGTAGCGATCCCTTGGTCCCAAGAACCTGCATTAATGGCAGGGGTGAGCGTGGCACCGTGGTCGAGTTGCATCTTCGTCACGCATTGCGACAAGATAACGACGCAAAGATCTCTGGCGGCCGCGAGCTTCTGGAGTGTCGAGATTACGAACTGTAGGACCTGTAGTCGCCTAGCCGACGGTCCTGGGCCTGTCCACGATGACGGGTCAACAACCATGGGACGTTGTGTGGGTGCGGTTACGGGATACTACCTTTCTGAGCGTGCCGCGGTTCGAAATTCCGGGGAAAGGCGTAATTCACTAAGCTAGACAGCGTATCAACCACGACGAGCGAGGTGCCGCTGGGGATCGTCGTCGCAGCAGGCTTGCATAGAAGCCCGATGAGATGGGCTAGAGTGGGCGTCCGAAAATGGAGCAGATTGTCGGTTTGCTCCGTTATCGAGAGCGATGCAGCTATCTCGTCGGGCGAATCCTGAGCAGCCTCGATCACCTCACGCAGCCTGCTGGGGAATAGCGGGTGGAACCCGTCTGTAAACCGCATCAATGACTTGGTGACACGTAAAACGGAACATATCCAGATCCGCGGCCGGATACTGGACGGGGGGCAGCTGAAGCAGCACGAACCTACCCACACAACCTTATCGCCCCGACGGAGGGCGTTTGCCGTGAGTTGAATCCTGTGGTCGTCGACGTAAACATCTAGAATGTAGGAGATAGGGCAAGGCGGGACGGGGATCCTCAAGGGTAGACTCCTACCCAAACGTGGTCTTGCCAGAGCCTGGAGGACCCCAGATTTCTACGACTTGGCCCTTCTGAAAACCACCGGGACTGGATAAGGCGTGTTCTCCACGGCTGACAACATCGTTGAGGGCTCGATCGAGAGCGCCAAGACTCGTCGAGATGAAGCGCCGAGGATCGGTGCCGAGATGCTCCAGAGCCTGCGCCGCCGAAACGGTAGGCAGCCGGTCTAGAGCGAGAGAATCAGCAGCTATCGACACGCGATAGGGGGGTTACCCCTCTCGCTCACTCACGGGTCGAGGCCAGATCCAAGCTCGATATGTCTTTGCCGCGGATGGATCGATAGTCCATGATAATAATCTGGAGGAGAGAGGAGAAGAGGCCCTTAGTAAGTGCTTTGTGTACTGCCAAGTGGAGCCAAGTAGAATGATGGCAGGTCGCTGGCTGGATTGTGTGCTTGGCTTTTCCGGCCAACCTGTGTGTTTCTCCGGTTTCTCTCCTTGTTTTCCTCCCTTTCTCTTCCCCTTCCCCTTTCGCCTTTGCTTTCTTTCTTTTCTGTGGGTTTTTTCCTTCTTCTGACAGCGAAGTACGGGGCGATGAAGCTAGAGAGGAGAAGGGAGGGCTCGGAGAGATAGCGAGATAGGCACAGGGAAAGAGAGTGTGCGTGTGTGTGTGTGTTGGATTGTTAGGTCGTTCCGGCTAACAGTTGGAGATTGGGGTTTCATTTCTAATTTCAGCAGGTTTGAGCCTCATTTACTTACTCTGGTAAGCGGCAGCCTGCAGATCTGTGCTGATCAGTTCCCCCCTTCCCCCCCCAAAGCTACCCCAACGTCTTCCGTGCCGGCAGTTGTCGCACGTGACGCGGGGTTCTCATCGCGGTGGAAAATAAGTACCTAAGCTACCAGGTATTTACATACCTCCTAGAGGTAGGAGGTACCTAGGTAGGTAGTTCCTAATTTACATAAAGATTGCCCACGAGCATAGAATAGGTACCTAGGTGTGCTCTGCCCGCTAACGTAGACGTGTGGCCATTTCTACATAGGGTAGGCGTACCCTCCACTACCTGTAGGTGCCTCCTATGCACCGGAGGCAAGTACAAGGACCGATAAGCAGGTACTATGTACATACAAGCAAGCAAAACTCTCGGGTCTAGGAGGTACCTAGCCTCGGGCTTGCTCTCCCTTCATCCTCATCATTGTCTGCCGAGACACACTATACGCACCCTTTACCCTGCACATTTCATATCTTCAGGCTTATAACGGTCACAATTGCAGAATCGTGACTATTATACTCATAGGCCTGAAAATATGAGGCAACCTAGCAGCCAGGTGTCGGGCTGGCGGAGCACGCCATCTTCCAGAACCACGGCCTGCGGGTTTGTTGGCACATGGGAACAAGAAGAAACGCAAAGGAAACAATGCATGCCCGCAAGTCTTCGGTCTTGGCGGGTATGACAGCAGCTATGCATGCAATTGTCAATTCCGGTCCTTTTCCCAGGACCACTTGTTGCGCGTAACATTTACGGCATAAAATACCAGGCACCTCCATTTTCTCAGAGACCCCTTCGTACGTGCCGATGGCGCGAAATTGGGCAATGGCCCCGGCGCGAAAAGGAGTCCGAAGTTAGGGAGGTAGGCTATCGCTAACTCGCGGCTTCATAGGTGCCTCCGTCTCGACAGGCACGTGTCGTTATGTGCTAGCAGGCAGATGATGCAAATGATGCCATCCCGTTCGTAGGTGTCGCATAACCCGGGCTACTATCTAGGTAGGTATGCACACGCATGTTCATTTCTCCTGTTCTTCGCTAAGCCTGCGAAGTTTGGGAAGAATGGATACGAGGTGGCACGGCCTCGAAACGGACCTGTTTTTTTTTTTTTCGCGTCGCCGCAGGCGGACCAGACCTTGGCCCATTCCACTGAGCGGCCCTGATTGACCACGTGTTCGTCCCGGCCAACTCTTCAGTCGGATAAGCTAAACAGAGCCACCACAATCTCGGCTCGGCTCTATTGCTAATTACTAGACGGCGTCAACACAGCGCTTCCCACCGATAGCCCCATACGTGCCCGGTCGGTACCATGGTCGGTATCATGGTCCGTCCGTCCTATAGTCCGGACGTCCAGAGGCTGAAAAGCAGAGGAAAGAAAGAAAAAAAAACCTAGCCCTTCTTCCGTATCTCTTATCATGCCTAGTGCGGGTGCGCGTATCTTGCCGGCGAATCCTTCTGATAAGCCCTCGGAACGCGATGCTCATACCCCATACTATGTGCCTACTAGGTTAGGCAGCTCGACTAGCTGTTCAGCTGCCGAGATGCTTCCCGATCTAGTGCGTTACGGCGATATTTGCTCTGGCGATCTGTCCCGGCTTTCGGCGACCTGGTCCTCCTGGCTCAGCTGGGGGAGGAGGCGCTGGGATGCCGGCTCCAACGCGAACCTTGCTGTGTGTGAGAAATCCCGCCAGGCCGTCGAGGGTAGCGAGGAGAGAGAGCGTGGCATCGAGAGACAAATTTCATCTCAACACAATTCGGAACACAGATTCTAGGCCAATTTCGGCTTGCATCAATGCCTGCCGCACGTACAGCCCAGACGATTGAGCCGGGGAAAGGGGCCGTACCGACCTACCGGATACCACGGAGAGAGCTTCCTCCTAAACCGATCATCAGGAGGTGTTTTCGCATTGATGAGGCTCGTCGGTTTGCGCAATGCGGAGAGCTAGGAGCGTCTCGTCATTGGCTCGCATCTAACCCCTTCGTAGAGTCTGCCCTCTCCCAGATCGCGAACAGGGGATTGCTGCAGGTACGTGTACGTCTCGTGTCGGGGAAAAGTTTCAACTCGGAATCGGGTCCTGGGGGGGAGGGACGGGGGGGCATGGACAAGGTGATGCCAATATCCGCGGCTCCAGCGTCAGTCTTCCTCGGGGAAAAGGAACGGCATTCCTGAGTCAGCATTGATAAAGGAAGGGGACGCTGGCAAATGATGCTCGAACCGGGGCGAGATCCTCTCTCTCCACTCCCTTTCCCCAATGTCAATGCTCGAAGCCGCGCGCCTGGACAACCCCGGAGTGCATATTCGCGTCCACTATTGGCGTGTGTGCCGGGTTTTGCGAATCGCGTTAGAGCTTCCCGATCCTATGACGCGTTTGAATTCACGAGTCAAGAGCCTTCTCAGGCAGCTATCAACCTTTGGGGAGGGGGGGGGTGGTGGTTTGCCTCTCGGGTTAAAGGGCAGCGGAACGAAAAGGACATACCTCGGATGACTTCGGAACGACCGAAGGCGAGAAACCTGGGAACGATGGGATTTAACCCACAAGGCACCCTGGTTCACGATCCCAAAAAAGATGGAGCCCCCTAAAGAGACGGGGCAAGGTCTCAAGGGGGGAGGGGAGGGAAGACTGGGACCCCCACAGAGAAATATCACAAGCTTTATGCTATAACCGATACGGTCGAGCAAATTCCGCGACACTATTTCCGGCTCTGTCGTTTGCATACGTGATAGAAGTCGCTCCGCGAGTGCAATCATGACTAGCCAAGGCCGGATTATTTGTTGCTTGGGCCGTGATATTTCCACGAGTTGGCGTTTACCGTCCTTTTTTTTTTTCTTCCTCTCCTTTCTTCTTGTCTCGCGCTTTCGATTCCCCCCCCTGGTAAGCGACGCGCAACCACCAACACTGTTACCACTACCGGCTATCTGCCCAACACGAACCTGAACCTGGCACAGTATGTGTCGTCTAGTGCAACCTGCCCGACTCGTAGCGTGCCACGAGGTCGAGGGGAGGAGGGGGAGGGGGAGGGGGAGGACGATTTTCTCTCTTGCGCGTGCTACGTAGCAGTAGCAGGGCACCTTAGGTCCGAATTAAACGGCAGAGGATGGCCCGATTGACAGGAAGCTCGTTCGTTCGTTGATTACATCTCGCCTTGCCAAGGCGGTGCTGGACCCTATGTGCGTTTACTGGCGTTCGCTTTATTTTGGCCGTCTACCATGGGCCTCTAGGCTCGCCAGCCCAGATAGTAAGTGCGGAGAGAGCTCTCGCGGAGGCGGAGGCGTGAGAGCTCCCCGCTCGCCGGCGCGAGGAGCCACGCATACCTGAAAACCGCAAGAGCTCCGTTGTCAACCCCAAGGTACAGAGCGTGACTATACACACATTTTGAGACCTGGGGCGGGGGGAGGGGTTGCGCCTACACGTCGACCAGCCATCCCGCGAGGACGACACGGCTGTTTCCCGAGGCCCCATGCACGTCGTGACAGCAAGCTGTATTGCATGCCGCGCGCGCGAAAGTCTGGCACTCATCAGATGTGCCATATGTTATCTACCAACATGTTGTGGGAGGGGGAAGGGGAATACAAACACAACTGCCATGCCACATACATACATATACGCACGTAGGGCAAGACAACTTCATGTCTATGGTGATAGGCATAAGTGAATTGCTATCACATCACATGAGCCAAGACGTTCGGGGAATATCGTTGCCCCATCGTAGACACAATATTAGATTGCGAAGGAATGCTGTTGCAGACGGCGGCCTGCATTACATATCGGTGTGCAGGCAGGTCGATAGGAGCAACCTGCTTCTACTTAGTCCATGATACATATATCTTATATATATTACCTCTTGCGTGCACGTTTGTATGCTTGTGTATGTTGTGGTAGGCAGGTTTATGGTCTCTGCGGGCATGGTAGGTGAAGGAATCGAGATGTTTGCTTTAGACACCCGTGTGCTCGATGGTTATTACATTGTCTTCCGTATGCATGTTAGACGATGGACATTCTCTACGCAAGGAATACAGGCGTACGCATACTCATACACGCTTCTTGTTCCTGTCCGCCTGCTACGTGAATCTTCTGTACCGGCGGGTGCCCCGGATTCCGGACAGACTTGGCAACGGCAGCGTTTCCTTTGCGCGATCATGAGGAGCGAAAGGGAGGGGGAGAGGGAGGGAGACGGGGAGAATGGCGGCTCGGTATTCCTGTTTAGGAAAATGAGCGAATGAGCAGGCCATCGCTCGTGTGTGAGTAATCTCTGGGAGCACCACGAAACCCTGAAAGAGCACCTCCACACACTGACACAAGAGGCGTGCACGATTATCACATACCTAGGTATCCTGCGTATCTGTGGGCCTCAGACCCCCCTGGACGACCGTAGAGGGGTAAAGAGTGTGTTATCTTGGTGGGGAGGGTTTCCATCTAAGAAGCTACCCAAAATGGCGAGAGTTTGGCATTGGCGTCTCCATTCTAGTCTCAGTAATAAGGTGATTCTTCTTCTCTCTCCCTCTCTTATGGCTTCGCCCTGATATCGTATGTACACCTCATCAGCTGTTGTTGGCCCATAACTTACATACGTACATACTTGAGCACATACACATACATATACACATGCATGCCTACTACGTAGTACGTGGCTTTCGTATCCTCAGCGTTCATCCCACAATCCGGGGTGGGAACCCCCGGCGCTGGCCAAACGGTCGCGAGTTGAGGCTGTATCCCCAGGGTAAAGTGGATTTGGTCTCGACGCCGATCCCGCCTTTCCCCGGACTGAAACCCCTCCCCCTAATAGTCTGCTCGTCTCTTCGCTTCGGATTGTCGCTTTGTTACTCCTCGAGGCTAGCCAGCACCACGCCACCGAGGATGGCACAACGTCTCGTGGGTTAATCTCTCGGGCTAGTATTTTGCCCAGCATTGGCAGGCCCGCCCCGGAACGCCGTGGTGGCTGTCTCAAGGGGGAGGCCGGGTGAGTTACCTAACAGCTTGTTGTGGGCCACCTGTTACAAGCAAATTGAAAATGACATATCATACAACTGATTGCAAGGACGCGGGTCTTCTGCCTAAGGGCTACCTATTGAACGGGCGTCCGCAGCCCTCTGCTCTCTCAACACATACTTACTTCCCTCGCCAGTTACAAGGCGGCCAATAAGTCGTGATGCGGTTAGGCACGCACAGGTATTTCCATTCCCATGCCAAAGACATAGGGAGACGGGGCGTGCGGGAGAGTGTGTTCCTCGACTGGCGAAATAAATGTACATCCGTCGCTTAAGGCTCCTTCTCGCTGGTCTCGTCCTGAAAACCCCCACGCTTTGGCAAGGCTTGGCATGGACTGGGGTTTCGGTAAAGGATACGGGGGATGGGAGGGCGTCATGCATCCATACTTACTCTCTCTGTCTCTCTGCCTCTCAGCTCCTTACCGAGGAACTCCGGATGCGAAAGTACCCCTTTTCTCGCGCCAACGTATGGTTTCTGACGAATCCTCCCCAGAAACCGGGAGGCGTGGATCGCGCGTTCGCCTCGATGTCAGTCGTCTTCAGCACGTGTCGGACGGTATCGTCATCTGCCCCCCTTCGAAGCATGTCTCAAGCTGGTGATCTGATGGTGACATTTCCCTGGTAAATGCTATCAGGTCTTGTCTCACTGCTCGCCAACCCTGGTAGATATATTGGTCTTGTGAGATGATAGGTAGCATAGCCGGGGCGGATCTAACGGAGTCAGGGAGTGCAGCGCTCGGCGTGCCAGGAAAGGCCATCGATAAAAAGATAAAATACGCGTATTGTCGACGGCGCCAAGGTAAGAGAGATAACCTGTGGGGAGAGCCTCCGGGGCTATGATAGGCTTAGCCCCAGCCAACTGTGGCAGCGTACTCCGGGGTTAAATCTGGACGAGGAGGCTAGAGCAGAAGAGAGGAGAATGTACGACGACCAGGCCCGGCGTTCCTATCTACATACGTCTCTTTCCCATCCGATGGCTCCCCCCCCGGCCGAGCCCGTCCTGTTCGTTCGTAGGTGCCTACCTACTCGAATGCTCCAATACAGGCGCTGCCGTGCTACCGTGATCCAAGACTCAGCTATCGCAGAGACTGCTGGTTGGCTAGCGGGCACGCAGGCGCTGAGCTGAGAGAGAGTCTAGCCGTCTTACCAAGCTGTCAAGCTGGCTCGAGATACGACCTGCTTCTTATGTCAGCGTCTCGCGTTCCGTTCAGAATTCTAGTGCGCAACCTGGCGGTCCACTTATCAGCAGCCCACTTATCACAGGCCCCGTCTGGCCCGTTTTCTGCTTCCCAGGCGAAGATGTTGTACTTGCCGAGTCGACGATGACAGGATACCTACCTACCTCTTAGGAGTGCTGAGCATCCTTATCTACGTAGCGCACGCGACGGATCGCTTTAGCACCAACCCTGAGGGAGGGACCTAACCTAGGCACTACTACTACGACCTAGCAGTAGTACCTTAGGCAGAGGTAGGTACCGCCACGAGCCGCTACTACGGACTTACAGGTAGGTAGGTACCTACTTAACCTGCTCAGCGGTACCTATTAATTAGAAGATGCCCTGGAGAATGCTGCTGCTGCTTCCTGGAATGCGGCCGAGCTCGGCCCCACATTCTCCATATTGTCTATTATCGTGGGTCGCCTCTTTTTTCTCTTGCCCTTCCTTTCCCATCCTCCGGACAAGGCGTCATTTAAGTGGCCCTGGCGTTGGGGGATAGCGCAGGAAACAAACAAAAGGAGGCTCACATAATGTGGTAGCATTCTATGTACGTAGCGACCTCCCTCCGTCCCTCGCCCCCCCCCCTCCCTTCTCTCTATGAATAGCGCTCGGCGGGTTTGGCGAGAAACCGGCCCTTACTTGGCCTGCCCTCTCTGTAGTACGTGGTATGCCACCCAGGCGTGCCGGAAGGAAAAGAAGAGCGCCGAAAAAGAGCGACGGGAAACGAGGCGGTGTTCATGCGAGGATGCGTCGACGAGCCCGAGGTTTGTACGTATTTTTGATTTATTTATTTAGGAAGAGACCTACGAGTCGGCCGTTGCCGCACAGCCGCCCTCTCCTCCCCCCACATCTCGGTCGTACTATGCCGCTACCCAGGCGAGCCAGGTGGGTGACTTACATGAGGCTAGTGAGATGAGGGAGGATAGCATGAGCTTGGTACGATGGTCTACTGATCCGTCGAGGCGGAATTTGCTTGCGGCACATGCGCTTATATCCAGTATTCCCGATAACACGAGGAGTGCCGTCTTCTCCCCCGGCGAGGTGCCTCGGAATCGACGAGGAGGGAGGAACGAAACATTTTCTTGTGGGCGACCACAGCGGAGGGGGAGAAGGGATCTGTTCGCATGTGCATACTTACGTACATAGCTTGGTAAAAGCAGAGATGAGCAAGACGTGGTGGTGCCAGTCCATCAATCATCTTGCGATACTCAGCCACGGAGCACACCGCTGGAGGGATGAGGTATCATTTGCATGGAACAGAGAAGAAGAAAACATGTGGTGCGTTCGACGGGGACGATTCGTGGCTGACGGCTCATTTGCTAATCTCACCCCTCCTAGGTAGACTTTTCGTTTTTTTTTTTTCTTTCTTTTTTGGGATGGTTGTGGGGAGGAGGGGCGGGGGGAGGTTCTTATTCTGCTCCGTATTCACCCCCTACTCATAAACGCCTTACTTAGGTGCGAGGTCGTACTCCCAGAAGGGGGAGTCCTAACAGCACATGGCCACATCAATCCTCTGACCTTGGCACGAGCAATAATCTCATACACCATCTTCTGTGCGTACACGCCCCCGTACATGGTGCGAGAGGCGGGGAGAAGGAGAATCGGCCATGCCTTGGGCATCTCAGGTAGGTATGGATGTGCAGATGTGTGTACATATATACGTGCGCATATGCATACATATGTGGTTGTATGTAGGCGTAGGCATACACACACATATATTTCTATATATAATAGGATGTATAGGCAGGCAGGGAAGCCCAAGGTAAGATAGCTCGAGGTTGCAGTATAGGAGAGGCAGAATATCCAACAGCAGAGATCCAGACCGCTCAGAACGCTGGACGGGCGCGGGAATCTCCAGGTGCTATACTGTGCACGGTGTGCGCAGAACCTGAGTGCGCAAATACTACGTCCAGATGGTACGATGATAGGCCGGTTAGATGCTATCTAACGTCGTAGGTTCGCAAGCCTGGGGGAATCCGAATTCTAATCCCAAATCTTTGTAATACTAATAGTAATTCCCATCCCCCATAGTTTCCCATGGCACCGGTTGCTAATGTCTCCCTAAACTTTGTTCCGCCTCCTCTCCGCCTCCTCTTCCCCCGCCCCTGGCGAAAATCGTTCGGTGGAGAGAAGGTTTTTTAAACCGTGGCCTCCACGTTCCCCTTGTTGACGTTTCGTCGAGCCCCCCCAGTATGTTCCAGCAGGGAGGTACGTAAGGTAGAGCGCACTGCGTCGGCAGCATCTTAGGTACGTATGCACATCGACGAATACTCATATGCGTAGGTGCGCGAGGAGGTTAGGCACCCAACCTGGGTAACCTGCTTGGTGTCTGTGTGGGTGGGCATGCTCGCACAACATAGGTGCTGCCGTAGGGGGTAAGTTCCTAGGAGGTAGGTATAGAATATAATATAGGCGTAGAACACATACACGTACGCACACATAACACACTACACACACACACACACACACACACACACACACACACACACACATATATATATTGAGCCAAATGTATCCCTCGGGAAGGGAATTACCTTAAAACCGCGTATCTAACCTGCTGCCATGTTGTATAGCCTACCTACTCATATGTAGATATCTCCGTCGTGGACCCCATACATACCTGCCTCTACCTCATAAGTAGGTAGGTGCCTAAGGTAGTAGGTAGGGTGGGTGTTGCGAGGGGCCCCCAAAGAGACCAAGACCCCCCTGACCGTCCAGCCAGCCATAGGCAGCGCAGCCAACCAACTACAGGTAGCCCGGCCTGCCTGAGGTGCCCTGACGGGAGGAGGGCGCGGAAAGAGGTAGGTATGTACCATGTATCGTGTACCGTATACCATATACCGTGTACCGTGTACCATGTACAGGTGCGGAATTGACTCCCTCTGCGCCGGACTGGGCTTCCAGGGTTCCAACTCCCCCAGGCCCTTCCTGACCACCCACTGGCGCCCCCCCCCACACTAAGGAGAGAATCTGTAAGGCAGGGCGGCCCCCCCAGCTTGTCGCTCCCCTCTCCCCAGGGGGGAGTGAGTCGAACCGGAAGGACTTGGAACGTCGAGGCGGTTACAAGTGTACAGGTACCTGTCCCGTTGGCTCCTCTCGGGGCGGTACCGGGCTGTCTTGGGTACCTAAGGTACCGGCTTACCTCGCACGTACATCCACGCGACCGATACATACTGTCAGGTACCTACCTACGTTAAGGTACCTCCGTCGACCTCTCATCCCTCTCCTCTCCCTCAACGTGTTGTACCTCTCCATAACTTCCACCAATGGATATACATATACATCCCCGTCGTCCATCTCCCCTTTGCGCCGTACAGTGTCCGCCCGTTACCCACCGCCCCAGCGTACACGCCTGGGCAGAGCAGCACGTTTTAATACTGCGCTGGTTTCCCGACCCACCCGCCTCGCAGTTCATTTAAAATCATCCCAGTGCCCCCATCCCACCCCCCCCCCAAAAGCTTTTTCCCCCTTCCAAATTCTACCGCACCAATATCGCACAACTTCAACCGTTACCCGGCTCTTCAACTACTAAAGACCGCTAAACCTCCCCCCCTCTCCCCTTATCGCCCCGGTCGCAGAACAAAGCAACCACCGGGACTGCACCTCCACCAGCACGCTCGACGGCGAAGAGAAAGAAGGACAGAAGAAGAAGCAAAGACCAGAGGACCCAACCGGCCCTACTCAGTGGCGACGACGACCTGGCTATCCTTGCATCACGGCTGGCTCATCGTCGAGTGCTCGCCGCCGTCTTCTCGAATCCCGAGACCTATTTCTAACTGAAGAAGAGGTGGTGCCCCTTTGGCTGGCGATCACATGCAACACTCACAGTCAGCGGTGGATTTTTCCAACCTGCTGAACCCCGAATCTACCACGAGCAACAGCGAGGGCAACCCAGCTTCGCCACGGAAACTGAACCAGGACGGAGACGTCGAGATGGCTACCGTTACCGTGATCCGGCCCAACGGACCCCTGCCCGGCGGCCAGCCCGCTGAGAACACTAACGAACTACCGCGCCCTTACAAGTGCCCCCTCTGTGATAAGGCCTTCCACCGGCTGGAGCACCAGACCAGACACATCAGGACGCATACGGGCGAGAAGCCGCATGCCTGCCAATTCCCGGGCTGCAGCAAGAAGTTCTCGCGTTCTGACGAGCTCACCCGGCACTCGAGGATACACAACAACCCCAACTCCAGGAGAGGGAACAAGGCTGGCCAAGCCGCGCACCACAGCCTGGGCCATGCGTTGACGCCGGACTCGATGATGCCCCCTCCGTCGAACCCAAGATCCATCAAGTCGGCCCCGACCTCGACGTTAGTGTCGCCTAACGTGTCGCCGCCGCACTCGTACTCTACGTACGGCATCCCGCATCCGGGACCTCTTCACCATTACGGCCGGAATCTGAGCGGCAATGTCTCGCTGCCCGGTCACAGCATGGACATCGGCATGTTGGCTAATGCCACGAACCAGCTGGAGCGGGACAGTAGCGGCCTGATGGCTCACCATCACTCGGCGCGATCTCACCCATACTACTCCAACAGCCTGCACAGCTCGCGCGGCCACCTCCCCTCACTCTCCGCCTACCACATGTCTAGGTCTCATTCCAACGATGAGCACGACGACCACTACTCTCACGCTCTCCGCCACGCAAAGCGGTCCAGACCAAACTCGCCCAACTCTACTGCGCCCTCGTCACCAACCTTCTCCCACGATTCCCTGTCCCCTACCCCAGACCACACGCCCCTCGCGACGCCCGCCCACTCGCCGCGCCTCCGGCCGTACGCTGGCGTCGAGTTGCCGACGTTGCGCAATCTGACCCTGGGCCACACTCCGGCCTTGGCGCCGATGGAACCGCATCTGGAAGGCGCAGGTTACCAGCAGACCCCTCCGTCTAATAAGGGCACTCGGACCAGCGGACTGTCCCTGACAGACATCATTAGCCGGCCCGATGGTAGTAGGAAACTCCCCGTTCCTCAAGTACCCAAGGTCGCAGTTCACGATCTCCTGTCCAATGACGGATACAACACCAGCGGCCGAAGCTCGGCAAGCGGCAGTTTGGCAGGCGGCGATCTGATGGACCGGATGTGAGCTGAGGGGAAGAGTTCAGTCCACACCGTCACATCAGCTACAACGCGAACGACGACTATTAATTATAGAGGTTCCAATAGACGAGAGGCGGCGTTTCTATGGCGACTTCTCCAGAGCAAGCGGCCGCTATCCCCCCTCCGCCTGTTGAATGCAACTACCACCAGCCGTGGTGGTATGGAAGCAACTATGGAACAAATGGGATAGCTGGATGACGCACACGCACACACATACACATCTCTACACACACAAGCACGCACCCAGGCTCACGTGTTTTCCGGGAGAATCCGTGAATGAATAGATTTGAAACCCTCAGCGGCGGCTAGATTAGTGTTACAAGCGGGCCCTTTACTGTGATGAAATTTCTCTGCTCCAGCGTTTCCGTTAATCGTGTCGAGGTGTCGGGGAGAGCGGCGAGAACACCATGTCCTGTTTTTCCTATTCTGCATGTCTTATCTTGTGTCGATTGACTGTTCATCCTCTCCCGAGTTGGCATATTGGAGTTGATTCCTTTTTCCTCATAGACGGTGGAATGGGTGGGATAGGGTTTCAAGCATTGTATGAGGCTTGGCCAGACTGGCGGCCAAACCTCGGGGCGAACGACGGACTCCTCTTCTCATTTACAATATGTATAGGGTGGTTCAATGGGAAGGTCTCTCTACTAAGATTACGTTTCAGCTCAATCTCGGGGCGAATACCTAGGGGCGCAGGCTTGGCGGGTTGCATGGTCAAAAGACAAGCCATCATGTTGACAGTATTCGGTACTCGATAATAGTGTATGAGAGGAAGACGAATGAAAAAATCGGTTGATATTCCCGACTCCATTCTCCCCTCGATGGTCGCAAGTTATCCTGTATAGGTTGAAGTTTCGTAACCAAGTAGATAACAAATCCACCGCCCTCTTCCCCCCCTCCCTTCCTACCGTTAGTCGGGTCTAGAAATTTCCCCGTCTTGTCTCATCCCACATGTTGTTAACCCCAGATTCTTCTTGGTGAATCCTCCTAGCGTGTCCCATCGAGAAGGACATTAGGTAGGCAGTCTGACACTACAAATTACGATCAGGGGATTTTCGACCCCCAATCTCTATGTCTTCCCCTGAGACGATGGCAATCTTACTTTGGGAGACGATCGGGTACCGCGGTTGGAATGCCATACCGGCCAGCCAGCGTCGACCTGAGGGAACGCAACTAATAATACCTGCCCAACTTACCTACCCCAAGCCACGCCCACGACCACTTTACTCGTATCGTGGATTACTACGCACAGCCCACCCCCCCTGCAAGTTTATTATTATTCTGGGACACCCACGTACCGAATGTTAAAAAGGGGACCCCGGACAAGCTTCCACGAGAAACACCCCTTTTTGTCTTTCTTTTTAAGAAACATGGGGAATGGGATGTTGTACTTCGGGGAAAGGATGGGGGAAGGGAGGACGGGATTCACGGCTCCGAGCCGATTAGCAATATCCCGTACCTTAGATGCCTACCTCCCTAGGTACCTAGCATAGTATGCCATGCCAAGGACCAAGGGCGTTCTCCAGATTCCCACCCTCTCTACCTAGGTAGATTTACGGAGATATCCCGTCTACGTGCATGCCCAACTTACCCCGAGGGCATCGTTGACCTTCTACCAGGATCGGATCGTGGCGAGGCGAAGGGGCGAAGCCAGGCATGTCCCGGCCGGGGGTATTAATGTGCGTGGTAGGCATGCAGAATTCCTCATCAGACGAGCCTCCCTCGGAACAACACGCAATCTTGCACCCATGCACACACATATTGCTGCATACGCGTGCACACAGCACACAGACACCTACGTAAATATACTACTATATACCCAAGTAGGTAGTAAGTAAAAGTGCTCGGGAGGAAGGAAAGGAAGAGAGGAGCGGGGAGAGCGATAACGACAAGATGCGATGAATAGCAGACATCGAAAGAACAGACGGGGGCCTACACAGCGGCGGCGGGGGAGGATGAGAGGAAGACTGGTCGGGCGAGAGAGGGGAGCAGGCGAAAATTTTCTCCCCCTCGTTCTCGGAGCCGTGTCTACTTACCTCCATGCACCACACAGACACGCGCAGACTGATGCCGCCTCACCGCCTCGCACGATGGGCAAAGTTGGTTGATTACATACGTAACTTACACGTTGCGACACGCGATGGTCCGGTAGCTTCTAGGTGCGAGGGCGAAAGCGATGGTGGGATGTTTAGCATGAGGGGGGTGTGGAGGGAGGAGATTACGTAGGCGGTTCTTGTTTGGAAATATCTTTTCAATTTTCCAACTTTTAGCAGAGAAGCCCCAGCCTCTGCCCAACCTAGTTACGTAGCTGCTGCCCCGCCCCCACCTGACACATGTTTTTTTTCTTTCTTTCCTAGGTTAGTTCCTTGCCGTCCGTTCTCGCGCCAGCGAGGATTTAACTACGGGCGGGAGGATAGGCTGGAGGGCATTCGATTTACGACATGGCGGACTTCGTTTACCCAGGAAAAACAACATAAACAAAAACAAAAAGGAGACGAAGAGAGAGAAAAAAACGCTAATAGCCCTCCTGCCTATCGATCCCCGCCGTCCCATGGTGTGCGCGTGCGAGCGGGAAGAATCGGGGTGCTACCTCTGACAGACCTAAACTGCCTCTTGGTAGGCTAGGTAGCAATAGCACCGTGCGCCTGTACGTTCGAGTACATACCTAGGCATGTTGTCGTGTCGCGCTCACCACGTATCAGCGGTGCGTCGGCCGGCAAGGAATTGCTTATTACGGTAGCAGTGCGTCAGCCCTGCCGACGGAGCGACAGCGAACAAGCGCGGACCGGGAGGGAAGACAGAGCCAAAGGAATTCCGGCCATAGGTAGGCACATGCCTACAGGCGCAGGCGACTAAGGCAGAAGGGGGGGAAATCTCCAGACGGCATGACAAACGGGATCGGGAGAAATAGGGAGAGGGGACGGGCGAGAAGGGAGGAAAAGGAAAGGAAAAAAAAAATTTAATAAAAGAGGGCGGGCGAGCCAAGGTAAGAAAGGGAAAGGAAAGAGAAGCAGAAGAAGGTAAGGTCAGGTCAGGCAAGGTAGCATTTTTTCCGGACGTCCCCGAAAGCCGCAGCCGCAGCAGCTCGCGCGCTGCTCCTCACTGGGTCGAGCGGTGCTGGCTGGCGGCGGCGGCGGACCAATCCCGGGGGAGAAGAGGGGGGGGGGTGGGAAGAGGCGGTGGGAGAGCCAAGGGAAGGGAAAGATGCCTAGGTAGATAGAGAGGGGCACGGCATGGGACGGTATACAGTGTGATGCCGTATCACCTACCACCTACCCAAGCCTAGGGAGGGAAGACAAGAGAGATAGATGCCTGCGGTGCGCGCGCGGCACCCGTACGGTTAGGGGGGGAAGGGAGCGAAAAAAAGGCGAGGGCGAGGGCGAGACGAGGGCGAGACGAGACGAGGCGAGGTGAGGTGAGGCAAGAAAAGGAAAGACGGGAGGGGAGGAAGGGAGAAGGTGAGGCAACGTGCGCGGTAGATTGCACTTTAGATCGATAGACAGGCCAAGTAAGCCCGGCCCCCATTCCCTCGGCCCCTCCCCCTCCCCCCCCGCCACTCTCCAGGCAAAGGGCGGGACAAGCTAGAGTTGGGAAAACCTAAAACGGCGATGACGATGACGACGACAAGGACGACTACGACGACGACGTTGATGATTAATACCGCCGATGGGTAAGCCGGGGGCTCGCTTGGAGATCGCGGGTGCGAATGGCGGCGCGGGCGATACACACCCAAGCCAGGGCGTGGCACGACATGTGTGTGTACTTTGGCTAGGCATCCTCCTCGTCTTCCCACGGCGTCCGCTCGAGCTGCCGTGCCGTCCGGGCATTATCTGCCATTACTGTTCCCATTCCCTCTTCCCTCTCTTCCTCCTTCTCACGCTCGTTCGCAACCGGGGCTCTCCTCGTCGTCCGTCTTACCTAAGTGTGCATGGCAATCCTCCCCACCCCTTCCAGCATACTATCCGTCGCGCCCGACCGACCGGCCGCAGCTTACGCCTCGCGCGCGCGCGCGCACGGCATCGCGTTCAGTCCAGGCGTGGCCGTCGCGCAACGGACGCCTCTCGACTGCCTTTCCCTGCCTGCTCGACAGGTAGCATCTTATCCCATCCCTCCATCCCTCCATCCATTCGCCCACGGTATCCCGCCTCTCCCTCCCTCCCTCTACGCTTATCCATCCACCCACCCACCCCCATCCATCCGTCATCATTTCCTTCGTGCTCAGCCTCGATCCTAGGGCGCCCGCCTGCCTGGGCCGCCGCCGCCTGCCAGGTCGGGTACCCACACGCATACACGCTCTCCTCAAGAGGATCTTACATACCTACGTAGCACGCGCTCTGCCCGGCTGACGTGATGCATTATTATATAATTAAATTCCTTCTCTACGTCCCCCAAACCTGACTCTGCGTGCCGGGCCAGAGCTTGGCGGGCCTATTACCTGAGCCTGAGCCTGAGCCATGAGCATGAGCACGAGCATGCAATAGGTACCCATGCCTATGCCCTCGCAGGCATCTAGCATACATGTAGGTACATATACGTCTGCATGGACTTCGCGTCCTGGTATCTCAGCCAGGTAGGCTACCCACCTAGCCTAAGTACCTAATGAATGAGCAGGCTGGGAAAAGCGTCGTCGGGCACGCCAGTCCAGGGCGGGAAGGTCGGCTGGTCGGCTGGTTGGTTGGTCGAGCGAGGGAGATAGAGAGTCAGTCAGTCCCGTCCATGCTGGGGCGACCGGGCGTCTTACTGTTTCGTGCGACGTGGCCGGCCGAACGACGAAACGAGCTGATGGATGCGGTACGGCTGAAGGGAAGGGCACCGTAATTATCACCTACACGCTCGCGACGCGATGACAGCATGTTAAGAGGTACATACCTACCGACGTACCTACACACATCTTATTGCCTACCTCCTACCTACCTACCTACCTAGTTCGGCAGGTTAGGCGGACGTAGCATTTTCTGTTCTTTTATTTCCGGCAGTATGGGGACGGGCGGCGCCGTGCCGTCGCGATTCTGACAAAAATAGATGCCAGAAGCCATCCAGCTCCCTCTTCCTCTCAACCGCACACTGTACCTAGGTGCGAGAAGCAACGCGGGCGATACTCCATGCACACGCATTGGGGTTTTTCAGGGGAGAGGGGGTGGATTGCTCATTCCCCATTCTCCCTCCCTCTGCTCTCCTCGTCACACTCTTAGGTACCTACCTTAGGTATCTTCTTATCTCTGGTGGTCGAGGATGGTAGCGGGAGAGATACATCCCCGTATACGTATGTATATTGGAGAGAGAGAGACGAATCAAGGGGGGGGGCGGGGGTTATTCAGCCAGCCCCAGGTCGCTGTCTCTGGGGGAGAAGGTGGAGGTGGAGGAGGAGGGCCGGATATGTCACTGCCACCTTACTTCTCCCTTTCATACGCCGTGTACTTGCTGCACATACCGACATAACAAGCAATGTGCGCGTACACACCCAACCTGGGCGAGCTGAACCCCGGAGACGCGGCCATCGCTTGCTCTCTTCTTCCCCCCTTTCTTTCTTTCTTTTTTCTGTGTCTCTTCCCCCTTTCCCTTTTCCCTTCCCACAGCCCCCCCCTTCTATGACGCGTCCACGAACTCGGGGCATTTTGCGGGGCTCCGGATTGGGATTTCGTCGTGGGCGAACCAGATCCCGAGGCATCCTACGTCCGTGCCTAAACATAGAAATCTCCTATTGCCCTGACTGAGGTGCAGGCGGGCTGCGCCGCGGCGGGCGGTGGGCGGTGGGTGGGATGTGGTGCGCCTCTCGGGTGTTGGCTTGTTGGAGACTTGGAGCAGATTCCTCTCTCTCTTTTTTTTTTCTTCTAAGGATGGGAGGGGTTGTTTTCTAGACAAACCCCCCTTCCCTCGCTCTCGCCCTCTCTACACGCACTCATATGGACCCGGCTCGGCCGGCGAGACGGTGAGATGGGCGCCGGCCAGACCAAAGTTTTGGGGGTAAGCGCAGGCCCGGCGGTAATGTAATAATCCCTCCCTTCCGCTCGTCCCTACTACCTACCCACTGGATAGCGAACAATGAGCTGGCGGTGATGTGGCTACTGCTAATATGTAGAATCCCTGTCTCTATTGTCTATAACCTGATATCACACCCACCAGCTAGCAGGTCTCAGCAACTTACTTAGACACACACACACACACATCTGAGATCCTTGGATGGCAACGACGAGGTATGCAGCGAAACCATCCATTCATCTTCCGTGGATATGTATGCGCATGCTCTTAACCCCATGGTAAGACCCAAAATATATGCTGTCTTAGCTTGGAGGGGCTTCTTCTTCCCCTCCCCTTTCCCTTTCCCCATGGTCTCTCGTGTTTGCCTTCTACGCAGCGGCTATCCGAGAGGGTCCCAGCCAGAGAATACCTTGGCGCTGGCATGCCACTACAGGATGCACGGGCGATTGCAGGAAATGGGACTCCGATACGTTGCCAAGGGTGGATTTTGTTTTTTTTTTCTCAGCCGTGGGCCTCTTTTTCTTCCCCTTACGCAGAATTCCGTCCGGCTGGCTGCCCGCGAGCAGGTCCCTGCCTCCCTCTCTCCCTCTCCCTACCTGGGCGGCTGGGCGGGAACCGATCAGCCGGTTCGGCGCCATGTGTTGCCTGATGATGGCGAGAGCGACGGCGGTTGCGTGCTTCTCCCAACCGGCGACCGCCGGGACGGGAGAGAGGAGGTGGACACGACGAGGATACAGTGAGAGATATATGTGTAAGGTTATGCCGTATACACAGGTATACTACCTCTAGTATATGTGTATAGTATGTAGTGGGCAGTGTGCTCCCTTGAAACAACCCGGGAAATCAACGGGGGGAAGATGCACGGAACATGTGAAAACGTAAGTAAGTCGCGAATCGGATCGAGTGGACGCGATCGACCGGGTCCCGTATCCCGTCGACGGTTTCAAAAAGGGGGGGGCGAATAGAAAGAAAAAAAAAGAAAAAAAAAGAAGGCGATAGCCGTTGTTCGTTCTAGCGTCGCAACAACGACGAGTCTGCGAGCGCCCCGTTCACCGCAACTTCTCCGGGGTCGAGAACATACCGGTGGGCGGAAAATAGGCACCCCGGGACGAGCAAGATGGCCAAGTCGGGGTTTGAAGACGTGTTCTTGCACCATCCTGCTGCTTCGCAGATCGATTGTCTTCCATGCTCCTAGGACCCTACCCTGACTTCTGGCACCCAAGGTGCATTCGGCGTATCACAATTCCCGTAGGTAGGTACATATCTTAGGTACGTACGCGCATTCGGTACACATGCACGCTCCAGGCCCCCCTTCGGCTTCCGTCTCTCGTGGGGAGGGCAGATGTGGGGTGTGGCTTTTTGGAAGATCCTTGCTCATCCCTACAACGGATGAATTACAGGCATAGATGCACACACACACACACACACACACATACACACGCATGTATGTATATGTATAGTATACCAACTTGATTTATTCTGAGACTCCAAGGCTGGCTTTGGCCGGCTCGCGCCGCTTGCGCTGCCGGGTCAGCTTCGTATACCACCAAGAGGAAAACCCCTATCTCATTTGCGGATCAGGTTTGATAGCCTACTACTAGTAACGCAAGCAATATAGGCCCCCGTCATTGGGGGGGATAGTTGGCGACGATAAAGTCAGGCCATCCCTAGCTCGACCCAGGACGGGTTCGACTGGTGATAGGGCCCCCTTCGATGGAACCTGGCGGCCGGAGTCTGCTCGTGTGCGTGCGTGCGTGCGTGCGTGCGTGCGTGCGTGTGTGTGATAAATCGTGGGCCGCGGGCGTGCTGCGGTTGTCCTAATAATACCAACAATGGAACGATAAAGTGTGTTCGTTCGCTCTTCCCCTCCGCCAGGGCGCGACTTTACGCCCGGCCACCCAATCGCATCCCTCAGTCCTCGGTAGGTTTCCCAGAGAAAAGGGGGGGGGGAGGGGGGCCAGGGAGACACGCGTGGGGTCAAGGAGGGCGGAGGGCAAAGTAGATCCTTACATCGGCCAGGCAGCTCAAACCCAGCGCCGGCAACTGAGACATACGCCTGGAATCGCGATCGGCTGGCCTGCTGGCCACCACGGTTCTCACGAGCGTGCGCAAGAGGCGGAGGCCCAACCCGAGGAGGAGTGGCGACGGGCCATGCGTCGATGGTAGCAGCTGGGCGCGTCTCCACACAGATTATACCTACGATAAAAGTGTGTGCGTGTGTTCGTAGAGGGGCCGCACATAAGTTCCTTGGCATTCAGAGAGTCTGGTGATGTGAACGTGTTCTGCGTGCGATAGGGGAGGGGGATCTGGGTTCGAGAGGGCTCTCTTACGATGTCGTTATCGTGGCCGTGACTGCGGACGGCGGTCATCGGTTCGGGGATAGAGGGGGAGATGATGCGCGCGTGATGTTACTTGCGCAAGTTGACGGGATCCAGCAAGGTCGAAGCTCATGAGTTGACCTCTTCTTCTTCTTCCCCTTTCCGTCCCCCGCCGCCACCCCAGATTGGCAGGGGTATCCTGCTGAAGCGCGCGTTACACGTAGAGTCTGGGCTTGGGCTCAGTCGTTGTCTTGCCTGCTACCGTCCCGTCACGTACCTCTTCACCACGGCTACCCGACGTACATAGGTACTTCGTCGGTACTGGGCGACAAGGCCGTACTCGCCGCTTCGACTGGGAAACAAGTCATTCTCCATCTCCGGTAGCTTTACTTGCTTGAACTTCTAAATGAGCACTCGCACCTCGCGCTGGATGCTCGGGACGGAGGCGGACAAAGTTATAGGTGCATAGGAGTTTGCCGCCCCGCCTTGGGTTGCCTTACGTTAGGTACCTTCTAGGAGGTAGGGTACCTAGGACAGGTATTTGATGGGGGCTAAGTGCAGATGGAAGTTAGGTACCTAGGTGGGCAGACAGGTCTGGCCCGGCCAACTAACAGGTACGTAGTATTATGCTGTAATTGCCGTCTTCAATTCCGCACAATGTGGGTTTGGCACCCGGACGCCTCCAACCATCTAGGGGGTGGGCAGCGGCGACAATGCTGATAGGTACCTACTGTATACCTACATTAGGTCCCTGTGGACACGCGTTATAGGCGTTTTAGGAGGAGGGTTGGAGGTAGGTCCATGCTGTGACTGCCCCGTGGGGACCCGGTGTTGTTGTGTCAGAGGTACCCAGGGCACCTAAGGCAGGTACCTACCTATCTACGCCGTGCGGGTGCCCAAGGTAGACAGGTAGGTACCTCTAACTGATCTATTGATCTGCGCCCACCGTACGTGATGCGTGATGCGCCCGCTAATCTCCAGCCAGGGCGCCATCATTCGGTTGGTACCTAAGGAACCCAGGTATATGTTAGCTTCGGTTTGTACTGGCTGATGCGGCGTGGGGGTTGCCCGACTTCGTCTTCCCGCTCCACGGGGTCGAATCCTTGCTCGATGCGAGCCTACCCCGAAACCCCAGAACACCTGCGCACCCTCGTAGTTTTATCCAGTTTGCCACATCGCCAAGTTGCCAGCCACGGAGATACGCGCTGTCTCGCGCTGTCTCCAACCCTGACAAATAACCCAGCCGTCCGTTCGTGGTGAACGCCGCCGCCGAAGGAGGGCGAGACGCAGAGAACCGACTGTTTGGGGGCGGACCTGCTCGCGGCCAAGCATGTACTTGATGCTACATTAGTCCCTGTATGTCGCCCTCTCGCACATCCCCAACCGCTCCCCCATCACACCTCGAGGCCTTTCAGCCGCCTGCGCCCTCGTCTTAACATGCCCGTTTGCGCCGGTGTCGTGCTTCCTCGTCAAAATCCCGGCCGGTATTATCGGCTGGACGCCCCGGATCGCCAAACGTCGCGGCTGTGGCAATCGTCGAGGCTGGCACCATTCGTGGGCAAGCCAGCCAGCCCCCTCCCTCCTACACCCTGCCCTCGTTATTGTCGTCGCCACCAGGCTTCGATCCTATTGGTCCCCGGGGGGTGGCGCATGCGAGGAATACGCCGCGCACTATGGGTTGAGATGGGATTTTGTCTTAGCCGACCGTGCCGTACGGCTAGACAGCAGACGCGATGATTACGACCGCTGCCGGAACTGGGTCGCAAAACAGACCGGTGGGCGGCGTGCGTTAAAATGATTATGTACGAGATAGATTAGCGAGCTGACGAGATCGCGAGACCTGAACGGGCTAATCTCTACGCAGATCCTACCGGATTGAGGAAACCTGACGATGCCCCCCAAGATGGCCAGATGCTATTTCGAGCCCGGACCTCGCCTGACCACTGCCGTGCTTTTTGGTGAGGTTATCCCACGATTAAGAGGCAGTGTTGTACCCCAGGGATGTCGACACGCTGGCGCGAGTTCATCCTATCTCGAATCTGGATACTACATAAGCGAATGGGGGTGATCGATGGGGGGGGGGGAGCCGGGGTGGAGATCCCGGCCAGTCTATTGATGAGTTGTGGGGGAAATCTACGCCTTATCAACGACTTGTTGCTGACGCTAGTTATTAATTGTTTGATTGATGGTACGCATCCGGGGAGAGAGGCCTTGTTATTGTTAACCCCCCCCCCCCCCTTCTCCCTCCCCTCCCTCCTCTCCTCCCAACGTGCAGTTGATACAACGATACGACGCAGTGTTGGACGCGGAGAGAAGCCGTACCAGAGGAATAGGCCCAAATGAGCCTCGACGGAAAGGCCCGCCCCATGCCGGTTTACCTAATAGGCATGCAGACCCGACACCAAGATCGCTAGGCATCGAGTATTCGTCTCTTGATACCTTCCCCGACCTTGGTCCCTCTGGCATGTGCATAGGAGTAGGGGGGGAGAGGGAGCTTCATACTCAGCGAGGAAACGGCATCGTCGACTCCAGTCAAAAAGCGGTTTGCCTTCTTGTCCCCTTGGGCCACCAGCTCCCAGACCCCTAAAACCCTTCTCCAAACGGAGAACCTGCTCGCACGTCTCGTGCCCCACCCCTATCAGACCAATCTACGGTCTGCCATCATGATGATCTCCGCCGGTTCGATCGATAGTGAGGCGCTCTCCAAGAGGCAGCCTCCAAATGGCTAATCTGTTGTGATATCAGTCAGGCCTTTGGGGGGGGGGGGGGGGGGTTCGCCCCAGGTAGGGGATTTCTCGTGATGACGGTTAGGGTGCTGGGTGGGTCATCCTCTTCGGCGGCCACACACGCTGATTTGTCTCTCGTGTCGCCATATTTCTTCATTATTGATAAATCTTCCGAACCAAACACCGTATCTAGGTGAAAGCATGTTGGCACACCGAGTGTGGACCTTTCAGGCACGCGGATAGACCGACTCCCCGACGACGGAGATCCTACCGTAGAGCCTTGGTTGCCCCATAAAGCCACGCCATAAGTCACGCAGTAGATCATATTCCGATTGTCACCGCCAAGTCCGTTTTAGTATTCTGCAAAGGGACCGAAGGTCTAGAGCAATCCCCGGTCAAGGAGTAGCTGCCGAATCGCAGGCTTGTCGTCCAACCAAGGAAGGCCTTTGATGTAAGGGCGACGAACTTCCGTAGGCAATCAAGAGATCTTGCAGGCGGAATCGGTCCTCAATAGCGCCTCTTAACCGATTCCCAGGTTGTCAGCTTGGCCCGGTCCTTGGCTGCATGCCTTGGGATCTAAGTTGACGGGAATCCTATCGCAATAATAACCCGCGGCATAAGTGCTCGCCTCCGTCTTTTCCTTCGGGCTAGTACGCTAAAATCCTGAGAGCAGAAAGAGGACCAGAGGGCCGACTAGCCACCCTCAGCTCTACGGGATGAAATCACCCCCGCGCGCCTACCCCCTTTCTCATCCCCAAAGCTCGAGAGATCTCATCAACTTCACACGATGGGGCATTATACACGACTAGGTGCGTCGGCTTGCATCTGGTCGGTCAATACAACGGCGTGGACTTGCGCGACTGTCTACTCCGCCTCCTTACTTCCTCGTCCATCCAACTCTGACACACGTCCAGCAACGTGTGGCAAGTTGCGCCAGAAAAAGCATAGGAATAGGTCACTATGCCACCGGGGACGCGACGGGGCCGAGGGTAGTACCATGCCTCTATCCCCACACGACCTCTGGTTCGCCGTGAGCCGCAATATATGCCGCATGTGAATTTCGAGACAGCACACCTACCAGAACCCATCCCGCACAATAGGCAGTTCGCATTCGTCGACGGCATATTCCTGAGGGGAAGCCTGCCGACGTAGTACTGTCTGGCCTCTCACCCCGTATCCTCGATGGGCCCAGCATCATTGCCACCGGATGTCCACACATATAATCGCGGCCTCCCTCTGCCGTGTAACCTCCGCGATGTGGCGTGCCGTACTTGTTTAGATCGCTACACGAGAATTCGACCAAGCTGGCTTCACGGGGGAGATATGCTTGCGGTGGGAGGGTTAATCAAGCAAGCACATCGCTTGTTGACCGGGGAGGAACCCCCTATCGCCCGGTCACCTTCGGGGGCAGCGCCAATCCGAGATTTAGGCCGCACCGCGCGCGTTGACTTGCGCCTAGGTAGCAAACTGTGACCAAGCTCTCCCTCTTGGCGACCGGAGTGCTCGGTCGCACGGCGTTGGGCGGCGCATGCAAGCTATATATACATACATATAAGATCTCGGCCCTCACCGAATGTGGCAGCCCAGAACTTCGTCGGGAGTCGTCTCTGAGCACTGACCGAGCCTGATTTCCCTCGGCTTGCAGTCAGAGGATGTTCCGGTGCATCCGCCACCGATCCGCGTACATGCACCAGCCTTTCCCAGAGACACGTTGGTGTCACCTCTGGAAAGCCGGTCCGGTGGAAAATTCGAGGGATTCTGCCGGACTTCTGGTATACGCGCGCTTTGGGCATATTGTTACACTGATTGGCGCACATTTTCTAGGTTGGGATATTCAGCTACGCTCGGTGTCGCGATCACGGACCCCTAAAGGTACGGAGGATTGGCTCGCCATATCCGGTTTCTTGAAAATACCCGCTCAGGCTCCGTCTGGTTTGTGAGATATGAGGATTGGGTCTGGACAGGTGTCTTGTCTAGGACCCAGGTAAGGGGTCGGGGGCAGCGATGCCATCGGAATCGAAGTCGGCACCGACGACTAGGTGGTTAGCCAGAAGGCGGAGCATATTAGCGACATGACCGGAAGTCTGTCTCACGACGAGCAAGCGACAGCAACGATAGGGAGGGGGTGGCGCTTGAGACGGGCATCTGCCCGTGCCCTGCTGCCCAGAATGGAAGACGTAGGGAATATCACATCTAGATGAGTCCACCTACTGTGCGAAGATTCTAACGGCTGTGCGCACTGGCCCGAGGTGTCACTTGCAATATGGAATGGGCCTCGATGGGAGGCCACATAGGCTCTTCCTCATTAAGCCGCCATTTGGGCATACATGCTGACGAAATACTCGGCGGAGTTGTTCGAGCGACATAGCATGAAAAGGGGGGCGAAGCCAAGGAACGACGGGATTGCTCCGATGGGAGATCTCGACTAGGATGATAATTGGGCCTTCTCGACCGTAATAGAGTTGCGGCATTTCTCCAGGTATCCAAGAGCAGCCCCTCTACCGCTTTACCCAAGATTGCTATGCGCGCCTACTCTCTTCGCGTCCGGCTGTAACGGGCTCCTAGAGATATCCACGCCTCTCCGCCGACGGGGAGCCCAGAAGTCGAGAGAGAGCCTCGTGAGACGCCAATGTGAGATCTAGGGGGTAGATACTATGGCCTACCATAATGCCACTATAAGAAAATGCCACCTCGAACCTAGAGCCGTCGAAGCGCGGTTGTTCAGCCGGCTCTCCGTACATAACCTGTTGCCCACATATACCGCCGCAGTAGGTAAAGGGGGTTCCGCATGTTCGACGACACAAGCTAGGTTATCGTGTGTGATCCTCGCCTACATAAGGTGTACGAGTAGCAGACGTGTTTTGTCTGAGGGCGGGCGGTGGCGAGGGGGGATCGTTCGCTCTATTGTCAAGAACAGAGGCTAAGCCCTCGTATTTTAGCCATCAATCCAGTAGATACCGCCTCCTCGGTAGATACGCAGCCCAGTCTAATATAGCAGAAGCTGGCCACGGGGGTTTCGCGTATAGAGGGCATCATCTCAGGCCTTTCACTCTACGGGAAAAAGCGTGGTTATGGCCTCATTACACGCGCGCCTCTCGGGCTCTCGGCAGCCCTTAACGATGGCATTGGGGAGGTGTTCTGGGTGTCCTCTCCCGGATCCGCCGAAAGGGAGCTAGGCAGCCGGCCGCTGCCCTGGACTGGGTGGCCGGTGGGCGAGTGTTCTCGGCTTGCAGGTCTAAGCGGCTCGTTGCGAGGAAGCTCGTCGCTTGGTTGCGGCAACGCCGTGTACGTATTCTACCACACTCTTTCCTCTGTTTCTCGCTGTTCTTGGCTCACCAAGCTCGTGCCTATCCATCGTAAACTCTAGCGGAGAGAGGGGAGGGAGACGGGAGCACGGAACTGCGTGACGCAGGCTTGTCTATCTCATTCGACTGCACGCCGCCGTCCGTATTTGACAAGCAAGTAAAGCCAGCTCATGAGCGGAATACTAGCGGGTGGTATGCTAGTTCTTGATACCCGTAGCCTCTCTCTGGTCGCGTAAACTAGGAGGGGGGGCGTAGGTTTGCCCGTTCCCTAGGTTGCCGGCACGAAGGCAGGAATACAGAGGATACATAGACAGGTTGCGTTGATTGTACGCAGCGGGGTTAAGTATACGAGAGAGTAGCTCGACTAACATGAGTAGTAACAGTCGTTGGCGTGAGAGCACGCTAATCTCGGATCGATCGTGTACCTATATCCCGACTTCTTCACAGCAACAAGCACGCTCCTATAGCATCTTAATGCGTCGTTTTCATCCTGGCTACTGCACAAGACAAACGTCATAATGTATGAGCATCCCCGATGCCCGGGGACAGGGCTCCGGAGATGTAACGACCCTGGGGTTGAACAAGGCGGCAGGAGAAGAGAGACTGAAGAGCTTAGATCAAACTAGTCGGAAGACCTCGTCGCGTTCACCTTTGTAGCGAGAGGCGCATACGGTATATGTAGGCACACGTATGCCTCCCTCGGCCTGCCTTCTTCTTCATGCGGGTCCTCTATACGTTCACCTTCCCCCCAATGCGGCTTTCTATCTGGCAGACTATATCAATACAAGCATCGTAATTCAGGTGCTCCTGGCATTGAAACAACGCCGCGCTTAAAAGACACATCTCTACGTATGTGCCGCTCTGGTAGTCCAAGTGACAGTAGGGTATACCCACTCATGTCTATCGCGCGGTAAGCTAAGGGTATATACATGTATGCGTGTGTGTTATACCGTCTTGTCCATCCGATGTATACGTCCGTCCTCGCCGGCCCCCACAGGTTGCTCTACCTGGACTCGAGAAAGGCGAGTAGAGGAAAGAGGAAGGAAGGAAAAGGCAACGGAAAAATAAAAAAGAGAAATGCTCGCCGTGCCCCTAATTGAATATCCAATTACCCCCTTCTATCAAAATTATTGCTCGAGCCAACCCGGTGTCTAAATCTCTAGCTTGCGGTATAGCTACCGCATAGGTTCTATCTAACCCTATGTCCTTAGCCTATTACGTATGCTCACTACCGCTCCCGTTGGTGCCCCCCAGCCGCGGGCTCAGAGGACCCGTGGGACTCTTGGGACTCTTCACCTTTTTCCCGGCACCTTTGCCTACGATTTTCTCCGTCCAATTCCAACCTGGACTGGAAGATCTCGGCGAATCGTTGCCTTGACTACCCTTTTGATTCCTACCGTACGCCATGTCCATGTCTATCTCGCTGTCATCTCCACTATCGGCGAAGTCTTGGTCGCTCCAGCCCGCGGAGTCGCTCCTATCGTACGACGGCCGAGACGCAGGGTCGCCTGAGCTATGGGGGGCCGATTGCTTCTCCTGGGCCCGCGATGGCAGATCTGACACCGAGTCTATGGCCTCAAAAGCCTCACTAGCGGTATGCTTGTGAGCACCCCCCTTTGTCCGGGCATCTCCTTGAGTGTGAGTTTCCGCGCCGGTTTCGTCGGGAGGATCATACATCGACTTGGCATTCTCTCCATTCTGCTCGAAGGTGTCTCGCGTGCGAGCAGCTGCGCTATCGCTGAAGTGGGCATCGACGAGGTGTTTAACCACCGGCCACCCAAAAGCGTTTGAGAATTTGCGTCGTACGATGATATTGTTGTGGGCGTCGGGCTCTAATTTGACCAATACCTTTCGCCAGCTCAAGCCGCGGTGGTAAGCCCGTGCGATTTTCTCCTCGACCTTCATACTCGAGCTATCGATAACCTCGTCGCTTTCCCTATCGGGATCTGTATGCGTATAGTCGTCGTAGTCCCGAGTTGAGAGACTCGAATCCTCGTGGACGAACCCCAGATTCGGGGAGTTAGGTTTGCTGGCCTCTTCCCTGGGGGATGATGGATTACTAGATGCGGTTGCTTTATTTCGTACCATGAGCGATCTAGTCGGGCGTTTCTTGAGTGGCGGGGGAGGGATATCGGGTGGGTGGTAGACTCGATCATGGAATATCGTGCGCGGGCGCTTTGAGGGATCGAGAAGGTATTCGACTGTTGGTAACGTAGGGTTTAGAAGGTCTCCCGCAGACTCGAAGAATGTCGTTCTAGGAGGAGCAGAAACTGGCTGTGTCTGGTCCTCGCTGAGCTCGTGACCGGAAGATACTCTTGACTTGCTAGAAGAGGCGGAATCTGTGCCTGTCTCTATCTTCAACGTCTGGCTGCGCTGGTAGATTTTGCTCTCCCGAGGAGACTGGGGCGGGGTCTTCCTAGACGACTCGTTGGACTTGAAGAAGTTGAAAAATCCAGAGAAGGCGTAGTCATTGTTAGTCTGGGAGTTTTGGCTGTTCGGGCCCATCTCTAGATGGGGGGTCGCTAGGCTTAGACTGCGCCTGTCATCCTCGGTTGTCGCGTCGCTCGACGGCTGGGGGACCTCGTGGGAGTCGCCGTGTACATCCTCTTCCGGCTTGGCGCTAGATTGTGACCGAGATGGCGTCTCCTCAACTGTCGGCGACCAAGGACTTCTCCGGGACGTCGCATTAGCACCAGTCAATTCTGCCCACCCGAACCCAACCACGGTTTCCATGAGGCCGGCTTCTCGCCGAGCCTTCTCCACACGACCGAGTCCCTGCCAGTCCAGAAACAACAAGCAACTCGTCCGCAGTGGCACAATCCCGTCGTTGACCACATTCGAGTATATTGTTCGGTTGCGAAATTTCTTCAGGGCGGTATGTGCTGGCCCGGTTGGAAGGATGCGCAGAAGGGGTTTTGATTCTGGCTGCACTTCGCCCATGACCTTCTTGTGAGCACTCTCGCCGAGAGTTCCAACTATTGCACCCCAACCACTTCTAGCAATAGTCGGCGCCCGCCAAGTAAGGCCTAGGTCTTGACCAGTCCTCCCAACGAGACCAAAGTCTAGGGCAAATTTGACATATAAGGGGTTCTCATTACTGAGACCGAGTAGCGGCGAAGCAAGCGTGATGAAGTTGACCGGCCGGATCAGGTCAAAGAAGCGGGGCGAGTGCTTCTGGATGTATGCAATCGCATACACTTGAACTAGGCCTCCGAGAGAGTGCCCGACGAAACTGATGCTAGTGATTCGGAACTTCGGGTTGGTTTCGTGGTTTTGGCCCAAATGTATGGTGCTGTGTTTATGGGCCGGCTTCCCGTTGGCATCGACATCTCCGCTGCTGCCTTTAAAAGCACTGACTACACTCTCAGTCGCCGCCTTTTTCATGGAGGGGAGAAAAGGCTGGTCTGGGTACGTGATGGATAGTATCCAGCGGGCCAGACGCTTGCCCAGGAACTTGATACCTCTCTCTGTTCGGGTGGCATTCCCCGAGAAGCCTCGCACTATAACTTCCTCTTCTTCATCCTCATCACTGTGGGAGTTGGCCTCCTCTGTGGATAGCCTCTTTCCCTCATGTTCTTCCGACTGGTTGTCTTCTTGTTCCGCGCTCTCGCGAGCCTTCTCTCTTGCTTTCCTCGCCTTCGCGTCAATCTTTGCCTGCTTCGCGGCCGCGTCAATGCTCTCTTTAATGTATAGCATATCACCTCCAAGATTACTGTGCAGGCCGTGCGTCAGGATGACCAAGTGAATCCTTTTGGGGGGCCGCCCGGTGATATTCTCTTTGTGTGCACTTGGCTCTGCAGTGCCGTCAAGTGTCTTGTCTTTACTCGGCAGATGGCTGGATCTGCCATGATCGCGGCCGTCCCAGCCAGGTAGTGGCGGCGCATTCCAGAGGCTCGCCGTATCCTCAACTTTCAACGTAATGGCCCGGGAAAATATACCCTTCGACTGTGAGGGATGGTGACCATCTTTCGAGTCAGAGCCGTGCTGAAAATCGCCTACTTTCCCCGGCTGGGGTGCTTGAGCCTGGCCGCCTATCACCGGCACACTGCCTAGGCTCAGACTCTTCTCGTCGCGTGCAAGCAAAACCTCATAGCCGACGGCAGCACTCGCAGAGAAAATGACTTGGCTGGCGATCTCCACGACCCAGCTCGCGGTCTTGAGGGGCTCTTCGCTCACGGCGTTGCGTCCGACGTCCCCTCTCGCGGCCGCCGTGCCAGCGCTCTCGCGGATGTCGTCCGGCACGATCAACTGGCAGGTCCACGTACCCCCGGCTTTAAGCATAGGCTCGAATTCAGGGACGCCATAACGCCGGGGATTCTCGAACTTGACGTTCGGGTCGTAATGGGCCGGGTATGCACATACGCTCAGGGTATAGGGTCCGTGTACGAAGGCGGCTCGTAGAGGGATGGGAGAGGTGTTGCGGATGCGGAGCTGTAGAAACTCAGGCGGCGGGAGGATTCGGTCGTGCGAGGGAGTATAAGTCAGTGTATAACGGACAACTTCACCGATCTTGACACTTCCGACCTGGTATAGAAGCAGCATGTTTCATCGGAGTTGGCTTCGATCGGTAGCGAGAGAGAAGATCGAGGACGGGTCATTGGGTCGTAAAGTAGCTTGATGGCGGTGACTATCGACAGCATATGAGAAAAGGGCACTCAGTTAGGAGGACATGACAAGGGGCAGTAAAGATGACGAGCTTAGGGGTCGGGGAACGGACGTATAGATGTAATGGTATAAACGTAGTTGGTAGTTGGTAGTATAGACGTAGTAGCGTAGGTGTCTTAGAGGAGAAAATAGAGAGGAGAAGCTCAAAGGGCGATCATCAGACAGGGTCCCATTGTGTCATTCTGGCGGAGTTGATGTTGTCCCATGAAGTCCGACAGTGCCGAAGTGAACGTGCGTTGATGTTGTTGGAGGATGAAGATCGCGTTACCGGCGCAGTAGAAGTGCTTAGTAGAGTAAGGAAAGCAGTATACTAATCGACTCTACCCATCAGCCATTAGCAGATAGCTGGCGGGATTTAAAAGTTACAAGCTTGAGGACAAGAGAGCACGAGGGCAGGCCGACCAGAGAGATCCAGAGCATTGGGTTGGCAGTCCCCTAAACGGGTAACGGGAGGTACCTATCAGGGACCAGGGGTGGTACACACATATGTACACCTACAAATACAACATGTATTGATATATCGGGCTTGCACTATGATTTCGCGTTGAACCAGATAGTGAGGTACTAAGAACGTAAGCAAAGGAGACGTCCCACGTTCCTGCCATGACAGAAGGAACTGCTTCATGTACACCTATTACATCAGTGGACTGAACTTTTACAGGTACCTAAGATAAGTCCCTTGACCAAGTCTACGTCAAGGTACCTCCTTAGGAGGTAGCAACGAAAGAGGAGGTACCTCCTAATACGAGGTGAGGCCAGGCTAGGTGCCTTAGGTACCTAGGTAGGCAGGTAACTATACCTCCAAGTAAATACATTTAAAGCAGTGCCTCGTCGACGTTATGAGCACTGAGGTCCCTACACGTAGTCTAGAGAGGTTGCTTGAGCTACTGCGGTATCTGACCTAGGTAATACTACATTAGCAAAAAGGAGCCAAAGACCCCACGCTTCTATTTACCAGAACATCTGTCAATCAGACAAGTCACCTCCACAGGCATATAAGCTTCAGCCAGGCTGGGAACAGCTTAGGTACCTAGCTAGAGCACGGGCGGACGTTCAAGCAGATCCATCTATCCCATTGCATGTCTACAGGATTATGCATCATGTGCATATGTATGATATATGTATGTATCGTGTGTCCACACAACCCTGAGAGAGACTATTGATTATTACCTCCCTACTTAGGTATGTAAGGTACCTGCCAGTAGTCTCCTCTCCCGAACTAAACATATCGTTGAGCATGTGTTCTGTATTAGAGCCTCATGGGTCCTCCCCACAAGCCTAGGCAGACATAGGCACATATAATTACGTATGACTACCGTAGCTGAATTTGCTTTTCAAGCCTTGACTGCATGATTGCGGAGAAGAAAATACATGCTGTAGCGGGAAAGGGGTAAGAGAAACGTCTTCCGAGTGAACGGGCTGCTCTCAGATGGCAGATGATAGGTATGTAGGTCCTGCTAGCAACTCGCAAAGCTAAAGAACGATATAAGTTATATAAGCACGTGTGCATATATTATGGTAAGAACAAGCTGTGGCCATCGCTGATGTTTCTGCCTATCGCAAAGATCAGGTCTACCAGGCCGAACTACTTATAGAAACAACAACGTTCATTGCTCTATGCGCCGTATATTATATTTTCTGATAACGGGTGGGTCGGGTGCCTACCTAGGTACTCATCAGACATATTCCCATAGCTATAGACTTATTTCTAGCACTGTGAATTATTTTTTAAACCGGCTTGACTACCAACCTCTCACCAGAAATAAAACAGGAGGCTATGATCGAAACATCAAGTATTTCTCCATCACAAGCTCGAGTTTTCAGTCTCTGTGCTCCCCCGCCCCCCTGAGCTACAATGAGATTCTTCAACAGATGAACTGAACTGACCAACACCCTCCCCCCTCCCCTGCCCCCCTCCCCAAAAGCGTGGTACTATTTGATTGGCACCCTTCCCAGGAGCTAATGCCGCTTACTACGTAGATTAGGCGTCTTTTCCCTTTTCTTTTTTCCTTCTCCATCATAAGGCTGGCCGGCCCGTCCATCGTCCATCGGCAATCTAAGCCTCTTCTGGGTCGCCCGTCCTGGTAGGAAGACTTTCTGGAATTCCCGCCCGTTCGCCCAGGTCGCAACAAGTCGTGGCCGATGCATGGAAATCCACAAGTCTAACGCAGGGGAGAGACCGTCGACACCTGCGCTCCTTGGTCGGGAAGATGGGTCGAGTGGTAGATGGTAAACTCCAGTTGAGGAATGCCTACATCTGTTGGGAAGAGACCAGTCGGTTTATGTGACATGGCAGGGCACGGCCGAAGCTACAGCCGAAAGAGTCCCTCTCTGGGCCGGCATACGATCATCGGTCACATTGCTACGAGATGGACAGCCGCGTGGTGGGATTTGGGGGGAAACCCCCTCGCCTAGCCAGCGTTGCCTTGGGCTCCGCAAACCGCCAATCGTGAAGTAATCACTATCCATTTCTGCGCATACATGTCACAAATTGGCCGTCTCTGGTGGCCATGCCTCTTCAGCTTTCGGGAACGAGATCCAATCTTTGCAAGATCGGGCCACCAATGAGATGTCCAAGAACACCATCTTCACTCACCGCCTGAAAATGTACGAGGGAGGAGAAAATGGCCGGTGATCGGCCACGGGGAAGAAAACCTAGCGAGCCTCAGCAGCATGTGTACAATATAGAGCAAGACGTGGAGGCGACGGATGGCGTAACTAAGCCCACACGTATACACGTGTATGGATATATACTCCGTAGTATGTACGTATGTAATGAACATCGCATCGTGTTAATTGAGGAACTGGAGAAGACGTTCCTCCTGCTCGCGAGTCTGTGGCGATGAGTTGAGACCCGATAAAATGCCCGTAGAGCTCTAGGGATCTACGCACCTGATTCACCGGACATCTGCATGCCGTCGAGACAAGTCCAAAACGGATACACTTGCTTTTTCTTTTTTTTTTCGTTCATGCCCACGGAGGCCGAGCGCAGACTCGAGCTCGAGTCCGTGCCCAAGCATGGACTAACTTACCGTAGGTGATGGTAATGTAAAAATATGAGGCTTTTATTTCTCTTCCTTTTGCCCTCAGGTTTTATTTTATTTTCGGCGAGAGAGAGACAGAGAAGGAGGAAGGGAGGGGGGGGGGGGTATTGTACATAGGTATGTGAGTTCACAGTCGTATTGTCTCCAAGGGCTCATAAAAGTGGCTCACAAGACTTGATACGGCAGTGTCCGGAGTGGTTGGCTTTTGGCGATGGAGCGCTCGAAACCGGCTGTTTCACAACGCCATCCTTCCACGGCTTTACGTGGTATCGATCTGTCAAATAGGCAGCACCGTAGCAGATAGAATCCGGTTTAGTACCATCTACAGGATGAGCTGGACCGGCTGCTACATGGGAAGAAACGCTTGCGACCTGAATTAGCGTTTAGGAACGACAAGATCACCAAAACATACATAATACAGGGTTGGATACCAGACGGCAACATATCGCACGGCGCAGCGCATAGTGTAACTTGGGCCGGCGCCCGCCTGCGTGCCTGATGACGATGGATTGATCCCCCGCCCCCCTATTTCTTTTTACCGACTTTATTATTCGTGGATTGGGGGGGGGTCTTGTGTATGGTCTATGTATGGTTTATGTGGGATTGATCTATGGGATGTGTGTATCTTCTCGAGAGGCTCACGGTGAACGGGAAAAGCCGGCAGACTCGTGACGAAAGTGTTGTCGCGTTCGCGTAGTATTTATTTGGTGTCACTTGATGCCAACTATCTATCCTCTACCGCCGAAAGGGGTCACACTTCTGAGACTATGGCACGACGTGTGTGTACGTAGACGTATGTGCGCGAGGAGAAGATGTGTGACGGTGATTGAGAGCGAGCGGGAACGCGAGGGACACAGACACCCACCTATGTGCATAGAGAGAGAGAGAGAGAGAGAGAAATAGGCCAGACCCTCTCTTTCTTTTTCTCCGTGACAAACGGACTGGACTGGCATGCGAGGGGGGTTCTGCTAACGGTAGGGCCATCGAGGAGCGACGATTTTAGTCGCGCTGGTGCCGCCGTAATCACTGCCCAACCACTTATATCCACTCCTAGAGCCATTCGGGCCACTCCCTACAGAAACCCCAGGTGAAGATCACAGGTGACCAGAACAGGGGACACTGAAGGCGGAGAAGGAGAAAGAGAGAGGGGTTGTTGTTTTGAAGCTGACTTACCCCCGTATCCTCCGCAAATTCTTTTCTTTTTTACTATTTTTTTCTTCTTCCCCAATACACATTTCCTCTCCCCCCCAACTTGCCCGAACATATCTCGTATCCTCAGATTCTAGCTAAAGACCACATGGTCTCATCGTGGTTCTAGCCTCGAGCAGCTGTCGAGACAGAATCAGGTGCGATCACGCATCACCGCCTTGCCATTTGGCGTCTGCTGGGGGGGGGAGTGTTTTCGCCCGATAACTGCACATCCCACTCCTAACGCAGATCCAGTCCAATCAGCCCCGGACTGGGTGCATGCAAGTAGCCATTCAGAAGTAACCAGCTGTTCACTTTCTACGATACCGGCAGGTCTTCGTCGACCAACCGAGCAGCAGAGAGCAGGACGGCCTCTCCTACGAATCCGTAGCGACGGGGCTAGTCGGACGGACAAATGGCACAATCTCGCCATACTGGTGCCAAGAACCGGCCCAGGCGTCGACACCAGACACGCAGTCCCTCTCCATCCTACCGCCACGATTGGGCTTCCCGACCTGGTGCCCCCCTCCATTCGCTCCCTTACCGAGCCCGAGGACCTGAAATACGAAGGCCCGACGATAGGGCGTCAGAAGACATTTTCCATCACCGTGCACGATCATCCGAGGACACAGACGACACTGCCGATCCGATGCCTCAACCCCAGCAACTGGCCCGGCCGGGCACCGCTACGCCCCGGAATGGCAAGGGTCGGGCCGTTTATCTCGAGATTGATGACGACGACGACGATGAGGAAGAGCGCATGATGACAAGGCTCCGATCCAGATCGCGGCCGAGGATGCCCTCGAGGGCCGTGAGCAGCAGCGGTGACGACGAGACTTACGAGCTTCCGACCCCGCCGAAGACGGCCCCCGTACATCGCTCGCGGCCTACGTCGAGAGTGCCCTCGGCGTCTTCGTCGAGGACTTCGAGCACCGACTCCGTGGTGACGATATCTACCCTCGAGGACAGGAAAAATCGCCGGAGCCGCCAGAGGATGAAGATTGAGGCCCCCCCCGCCGCCGCCGACCGTGCTGAGAGCCGACACAATCTGCGGAGGCTCCGCTCTCGATCTAGGTACCGGACCGACGGATCGGACAGCGACGAGGACCCTGGGCTCGCTAAAGCCCTGCGCGTACGGGAGAGATCCGCGTCCCAGCCGCGACTGAGACGCCGCTTAGCATCGCGAAGCGCCTCGCGGGTTCGCAACCGCCGAGACCCGTATGAAGACGGAGAGCCCAGTTCCTCGAAGCGGTAGGTAGACAGCACACCACGTCTCGCGGAGATTGACGAGACTAACCGACTTCTTCTGCCAGGCCGCACCGGAGGCGGTATTACGATTCGGACGTGGGGTATTCCGATAAACCAATGCTCTCTCGCGCACACACCGCCCCGAGCTCGCATGTAACATCGCAGAGTATGGACCCCTCCTCGAGACGCTCGTCCCCTTTTCTGAACATGTTCGTGGTGCCAGGGTTTTCGACGACGCCCGAGAGGCCGGGAAAGATGTAAGTGTCTTCGAACGGGATCCCTCCCGCACCCTGACGCCGTGATGTAAGTTGGTCTGAGTGAACCCGAGCTAATCGTGTCCGGCCAGGGTTGAATGCGTCGCCTGCCTTGACGACCTGCCGTCAACAAAGACGGCTAAGCTCAAGTGCGGACATCGGATGTGCAGGCCGTGCCTCAAGCGGCGCTTCAAGATCTCGGTCAAGGACCCGTCGCAGATGCCGCCGCGATGCTGCACGGCGGACTGCATCTCTCTCAAGCACGTCGAGGACCTGTTCGATATCGACTTTAAGAAGACTTGGAACCGCAAGTTCCACGAGTTCTCAACCCGCAACCGCGTCTACTGCCCAGGCAAGAGGTGTGGTCGCTGGATACAGCCAGACCAGATCACGCGTCACGCGAATGGCCGCAGGGTGGGCAAATGCAGCACCTGCCAGACCCGGGTATGCTGCGACTGCAACAGCAGGTGGCACGGCTCCGGGCAGTGTCCCCCGGATGAAGAGACTAACCAGATCTTGCAGCAGGCCAAAGAGGAGGGCTGGCAGCGCTGCTTCAACTGCAGGAACATGGTCGAGCTGAAGGAGGGTTGCAACCACATGACCTGGTAGGCCATCCCACGTCGTGATCCGAGGGCCCGCGGCCGAATCGCTAACTGAGGCGAATCTAGTCGCTGCGGCGCCGAATTCTGCATGATATGCGGCCTCCAATGGAAGACGTGCGAGTGCCCGTGGTTCAATTACGAGACCCTTGACCCGGACCACCTGAGCCGCATGCAGATCCCCGAACCCTTGGTGGACCCCGAGAGACTCGGGAATCGTTTGTCGCCTGGCGGCGGGCTGCGGATCCGACCGGGCTTCGGTGACGAGCTGCGCATGCGACGTCTCCAGGAGCAGCAGGATGAGGAGCTAGCGCGGCGGCTCCAGTTCGAGGACTCAGATGACGACTACATGGACGTCCCAGCTGGCGTCGCCGACAGTACGGAGCCTTTCATGGCCAGCGACTACCGGCGCCGGCCGCAGACCGTGGTGGTGCCTCACGCGCCGCCGCCGCCGCCCGTCGCCCCGTTCGAGAGGGCCAACTCGGTCACGGACTACGTTGCAGGGGTGAGCAGGGCCCGCGGCTTCCGCGCCACCTCGCTCGAGCGCCGCCTCGCGGACCGCTTCGAGCAGCGCCCGGGCATCGCTAGCCCGACGCACCCACCCACCCCGTTCGGGCACGGCGGCATCCCGCCCCCTCCGGCCCCCCCGCGCGCCGTGGGCCCCCCTCCCCTCTCACAGCCGCCCCTCGCACCGGCCTCGGCCGCGCCCATACCCATGCTGCGGAGACACACGATAGACGACGACATGTACGACAACCCGCGGTCCAGCCGATACCACGACCGGTCCTTCCCGAGACGGGCCTCGACCCGCGGCTACGTCGATGATCCGGCGGTCTACGAGCCCGGCAGCCGGGTGCGGCGCCGCGGGCGCTCAGCCTCGCTGTCCCCCAAGGACTCGGTCCTCGCTGGCCTCGCTGGCCCTGGTCGCGGGATGCATCGCGTCTATGAGTGGGTGAACCACGTCGAGTCGGACCCCGCCATCATGACTTGAAAAAAAGGAAAAGATTTGAAGTCGAAAGCTAACATAATCTAAGGGGTAACGAGTAGGCCTGGACTTATCAAGGGGCCTACGTTTTGCATATTCTTTGTGTGCTTCTTTTTCTCTCTTTTTCCTCTCCTCCTTTCCTCACGACGGTCACGACGGCACGATGTCTGGATATGAATACGCGTGGAAGCTTGGGGTGGAATCTACTTAATATTTCTCTCATGGGTTTATTTCCTTTCTTCCTTTTTTTTCTTTTTTGCGCACGCAGGCTGTAACATCATTTACAACACAGAATACCTCTACGCATACTGACACCCTCTTAAGAGAGGGAAAGAGAGAAAACAGGCATATCGCGAGTTCTCGAGCAGCCGATTCGCGTGGTCCAATTTGGATATGGTCCCATCCCAGGAGACGTACACACCCACACGCACATGTATCGAATCTAGTGTTTTGGACCTTTTACTTTTCTTCAAATGGGAGTTGCGGGCATTCATTGCCAGCTATTCGCGACCTTTTTTTTTTCATCCTCTTCTATCTCCCGTCTTCTGTCAAGGGGAACAGAACTATCATTAGGTACTTTGTCTATGAAGCTTCGGAAATTTAGAAGTCATTACAGAAAAGAAAAAGCCTGCTTTACTCATTCTTAACGCGCGTCCGCAGACCTCATCCTAATCCTCCCCCGTTTTCTCGACGCCGGGTACAAATAAGACGTTGCAACATTGGGGTCGTAATAATAACCAACTCCGAAATCTACGAGATACTCAAGTTGGTAAGAGAAATATATAAATATATACTACATGAACTTCGCTCGGGCCATTCCCACTCAACCCTTGCTCACTCATTTGCTCACCCACGCTCGTCCTCTGACCGTTTACCATAATCCAGGCCTTAACTAGCCAGGTACATACCTCACGCATTCCTCAATACCGCGAAATAGGCTCCCCCTTCATATCTGTTGCCCCGGACTGTGGAGCCACGGGTAAATGATATATCGACGGTTCCGAAGGTGCCGGTACTTGTCCCATTTGGTGCGTAATGTCGTCGAGTTGCGGCTCCGGAGACGACTCGCCTACTACAGTTGCGTACGCGGGCGGCTTTTCGTTCATCGAGTGGACCGGGAGAGGAGTGGGCGAGATTGGGGAGTGAGCAGCGGTCGTGGTAGCGGACGGGGAATACGTCAGCGCCGGCGTCGACGGGGCCGGGCCAGATAATGTAGATGCGGATGCGACACGGTGCTGCATAGGTATGTTTTCTGCGCCCATTGGGGCCGCGTCTCTATGAACGTAGCCTTGGTTTGGATTCACGAAGGCGGCCCCTGGCGGCGGCGGCGGCGGGTATATGGTCGAGGTGGATGAAGCTGCGTAGTTTTCGATATCGTCGGCCTTCCTCTCAGCTTCTCTCCGTAACTTGCGTCTAGGTCGAAAACGGACGAAGTACCAAATGGCGAACAGCACCAGAAGCATCACCAAGCCGCCAACGACTCCTCCTGCTATAGCCCCGCCATTAACGGGCGGCGAATTGTCTTCGGAGTCGTCATTACGGTCCATTCCGCTGAGAAACTGCCTATGGCTTTCGTAATAGTCGTCTTCGTTGTCGTCTTCACCAATGCCAAAGTAACGCTTATCCAGTATGCCCCTAGGCACGGGCGTTCGTATGTCCCTCAACCCGGCGGGGATGACTCTAGCTTTGGGCGAATGTGTGATCTTGGTGGGATCCCTCGACTCCAACTTGGGGCCATTCTCCTCCAAAGTCCTTGGCCGTGCAGTGTCCGCGACGACGCCGGCCACGAGCGGCAGTAAGAAGGAAGTGTAGCGCATGGTCGGCAGATTCCCTCAGGTTTCTCCCGAATGTTTTTTTTTCTTCTCTTCTGTGGCCTCTAGATGCGAGAGATTACTTCGCAAGCTAGGAGACGCAGGAATAGCGTGGCGAAGAAACAAAGGGGAGAGGGAAGCGGGTGTAAGCTTAAGGCGAGGGCGGGCTCGGGGGAACGACGAGGGATCATCAACGGAGTTTAGTTACGACAAAGCGCCCTGCCTGCCAAGGTCCGCTGTTCCAGCCACGAAACCCAAAAATGGCCAGAGAAACCCGATCACGGTGCTTTTATCGAGATGGCGATCTCTCCGTAGAGACGACTGGGCAAGCATACGCACAACCAATTACGCTGGGCGGAGTTGCTGCACTGCCCCGGCGCCGTACCTATCACGTAGAGGTCAGGGGCGCGAATTGCATTCAGCGACGAGTCTTACACGGGGGGCTAACCTTGAGAGGCCTATGATCTTATGATCTTATCTTGCCGGCGCCCACTCTATGGTTCCTAATGAGGCCCATCATTGGCGTGTATGTAGGATGCTTACGGCGCCCATCCAAATCAAAATGTGGTAGTTCACAGCACTAGCCTTACCCCGATGTGAGAGGCAACACGAAAGGCCCCCGCCCTCTCTCCCTCCCTCCCTGTCTTCCCGTCTCTCTCTCTCTCTCATACACATTGATATTAAAAGGCGTCGACGTGACAAACAGCCGACTCCGTCCAAAATAAATGAGAAGATTGCCTCCGAGCCAGTCGCCTATTGCTTGGTGCCAACAGCGTGCAGTATCGACGAGAGAACATGACCCAAACATCATGCGATGAGACAGCACTTCGCAGCCAACTAAACACAGCACGCCGCGTCTGCGCCGTGGCTGAGACATTAACGATGCAGCATGGGTGAAGCAGTGACGAGAAGTAAAAGCAGATTAGAAGCCCAGCAATATATATCTCACAACCTCCTCTCCCCCACGTATGCAGGACGAAATCCCACTGTCAGCCAAGAATCAACAATAGGTCCAATCCGTCAGAGCGACAATCAAATCCTCTCCCCATCCTTCTAATTGAGTGATAGTTTCCGAGCGATGCCTTACTTTTTTTCTTGGCCTCGTAGACTCCCCCCCGTTTTTTCTTCTCACCTCTGCCCACCTCTTCCGAGCGAGCCGTCCAAGTACCTTTTACCTAGGTATGTGCTATGCTTACCCCTGCCACTTGGTGTCTCCGGCCGAGCCAACAGCCACCACGGAATCTGAAAGGGGGGGGGGGCTGAAAATGACTGGTTGACTGGTTATGTGATTTTTCTTCTTCCGGCGGGGACGCGCATCCTCTCCCTCTCGTCCCTCCGCTTCCTGCATTGCCCAGCTGCTGAGTAACTCCGTCTGAGACCTGTCACTCGACGCCAAGCACCGAATTGATGATGCGCGTGTGGCGAGTGCCGACAGCGGCAGCACGACAGAACCCAGCGTATGGCGCCAGGCATCGGTCATTGGAAGTTGGTGATATCAGAGCGTGCGGCGGCGGGGAAGAAGAATAGGAAGTGGAAGAAGGGGACGAGGCCGGGCACCAGGCCTATCGTCTCAGCCCGCTCGAGGTCGTCATCGTCGCGCCTCCTCACACGACCCCACGTAGTATTCTTCATGTATCGTCAGCTCTCATCGTTGACTTCTAGAGCGGGATCAGGCTGGCCACGATGCCGCATGTCTGGCCCAGGACCGAGCCACCTGATGGCGAAGACGTTACACCGGCTCGGGTGCCAATTAGCACGTCGAAGTAGGGTCTTGCGTAGGGTCGGAGATACGGATATTCCCGTCGTTTGAGGCATATTACTCGCCGCCTGTTTCCTGTCGACGATGCGTCTCCCCGAGAAAAGTAGGGAGACGTGGCGGCGGCAGCCACGATGCCATTGGAATATCCCCCAGCACACACATCGGGGGCTGGTCGCAGGCTTCTGCCACCGCACGTACCACGACGTCGGGTGTCCGCGTAGAGGTTTTTTTCGCACGGACAATCGTCAGCGTCGCTGATAAGGCTGTAGATGTGGCCGCGATGCCGGCAGTCCGCGAGGCATGCATAGGGCTCTCAAGATCTGCGGTCGGCAGGTAAAGCAAGCGATTGGCCCTCGGCGTAGTTGTAACTGCGGGAGTACGCGCTGTTCCGACAAATCGAGTCATTGTTGAGTTGAAACATGTCTGACAGCTTGTCGAAATGGCTATCGGGGCGGATCAAATGATACTCGAGGCCTGAAATCACTGCAGGTATCTTTTTCTTAACCTCGTCGAGGTTAGCACCACTTTCTAGCAGGGGATGCTAGAAATGAAGCTTCTGAGGCTTGGTTAGCACGAGATACGGAAAGGCGTAGGCTGTCACTCCACTATGTTGACCTGTTTTACCATATTCTTATCCAGCGCTTGATCCGCGATGCGTCCCCGCTGGTTCTAGAGATAGCAAAGCGAGCGCAGGTCCTCGCTCAGGTGTGTGAACTCGTCATCAATCGCAGCTCGTGCATGCTGGCGACTTTTTATAGGTATTCACCATGGTCCCCCGCTTCTGTTATTAGGCTCTCTCGTCTGTGGAAAAGTTTCCCGCGTCTGACACAATGCAAGAAGCATGGGAAGTTTGGCTGCTCTTGATGGAGCGATACAGATCCTAGCCATTAGATGGCCTTGGCCTGCTTAGTTGAATAATTCGAAGCCAAATACGGGATGGAAGGGGGAGATAGGTAGAAGGACGGCAGCGCTGCGGCAGTATGGATGATAATAAATTTGCCCTTGCAACAGGCTCACATCATATGAATTTAATGAGTCGGTTGAAGCAAGTTCGCAAAGAATAATCCTACCCGGATCGATATGATCTATGATCTGTCACCAAGGGTTAAGGGGTTGAGTGCTTACGGCGGTATGGATAGCTACGCTTGGTGTCATGAGATCCAGAGGCAGGGGCATCATAGTAAGCCAACGAGTGGGGAATCATTCGTGTTATCAGTTCATATTTCTTCTCACCCTCAGGCAGCATGCGGTTACTGATGGGTACAGTTGACGATCTTTCGCACAAGATGTGTGATAACCGGATCTGGGGTTTCATGTCCAAGCGACCAACCCCCTAGGGGCACCCCGTCCCAGCCCACCCGAAACTCTAAAGTCACGGCAAGCCTTCATGCCGTTGGGCACGGTTAAATTCAAGAGCATGATTGTTAGTAGACAGGGTGGGAGAAGATCCTCGAGCTCGTTAAGCAGTCATGACAACTAAGAATTAAGACAGGCGAATGATGCCATGGTTTAGAGAAAAAGAATCATCTTCAGAAGACCTATTGAATCCCACTCTCGACATTCTACCTTAGCCCTATGCTGCTGTGTTCCCTTCCATCTGGACCCAAGACTCGCAACCAGCTTTTCTTTCTCGCGTAGCAACTACTGCCGCAAAGCTGCAGGCAGAATCCGAAGAGATGAGACCCCAATGATCCGTAATATTAACTGGCCGATGGCAAACAACAATGTTTTTACATAAAGAGAAACGAATAAGGATCTACCCGCTTCGCTCCTCTCTCCCCCCCATGTGCTCCTCCTATCCCTTCTCCGTAGCCCGTGTGGTAGACTCTCACTTCACCGACGGTGACCTTGATGCAAGATGTGTACCGAGATGTCGTAGACCCTCTATTCCTTGAAGACGACAGTGTTTATTTCTATACGAGATGGGTTAGCACTCCGCAATGCGTTGTGAGTCGCGGCAGGATACTCACGGGTCTGCTGGATGATGGCCTGGATCTGGGGGATGAGAGACTGGTCGATGAGAGAGCCAATGTTGAAGTTGCCAATGCCGTTGATGAGGCCGAGGTTGATGGCACCGAGCTGCAGGGTGCTCAGGTCGAAGTTGCCGAAGATGCCGAGGCTGCCGAGCTGGGACAGGAGAGCGATCTGCTGGAGCTGGAGCAGAGCGTTGATGTCGAAGGCATTGTTGACGAAGAGGTTCTGGAAGCCGCCAATGTTCAAGTTGTTGAAGGCACCCAACTGAGCGAACGCCTGAAGGTTGAAGCCGTTGATGGCCAACAGGTACTGGAGATCAAGGTTGGCAAAGTTGAAGTTGTTGAACTGGCCAAGGTTGACGACGGCGCGCTTCTCGGCCTCAGGGGCCGTGGCGGCAGGGGCAGTAGGAGCAGCCGTGGCGAAAGCGGCAAGGGCGCTGACGAAGATGGTGGAGGCCTTCATTTTGAATAGTTGTAGAGAGTGTGTTGGTAATAAAGATTAAGTGTAATGAGCACAGCTAAGTAGATCTCGTTAGCTATACCATGTCCCGGCTGGTTCGGCTGGCCTCGATTGCTCGATGCTATTGTAGAGCTCACCTCGATGAGTTCTTATAATGAAGTAATGAGTGAATGTAAAGAATGAAACGAACAGCGAGCACAGCTAGTGGATGTTAGTCAGGATTGCCCGATAGAGTGGTGATCGTTGAAGCCATTCAGGGCTCGATGCTTACCTCTGAAGGAATGAATGAGAGAGTGGGTTGAGGTCTGAAGATGTCCTTGAATTGGATGGTGGGATGGAGAAGAAAAGGAGATGGAATTGGATGAAGTGAACATGTCCTTATATATCAAATGTCCTGCTATGTTGACCGTATAGCATGAGGCCCCGGAAGCGCTGCCAAGTGCGCGAGAGTCACGAACATCTCGGAAAGCACCTGTAGGATGGTTCCGGTACGTGTCAGGAGAAGGTACCGTTAGGCGGATGTGCGAGTGGTAAAACGATCCGTGCCTAGGGGGGCTCACCAAGAACGGAGAGGCTCGGCGCGCGGTGAAATCACCCTTAGGAGGAATGGCTATCAAGCAGTTTTCCCGATGGCCCTGGTCTAGTGTGAGCAGAAGCCTCGATAGCTGAAAGCCCCTGAGTGGATAGCCAAGTCCTGGCGTGCTCAAGGAGAAGGACAAAGAGCCCGGCGCTGCAGCTCATCCCGTTCCGGTCTCTGCCGTAAGACGGGCGAGAGCTGTCCGAGTGCTTGCATACACAAGGATCATGCACGGAAAACCACTGAGCCGAGGCTACCACGTAGATCAGGACGCTCGTTCTTAGGTGGCAGCGGTCCAAATTAGCCTCACTTGCAACGGGATCTAACTATGATCGTCTGTAGGTACCACACTTCAGGAGGATACCTGGGTTGCCGTGGACCCCCCCCGCATAAGCTTGGTTGCCTCCTTGACGCGGTTACATCAGGCCAGCTCGCCGGCTCGCTTGATCGTCTACAAGGGGCCACGTGAAGTTTCGGAGCGTCCCTATGAGTATGCAGGTGCATTGCCTGCATACCAGAAGAGATAGGTGGGTACCTACCTACAGTATCAATTTACTGACGAGAGGGCGGGCAGATATACGGCGATCGAAACAGAGGGGATGAAGTTATTTGCGGCTGTCAGGTTCGACCTAAGTCTACGGAATAATCTGCGTACTTGACAACTCGTTTGCAAGTAACCTGGGCGCTGGGATGTTGTAGAGCTACCACGTCAGCATGGGTCCTACATGGCCAAAGCGTTGCCAATCTCTTGGCAAAGTCTTGACTTTATGCAGGGCATCCTCACCCTGAGAGGGGAGAGAGAGAGCCGGCTCGTCGGCATCGTCGTCGAGGTGGGTTCGGGTTCTCAACATCGCTGATGATGAATACTCCCGTGGCCAACGACGAGACACGTATTCCCTTACCTACATGCCTACGTGCTTGCGGGATATGACATTCAAGGGCACGGCGACTTGACTATTCTGCTTACACGTAGGTTGACGTGCCCAGGACCCTCCACTGTAGAGCAGTAAGTCAGGGCACGCCAATCATAGAGAACTAATCCGCTCAGCACGACGCTTGCATGCCCTCGCTTGCGTGCCCTCGCTTGCGCGCCCTGAGCCAACCCCAGATAAGCAGGGGTCCCCAGCACCACCTTCAAGAGATGCGCCTAGCACGGCAGTGGGAAATGCCCTGAGCCTAGATCCGGATCTGTTCGTGCCCTGGGCCGGGGTCCATCATGTCACCTTACCCCAAAATTGCCCTTCCTGGAGATCGGAAGTGTCACGGATGCGACACGAAAGCCCCCCTTGAGAGGGTGGCTAATTAGACATATTCTCTTGACCGCGATGACGGGAGAGCTTCAGGTGGTTGGGATGGAAGTCTGCGTATCCGAGCGCCGTGTATGTGGGTATCTCCATCACCGCCGCTACCACACTCCTCTCGTCTGATCATGTTTGCATCCGAACCGGGTTGTTTCGTTGCCCTGCTCGGGCAATTGCGAGATATAGATCGGCTATCCGTGCCGTCGCCCACCACAGTGAGTAAACCCTATGTAGGCACGTATGGTCTCGTGCAGGCTTAGACCGAGTATACTGGGCTCGGCAAGTGAGGGGATCGTGGATTCGTTTCCTCGCGTCCTGGGAACAGAGCCTGGTCCCGTACGCACTATTCTGTGAACCTGTTCAGTCCAGCTGCAGTCCCCTAATTTCTCGAGTGGCAGCCCTAGCTGTTGTGTCGGTTAGAAAGCTACGTATATGGCCATGTTGCCAAATAAGGAAGCCTAGGCGTCGGTGTTTTCCCGCGTGGTATTCTGTGGTGCTGCAGTTATACACACCTTTGACATTCCGTCTCAACATTCCGTCTCATCTCACAAGAGCTTGCTATAGACTGAGTTCCCATTGGGTGACATCATTGGGTGTTCATTCACGGCCATCGTAGCTGGGTAAAATCTCAAGGCTCTTCCTTACTGCAGTAGCTTGATTCAGATAAATTCCTAGTTGGGAACAGGTTACGCCCTCCCCGCATGTTTCCTTTTTGCGCTGTCCCTAGACTTGACCAGACCTAGCCTCCACTAGCCCAAAACCCGTAGGTAGAAATAGAATACAGAAAAGTATGCAGCGGGCAACAAATCTCTAGGCCTGAAGCCGACAAAATCCAGCCACCACCGCAGTACTACTATTAGTTGGCACAAAAGGACCCTCAACCCTTGATATGAAGATATCTAGAGATGGAGCGTAGTTTGCCTGGCTGAGCTCCTCTTCTAATACTTCCTGTTCATCATAACGGCGCGTCTATTGTCACGAGCAGCCCGCTTGACCGATGCGTCGATAGTCCGCTTGATAACGCCTAGATACTACCAGTTAATAACTTCCACTCGAAGCGGCAACTTCCTGGGTAAGAAACACGCACCGATGTTAAAGTTCTTCCGGAGGATTTCCTGTCGGAGGAGCTGCTGGATGGAAAAGGAGTTGAGGATGCCTAGCTGCTGGAGCTGAGCGAGCTGCTGAAGCTGGAGGAGGAGTTGGATTTGGTTGCCGACACCAAGGCCAGCAAGACTGTTCAGGTTGAAGTTGGAAATTCCCAGGGAGAGAATGAGGTTCCCAATGTTCTGTCGGAGACTTTCCTCTAGGTTTCTGCCGTCGATGGTGATGTTGCCGATGTTGATATCTTGAAAGTTATTGTTGTTATTAACGTCCTCGTTTTTCTCGTCCTTGTTCTCGTTGTCTTGGTTGACGTTGTCCTTGTCGGCATTCTCCTCATCAGCATTCTGCTCGTTGGCGTTCTCTTCGACATTCTCCTCCTCGTTGACATTTTCCTCGTCCTTGTTGTTATTCTCCTCGTCCTTGCCGGCGCCGACCGCCTCGGTCCCATTAGCAGCAGCAGTACCATTGGCAACCAGCTCGCGAGAGAATACCGCCACCGAGCCCTTGCTAGCAAGGCCGCCCTGTAGGGCGATGATGTTGGGCAGGTAGGCGGTCAACGCCAGAGCGGCAAAAAGGGAACCCGTCGAGAACTTCATTCTGTAATGACTGAATATTATAATAAAACACCGCTGGTTCTAGTTAGCTTTGCCTAATGGCTTTCCCTTGGTGCCTGAGTTAAACGAAGGGCTCCTCACTTTCAAACGGAATAAAGGAGAGTATGAGAATCGAAAGAGCACAGCTACTACTCGTTAGTACTGAACTAGAAGAAGAAAATAGAAGCAAGGACCATACCTCTGCAGAATGTATATGAAGGTAAGTCGGATTTACAGCAGCTTACCGATGAAAGGGAACCCATCAACCTGGGAGTGGGCCAGGTTATATCCCCGGCCTGTGAGGCAGCGATCACACCTATATCCTTTATCGCTTGCCATTTCACCCTCGCCATTTGAAGCCTCATAGCACCATGCTCACTCTGAAGCCACGATTGAAACTTCCTACGACTTGGCAGCTAGCAGTCGTCGGTCGAAACCCGGCTGAGATTCCTACGGAATAGAGAAGAAAGATACAGAACGGGTGATATGTCGAGGCGATAGAGCCAAGATACCCCTGATCTACTCGGATGCCGTGTTGATGGCGCTATTTTCAGGTGCCGCATGTGCACCCAGAATCCCGCTGTTGGGTGACGGCGGGATCTAGGGAGGGTTCGAGAGCTGAGCTGAACTTACAGAACTCCTCGGCAGCTGTTTCATACCACTAGGTGCAATGAGACTGATGTGACTGTGCTGCACCTATTCGGGCCCGCGGGCGTCGCATGGTAGTTGCTAAGGAGGGCCGCTAGAATGCCAAGACCTTGCCACCCCGCCAGCAATTGTGCTCTGACTGATTGACTCCTGAAGTCTGGGACTGCGAAACCGCGAGATCGTCGTCCCGGACTCCCCCGCCAATGGCAAGTTCGCACGCCATCTTAGGTGGTAAGTCGACAATGTCAACTGTGAGGTATATGGGATCTACTATAATACACAAAGATCTTAGGAAGAAAAGCGCTCTCCTAATGTAACTTTGCCTCTTGCCCCCCTTATCTGCGCACCTGAATCTGATCGTGGGAAGGTCTCGGATCCTAGGAGGGATGCAAGCTCTCTCGTTGCGCAACTCGAAGGTCGATTATTATCGGTGACACGATTGCCACGACGCAAAGCTCTGCACTGCATTGGGATTGATTAGTAGATATATAATCCTCGACTATTCAATCGCTCCTCATGAATCGTTTTCTCGATCCGCGCATCCTTTTCCCCTGTTCATGGAGGAATAAACAACTGTCCTTAGAGGGAAGACTAGCTGGCCTACATATATGGGTCGGTCTTGTGTCATAGCTCATCCCAACCCCCAGCACCGTAGATAGGCCTTGCCCGGACGAGCCGGGTTGGCACCGACTTGTGCGTAGTGGGTCATGTTCTTGGAAGTCGGGATAAAGGCACGGTAAAGGAGGCGGGCGGGTTTTCAAATCTGCGTATGGTTCTCAGCCGGTACTTACGGGCGAGGCGACTGCTGGCGAGAGATAGGCTCGGAACTCCGAGGCAGGAATATGGTCACTTTTTAGAGGAGGTGGCGATGGCCCTTATGGCTTGGAGTGTAAGCGCTATGCAGGAGGTTCGTTGAGACGATAAAAAGGCGTCCGCATGCCCGGACCCCCAGGCTTGTTCGTTACCATGGTACTGTACCGAAATCCAGCGTCTGTGGTTGTTCTGAATCCTGTTCTCGGTTTGCCGTTACCGGGGAAGTACTCAATATTTCATCCGTGCTGCGCCGATAGACGCAAGGCGGTTTGTCTTGGTGTCTAGCTAGCTTAGCCATTGATGTAAATAGGAGGTCTGACAAGTCCCGCCGAGTTGTGCCAAGTACTGATTTATCAATAATAAATGTAGGCACCTCCTGGAATACTGTCCGATGCTGCTCCTTCAACCGTCTTTAGCTACCGGTATGACCGCGATGTCCCACTGAACCAGCCTCAGTTTTCTCTGGCTCGATTGGTGGCACATCCCTATTCCTACGTAGAGCGAGAACTGCCCACCTGGCGGTTTCCGTCTATTCGCTATCTCGCAGCGATATTTCTTCCGTTCTTGGTCCTGGTTGCGGTTACTTGCGACTCAACCTTGGGTGAATGGCCGGCGAGACATGAACAACATGAGAGGAATGCAAATTTGAGACTTGCTCGTGCTACGATCCCGTGCTCCCGTGCTGGAACACCCGCTCCTATCTATCTTCCCCTTTGTCTGGAATATCAAAGACCCATCCGCTTCATCTAGTAATCTTCAGCGCAGCCTCGAAGCTCCTCTTCTCTTCTCGTCGTCCCAAGCTTACTTGGTCCTGATATAGTCATCACAATGTCTTCCTGCGGCCTATCTCCGAGGGATGAGGCGTATATGCCGCCCGTCCCTTCGCCCCTAAACCCGTCGAGTCCCGAGACATCGCCAAGGCGGTACAGGCGAGGTGACCGCTACCGCCCTACATTCAAACGCGGTGGTACCGAGCTGAGTCCGACGCAGATACTGATGCGGCAGAAAGCGGCGGAAGCATGGAAGTTGATGGCTACGCACATTACGAACAAATATCGCTATGTCGGCACGAAGCAAGGTGAAGCTCCCCAAACGAACCCGGCTGGGCCAGCCAAGCAACAACCCATTCGCACTACCGCGGAATACGGTATCGTACCAAACTCGACAGAGAAAGGTCGCGGCGCTGGGGTAAATAGGCAGGATGTCGACGTCGAGAAGCAGGCGCTTGTTGACGATGACTACTACCGAGCCCACAAGACACCGGGTATAAACTTGCTTTCGCACCTCCTGACGACAAGACGCTGGAGGGTGACGGTAGGGGTTGTGTGTGTTGTCGGATTCCTGTCGGCGGTGCGAGCGATTGGCAGCATCCACACTTGGCGGATATGATACGTCGTCATAAATGGTCTAATGTTCCCTTAATGAGGTGGGTTTCACAAGATCAAATTGAGAGCATCCTCCCGCCTTTGCTCGCACTCGATATCACGAACGATGAGTGCGATCCTAAAGTTACATTTGTTCATCTTTTTGCCCTTCTATGAGCCGCCTACCCTTTTCTATATTCCTGCACCATCGTGATGACAATGAAAGACCACGACTAATTCTTGGGCCCCTTCGCAGTACCGACGAGGTACTACTTTGCCCGAGCTGTCTCCGGTGATTTAGACTTTGGCTCCATATCCTTGCGCATCGCAGTCTCGACCTGCCAAATGGCACGTTCTAGTTCGATCTCGAGTTCCGGTATCTCCAGCGCCTTGACGAGTTCGTGCCCCTTCTCTTGCGACAGCAGCAACTTCTCCTCGGATTCGTTCGGGTCGTCGCTGGGGGGTGAGGCCACCTTCTCTACTTTTGGCGCTTTGGAAGCGAGAGGACTTGGGAGGCGTGGTGAATAGATCGAGTCTAGCACGGAGGAGGGCGACAGGGAGAGGATGTTGTTATCGCAGAGGAAACGAATATGTTTGCCTCCTGCGAGGGCGCGCCAATGCGACCAAGCCCGGTACGCCAAGTAGAAGAAGGGAAGATTGGGTATCCTATCATCATGGGCGTTAGGGGAGCGCTTGTATAGCGACTGAGAAACGGAGGACGGGGTGCAACCTACACTGGGACGAGGGCAAATGGCGCACTGATGGGCATGCCAATTAAGCACCATGTCAATCTGGTTCTGTGTAGCGCTTCCCGCTCTGTGCCGAGGGTGCGAAGGACATGGGTGGCCTTGGTCGTAGGAATGAGAGTCTGGGGGAAGATGAGATGGTTCTCATCCTTGCCCAGTATTTCTTCCGCTCTTCTTTTGGTAGACAAGGGAGGCACCGATTTCAGACCCCATTCCTCGTAGGGGATCCTCCTCAGCAAGTGGTTGCCGTAGGTGGCGACTTGTTTTTGCCAGCCGCGCTCTCTCCTCTCCCAGTCGGTCCAAAGCTTTGCGGCGCGATGCGTAATTCTATCGACTAAAGTCTGCTTGTGCATCGGCAAGGCTTGAAGCTTTTGGCAATAGAGAAGCGTTCGCTGAGTCGAGATGGGGAGTAGGAAGACCCTCATGGTGTCGTTAGAATCTCGGTAGCCAGAGGAACCACTCTGGCGAGAATCAAGGAGGCGACGGGATGAGAAGTCGGTGTTGGAGCTCCTGCTACCTCTTCATCTCTGGGATGCTACCGGGGGAGTCATGGTGTCGCATCCGCGAGGGTTTCCGAGCCGGCCGGCAGTGCAATTGAATGATGTTGGAAAGGTTAGGCACCTAGAGCTTTGCGACCCTAGTCGAATTAGGTAGGCTCGCGGTAGGCTCGCGGTGGGCTCGCGGTAGGCTTCTTCTGTATACGGAATTGTGAGGGAGCAAATTGAGAGACTCTGGTGACGCACATGGTACCGGGGATGGACCGCCGCCAGAGCTTAGTAACGTAAAACATGTTAGTGAGCAAAGAGGCAGCCCGTCTTACGTACGTAGCAGATGTGGCTGAAGGGCGAGGGGCTGGGTTAAGTAATCCACGAAGTCCTACCCCTCCTAGCTTACTGATGAGGTAGAGGTAGGTGCCTACCTGCATCCTATACCTGCCTTAAGTACCTAGGTACCTAGGTGATATCAGCATAACGATCCCCATGTTTTCCGTAATGGAGCTCAGTGGAGAGAGCTCGACTTGGGGTCTGTCACGACTAGATTTAATTAAATCGGTTCGGTCCCAGTAAAGAATGCTGATGAAGACATCGTCATTTCATTCTTTAGTAGAGGCTTTAATGTTTGGTGCCCCCTCGCTATCGCTGGTAAACAGGTGATGATTAGTTATACGCTTCTTAATCTCTCTCTCCCTCTCTCACACTCACACACAATATATATATATATTTCTATACATATATTAGATACTTACGTCGCTAAAATTGCGGCATGCCGTTAAGCTTGGAAATGAGATTGGCATGTCCTGGCGAGAGCGATCTCGAAGGGTGCCGGCTACTAGCGCTTACCATCTTGGTTCTTTGTTGGACGCTGGCACTCTAGGTTGGTACCTAGTAAGATTCTAAACTCCCTGCCATCATCACCTCACCACTCGTACCCCCTTTGAAGAGAAAAGCAGCGTATCTGCCTGGATGGAAAGTTAACTTGCGGCGATCGGAGGGATCTACGCAGCCGTTGCGTGTATGAGTGGCAACGTACCTACGAGTACATGTAGGTATGGAGTTCTTTGCATAGGTACAACCTCCATCAAATCGCGTAGCAGTAGATGGGATTGCACCCGTAGTTGCAACTACCTAGTTCCCCCATTTCCAGAGACGACGCTGATGGCCTAGGACAGTTGTCCTATGCGCCACGGCCTAACTGCTTGATTTTATTACCTCAAAGATCAATGCGAGCGGTAGGTCGGGTCAAGAGCTGACGATAGCGTGAAGGGCTAATATAGGTAGACTTGGAGCTCAAGGGAGCTGAATGCGCGTATACCCTTGTTAGACCGGCACTACGGACAAGATGGTGATGGGAACGCTTACAGGTACCTTGAGGTACTCCCTAGCAGCCATACAGGTAGGTGTATGCACTTAAGGTATGGAACAAGGGAGGGAAGTACACAACAAAAGAGGTACGTACGTGTAGACCTTAGGAAGCATTAAGGTTGGTACTTAGGTTGGTAGTTGACCGAAAATCCCCCGTCCCCCTTCTATCCCGAAGAGTCCGCAACTATGTCGCGGGTACCTAGTATGGGCATATAATGATTAGCATTGCGATGAATATGCTGGGTTAAGTATGTCGTTCTGGGCGGTCACGGACCCAAGCGGCCGGGATGTGAGCTGGCGCGCGCTACAGCCCCTCACGTGACGAATTTTGGCGCAATTAGAAAACAGCATCCTGGACGGCAACATCCGACCTTACAGTTTTTCGCGCTCCTTATTACCTTCTTCTTTTTCCCCGTCGCTCATTGTGGTCATTCACTTGGAGATGGCATGTGAAGGCTGATGTGTTTCTATACGGCGTTTTTTTATTATTAATTATTAAGTAATGGATGTCCGCCTTTACGTTGTCTTTGCCTAACCTACCCTAATTACAATCCTTACCTCCCGCACGCCTCCGACATAATATTCTACTCGCCCCCTACCTCTGGCTGTCCTACGTATTCCGTCACCTGTTCTCGACCTCAGGTGATGCGTCCGACTCCACCCTGACCTGTGGTGCGCTATTCATTTCCGAGAAATCGATTGACGGGAGTTGGCGCGCCTACGGGTATACGGAAGCGCGCGCGCGCACGGCACTCTCTACGATTGTTTGAGTGGTTGCTTTCCTCTAGGTCTTACGTCCGGACGCTACTTTTCCCCACCTCCTCCCCCGGGTGTTGACGACAGAACCTAGCTATATACCTAAGAGTATGACCAGGGCTTCCGTCTATCCCGTGAACCGTCGCGAGCTGCTTCGCCTGTACTATTAGACACCCTCACATTCATATGTCGGTGTCGCGTCGAGCGTTGAGATGACCCGAAATCCTTTACGGAGTAGCGTGCCTGCTTGGGTGGAGCTCTACGACGAACATGCTCATGGCTCTCGGCGGCAGAGAGATGCTAATCCCCCTCCACCCAGCGTCCGCCCTGAGCAGAGCAAAGGAAGCCGGCAACTTAAGCGCAGGGTTTCCAAGGATGGCTTTGTCGACTGGGTCGACGAGAGACAGGGCAATGTGTCCAAGCTCCCTGTCTTCCTCAGAAAACGCGCCGACAAACCGGGACGGCGATGGGACCATTTGCGCACGGCGGAACCCGTTATTATGGGACTCGGATACCGGGCGCCGAATGAAGACCCATATCAGAGATGGAGAGATTTTGTCCGGTCCTCCTCCTATGGCCGAAGCCCTAATGAGTTGTACGAGGTAGTGTCGTACAACGTTCTTGAGCAGCAGATGCCAGGTCTCGATAAGCCGGTACGGACTCCCCTTCATCCCCTAGATCCGAAGATCAAGAAACAGTCCCGGAAGGACACCTTGGCTATACGCTCCGGAGATTTTGTGCTACGGCATCCCATCGCGCCTCTCATCTTCCGCCTCGTAGTCTTGATCACCACAATTGCCGCCCTTGCCCTGGCATCCAACATTTTCCAGAGGGAGAAGGATCCGGCCGATCCCACCAGCAATGCCCCCGAAACGTCGCAGGCAATCGTGGCTATCGTCATCGACGTGGTGGCCATCCCTTATATTCTATACATGATATGGGACGAGTACACGGGGAAACCTCTGGGATTGCGAGCACCGGCACAAAAAGTGTCGCTCACCCTTCTGGATCTCGTTTTCATCGTCTTGAAATCTGCTAGTACTGCACTAGCGTTCGAAGCGTTGGTTTATCATAGCGGCGATGGGTTATCGACTGATCCCCATCTGGCAGCAATGGGAAAAGTGTCTGTGCATTTAGCGAGAGGGCTCGCGGCGTTGACGCTGGTGGGATTGATCGCCTGGATTCTGAATTTCACCATAAACGTATTCCGGCTCGCAGAGAAGCTCGGGGGGATAGATAATGTACATGAAAAATGAGCCAGGCAAGTAGCTCATGAATACAACGAAAAACCGGATCGAATATTACCCCTGCCCGATATGGGGCTGCGACGTCTTCCTGCTTGGCTTCTTTCAGTAAGAGGAGCGTCCATTCATCCATCGAGTATTGACAGCAAGATATAGGATCGGGGTAGGCAAAAAGGTCGGGACGACGACAAGAGACGTCTAAGTGGGGGCCCGCGGGTGGGCGTCCTCGAGACGGCAAACTCATCGAAGAAAGCCCTAGCGAGGTGGGAATGAGGTTCAACAGTACCTTCCTACCTACCTAACGCAATTGGCACGCCTTCTGCACCTTAGGAACATATCATGCGCAATAGAGGTTGGGGTTCATCCATACACTCAACTTGCCTTTTGTATATATCTCGGTCGCATTTATAGGTGCTTCCAATGCATGCTGCTTGGTCTGGGTACTTCCATACCTACCTAGGTACCGAACCTGACCTCTACTAGGCGCCAGATAGGTGGACAGTCACGTCATATGGGTTGGGGCACCTCAGGTGCAGGTACATATGTGTCCATATGTTAGGTTAGGCACCTTTAGGTACCTACCTATGTTGGCATATAGGCACCTGGGCAGGTACGTACCTAGGTAGTAGGCATTTAGGACGCTGTTATGATCGTTTATAGTAGGGAATAATATAATGGAACATTTCCAATACATATCAATATCCCCTATCCTCAATACTGCGCCGAATACGTAAACTGTGAGGAGGTTTCTACATAACACACCCCTCCACACCCAGGTGCCTGCTCGGCATCAATTGCTCGTTAGGGAGAGAAGGCTTGTTAGGTAGGTAGGTACCTGGTATTGACTTAGGAGGTACCAGCCGGTTACAGCACCTAATATTGGTCGGGCTTGCTGACATTAGGTACATAGGTAATAAGAGACCAGCATTATTTGTACCTCTAACTGCATTTAAAGGCACATGCTATGTACATACCCGGCTATCTACCTGGGTATAGTTAATAGGAGTAGTCGGTATATAGCATGCTATTCATTAACGAGTTTATATAAGGATGTCCCAGCCTGCTGCTGCTACCGTAGATTGCCCGGTACCTATCTCAGGTGCTTTATCTAGCCTCATAGGTACCTGCCCTGCTATTTTAATGAGTTGGGTACTTTCCCCCCCCTCACCGGGCTGTTTAACACTCAATGGACAGGTACCTACCCCTAAGAGAGGGTGCGACAGACCTACTAAAAAGGACGGGCCCTAGTGGTGGGGGGCGGAGACTCGCGGCAGAACGATCCTAACCCGACTTTGACAGCACCTCCCGTCTCTCTCTCCCTCTCTCTCTCTCAGACAGGCAGTATCTTTCTGCTGCCTTATGCGTGACACCGAAATACGAAGCCAACTCCCATCTCACTCTGCATCTCTTCCCCCCTCGTCGTTCCAGTGACATCAAGCTTCTGCTCTCTCTCCTTTTTCAGCCTTGTCCGCCCGTATCCCGTCCTTCCACCTACCGACGTGCCTCTCGAGCCGCCCTGGGTTCTCCACCCATTGTTTTCCCGAATCCCTGTTGCCCACCGTCCACCGTCCACCGTCCACCGAACCGACGCATCCCCTTGGATTGAGGTCACGGGCCTAGAATACTGGTCGACTTGTGCTGGGTTTGTATGTTGGTCTTGCTCGTCTCTACTCTAGCCTTCTACAACCGTCTTGCTACTTCCCTCGACTTTTCCTCAACCACCTTGTCTTGACCCCTCGTCTGCATTGCCCATCGGAAACCAACTGGCCTATCTACTGATTACTGCTAACTCTGTCCCCAACGTCTAACTGCAGCGCGCGCTCTCGTCTCCCTCGCTTTTGACTAGTTGTGTTCGGCGTCCTTCTCGGGGGAGTTACTTACGGGAAGTCCGTCACCATGTCGGTAACTTCGACGCGGCCCATGCCCCCGGCTCCGAACCGGGATGATATCGGCCAGACGTATGTCGTCCTCACCGCAGTACCTGTTCGTCACGCACCGTGCTAACGACCTGTAGGTGGGAATACGTCCAGGCTGGTATCTCTAAGATCATGATCAACCTGCAAGAGGGCATGGATATGTCCACCGTAAGTTGATAGAGGATGCTCACGCGCGCCTTTCATTGCTGACTATGTATCTGGTAGTATATGGGCATCTACACGTGCGTCGATTTGCGCCCGTTCGCCCAACCGCCGGCTAACGCGACACAGTGCCGTCCATAACTTTTGTACATCACAGAAGGCTGTCGGCTTAGGGAACTCCAACGCTGTTGGCCAAGCTCACCGAGGAGGTACGGCTACCCAGGCCTCTTGCTCGCGTTCTTTTTTTCTGACCAATCCGTTGCAAAACAGCACACCTATTGGGTGAGGATCTCTATCGAAAACTGAAGGATTACTTGAACGACCACCTCAACGGCCTCTACGAACAATCGAAGGCGCATACCGACGAAGCATTATTGGCATTCTACATCAGAGAATGGAATCGATACACAGTTGCCGCAAAGTACATCCACCACCTATTCCGGTATCTGAATAGGCATTGGGTAAAGCGAGAGATGGACGAAGGGAAGAAGAATACATACGATGTTTACACTCTCCACCTGTACCAATGGCGAACCGAGTTTTTCGCTCTGGTCTGCAAGAAAGTCATGGATGCCGTGCTTATGCTGGTAGAGAAACAGAGAAATGGGGAGACCATCGAACACAGCCAGATCAAGCAGGTTGTCGATTCCTTCGTGTCCCTGGGTCTCGACGATCACGATGCCACAAAGTCGACTCTCGACACTTATCGCTTCCACTTTGAGAAGCCGTTCCTTGCCGCGACCGAGGAATTTTACAAGGCAGAATCAAAGCAATTTGTCGCCGAGAATAGCGTCGTCGAATACATGAAGAAGGCAGAGACTCGACTAGCCGAAGAGGAGGAGCGGGTGCGTATGTACCTTCACAACGACATAGCGCTGCCGTTGAAGAAGACGTGCAACAAGGCCCTGATCGCCGATCACTCCTCCATGTTGAGAGACGAGTTCCAGGTGTTGCTCGACAATGACCGGGAAGATGATATGGCTCGCATGTATAATCTCCTGTCTAGGATTCCGGATGGTTTGGACCCTCTAAGACAGAAGTTCGAGGCCCACGTCAGGAACGCAGGACTTAACGCGGTGGCCAAAGTCGCTTCTTCTGACGCTGAGAAGCTTGAGCCAAAGGTTTATGTCGAGGCTCTACTCGAGACTCATACGCGATACCAGGGTTTAGTGAAGCGAGCCTTTACTGACGAACCCGAGTTCACTCGGTCCTTGGACAATGCCTGCAGAGAGTTCGTGAACCGCAACGACATTTGCAAGGCAGGCTCGAGTAAATCACCCGAGCTTTTGGCCAAATATACCGACGTGCTGCTGCGAAAAAGCGGAACCGGCGTCGAAGAGGCCGAACTGGACGCGACCTTAACCCAGATCATGACCGTCTTCAAGTATATTGAGGACAAGGATGTATTTCAGAAGTTCTACTCGAGGATGTTGGCAAGACGTCTAGTTCATAGCAACTCTTCATCGGATGATGCTGAGACTAGTATGATAAGCAAGCTGAAAGAAGCATGCGGCTTCGAGTACACGAACAAACTTCAACGCATGTTCCAGGATATGCAAATCTCCAAGGATCTCAACACCGGTTTCCGAGAGCACACCAGAGGCTTGCAATTAGAAAAGCAGCCACTGGACTCCTCGTACTCGATCTTGGGCACGAGCTTCTGGCCACTGACTCCCCCCAACACCACATTCAACCCGCCGCCAGAAGTTCAAACCGATATTGATCGATTCACCCTCTTTTACAAGAACAAGCACGAGGGCCGCAAGCTGAGCTGGCTTTGGCAACTCTGCAAGGGCGAGGTTAAGACGGGATATTGTAAATCGTCAAAGACACCCTACACATTCCAAGTTAGTGTCTATCAGATGGCCGTTCTTCTGCTATTCAATTCTAAGGATGCCCACTCGTACGAGGACATCGCGTCAGTTACCCAGCTAAGCAACGACGTCCTGGACTCAGCCATCGGGATTCTTTGTAAGGCCAAAGTTCTGCTTATGAGGCCAGACGGCGACAAGCCAGGCCCCGAGAAGACGTTCCATCTTAACTACGAGTTCAAGAGCAAGAAGATCCGCGTCAATCTTAACGTCGGCACAAAGTCAGAGCAGAAACAGGAGGAGGTTGATACCAACAAGACCATCGAGGAGGATCGCCAACTCGTCTTACAAGTAAGCGTTCTTCCCTCCTTATTCTTCTTATTTCTCAAGGCATAAAAACACGACGGCACGCTAATCGTATTTGCAGTCTGCCATCGTGAGAATTATGAAGGCACGGAAGAAGATGAAGCACTCCCAATTGGTCAGCGAATGCATCAACCAGATCAAATCACGCTTCCTCCCCAAAATTGGAGACATCAAGAAGTGCATCGAGATCCTTCTCGACAAGGAATACCTAGAGCGGTTGGAAGACGACGAACTCGGCTATCTCGCATGATGCGGAGCGCGAGGCTCGTCTCACCTCGGCGTCCCCTCGGGCAGAGAGCGATTTGCTCCGCCGGAACGTAAATATCCCCTTACCTTTCCCTTTTTGTTAGCATCCGAGGAAAAAAGAACGGTTCCTCGTCACACGGCATAATGATGTGTGATATGCAAGCCCGGAAATTGGTTCTTGAAGCGGAGTCGGGGCAGGGCTTTGATGGTCGGCAGGTTATTGACGCAGGCGATTCGGTCCACTGACTAGACATGTGTGCATTGATTTGGCGGGTCAACATAATTGGGTCTCCTGACCCTCGGTCCCATCGGGGGTATGCCGCTCGACGGGACGCGCTGCCTTTTAGTATCGATAGGGAGGGAGAGAGGTGATGTAGGCAATCCGGGGGCGGGGAGCCCGGATGAAGTCGACAGGAACACATCGGCGGAAAGGGGGCGGGGGGGGGAGCAAGGGCATATATCGTTTACAGGAAGCCTACCCTTCTATGGACTAAACGCATTTACCTTTGAGCTGAACTTACTACCAAGCTTGCTCTACTTCAACTTCCCCAAGAGGGTGAGGCGCGAGCCAAGGTGGTAGACATAATCGTCGTCGTCGTCGTCGTCGTTCAGCCTAGGGTACCGAACTCCAAGAGACAAGAGGAGACCAGAACCCAGGGGCCAGGGGTCGTCGGGACCGGCCCGATAAACGAACGGTCCCCCCTTTCCACAGCTGCCCTGCGCGCTACCCACGGCCATTCTGACTCGAGCCCCGGGCACAAGGAAAGAAGGATATGAACCTCTCCAGTCGCATAGATAGATAGACGGTTTAAACAACCCTGGAAAAGATGGGAAGCAAGAAAGAAAGTTTTTTTTTTGAAAAAAAAAAAAAAACCTCCGGAAGAGCTCGGCCTCGAGCTTGTGGTGAACCTACGCCATATATACATACCCCTATACGTAATTCGTAGCCTACCGTCCGCAGGTTTATTGTCCGTCTCACTTATTTTTTCTCTTTTTATTGCCGCTCTCTTTCTTTGCCTGTCATATATTGTTATATATGTCCCCCCCCCCCCCCCCCTATCCCCGGGACCGAGCAGCAAGGTTAATCTCCTGCGCTCCCGTGTGCTAGCCCGGCCTAGGTCCTAGAAAACACGCTGTTGCCGTCAGTTCCCGACCTTGTAATTTTCTTCTTCTCCCCCCCCCTCCTCGGTCAAGAAACAGAAGAAGGATGGGAGAGGGGGAGGTAAGTCTCGGTCAGCTTAGCCCTATCTGGCACGTATATATATATATGTGTGTGTGTGTGTGTGTGTTTATACATAGACGCATCTAGCATGCAGCAGCAGCCAGACTAAGAACGAGAATCCAAGTATTTTACTCTCTTTACTTCGTCTCCCTCGTCTCTTCGTCCTTCTTCTCTCCCTTGCTTCCTTCCCTCTTCCCGTTTCTTCGTCTCTAGAATGGCCGCGGGCGTAAATTCGTAATCACTCGTAACCGAGAGTTCCTCTCTGCAAACCGACAGACTCCCTTTATCTAATGGCGGTCGTCGGGACTGGGGAGCTATATCGATTCCTCCTCTGAGGTCATTAATCTATTTGTCTTGTTCCCCGTCGGGGCTGCCTCACGTCAACTTGCCCCACTTGTTGCTCTCCGTAAGTAGTATGATACCTAGGCTATGCCGCTGAAGTTCCCGTAGCTTTTGAAGACGACAAGGTTTCCTGTCTTATGGCATCGTCCGTGCTGGTGGCCGGGCTGGCAGTGGTGGTAGTAGGAACAGGTTGAGGAGGGGGAGAAGGAGGGACGCCGACGCCGTCGTTACCGTTCAATTGTTCGCCTATGCTCTTACTTCCCCCTTTTCGAGGACTAGGTCTCGGCGGACTGGCTGGGTCGGAAGATTCGCTCTCGTCCACTGACCCGGCAGCATCGAGGAGACTCTCATCGAAGCTGTCTTGTGTAAGCGGCCTGCCTCGATCGCTCCCCTCGCTATTTCGGTGAAGCACGGCAGACATCTGTATCTTCTCGCTCGGGAATCCCGGTGAAGAGAGTGCAGGGCTGTTTAGGGGTGTGTAGCTTTTTTCGCTGCCCGAATCCCCTGTTCCGGTCCTCGCTCTCCAGCCGCCACCGAATCCCCACCCACCTCCTGCGGAGCTACCGCTCGCCCTACCCCAACCTTGCTTCCTTTTCTGATCTGCCCATGAAGTCCAGCTGCCGATATATGCGCCAGCCCTCGAGCTCACCGTCGCTGTTTGGGCTGCTCTAGAGTCGCCGTTCAGGGCCGGAGAACCGTTCCTTCCATTCGCGCCTTGTGCCGCCTGGGATTCTTCAGCGCGTTGTCTTTGCGTCTCGCGGAGAGTGTCCATGTCGGCGTAGAGTTTGTTGAAAATAGTGCTCGCCTTATCGCGTCCCGCAGCCAGATTTCTTCCGAGGACTTCCCTCCCGGCTGCAAACCGCTCATCTAGGTGGAGATCTTGCACCTGTTGCTGTATTCGCCGCTGTACGTCGTCGATACTTAGCCCACCAGCACAAGGGTGTCTCGGCTCAACAATATCGAAAAGGTGCGAGTCCGTGTGCGAGTCCCATATGCGGTAATTCTCTGTCCTCATCCAGTATTCAACCCAGTCGTTGCCAAAGTCGTAGGATGGATCCCCTTCGACATGAGGGAGGACCGCTTTGGGATTATTTGGGTTTTCGGAAAGGTAGCTGTGATATTTGACCGAAGCGATGAGAGATAGGAGGTACTCTTCGAACTGCAGCCGGATAAATTCTTCGCTGCCGCGATACCCCATGGTCTTTGGCCGACCCGGGTTCGACTCGTCCCAGGTATCGTTGACCTCCTGCGTGATAAAATCGATCCACCGCCTGTCGGGGTGGGAGAGCACTAACGCGGTGCGGAGAGAGGTGGACGTGATATTGATCGTGTTTTCGTCGAGATTGATGAGGATGTCGCTATATCGATCCCTCTGTTGTAACAATAACGAGTTCGTGCTGCCCACTATGTACGACTTGGTACCAAAGTCGGCAAGGATGTCCAACTGCTGCAGGGGTGTGTATGGGCCAAATAAACTCCCCTGGATATCTGGTTAATGTGTGCTTCCGGGTCCGGTCGTGGACAGACCGACAAACTCACCTTGCCGAAAATTTGCAACGGCAGCCCCATATACGCGAGCAACGAGTTCCGGTCACTAGTTCTCAAACTCGTCGGCCGCGTCAATTTTTTCTCGTAATTATCCAAGTCCGGTCCCGCAGAGTCTTGGAGATTCCGTAGCAGACCCGGTATCAAAGATATAAGGGAAAACTGCATCATGCATAGACGTTCGCACCGCGAGCCGAAGAAGAGCATCTACTTTCCGTGAGCCTAGGGAGCAGGCCGACGTCGAAAGACGCTAGAGGATGCCTTACCTTGGGTTGTAGAAGACAACATTTCAGAAGTACTAGTGTCTGCCAGCGGAATTCCCTCACAAGCTCCCGGAGACTCATCCCTAGGTATTGGTCCCTGTCTACGTCCTCGTTAAGCTGGCCACGCGCCTTCTCTTCCGCGAGGCTCTCTTGGAATCTCCGCAGGATTTCGGTGTCACCAAATTCGCGCTGCGCAAACCACGCGCTAGTAACAACGGATAGTCGTTCCCTCAACATGCCGAAGAACTGTGGGCTATCTGCTATTACCACGACTGCCTTCTGCACAGTTGATCGCGTTACATCAGAGGGGCGGACGAGTAATTGCGAAGCGTCTAGCTGCCGCGTGCATGAGATGCCAAAGAGCGATGTTGGGGGGGAATCGTCCGTAGCGGGCCGTAGAAGGGTGAAGTACGAGAAGTCCTCCGTCGATCTGCGTACGCCAATTGGCCGAGGTCAGTACTCGATGTATGGCTCGCGGGCAATACAAGCACACTCACGCGTGGGCACCGTCGCTCAACGCCATGAATGGGAGCAACGTCCAATCGTATTCTGCGGCCGGATCTCGCCCCTCTTCGACGCCGAACCACCTCTCGACTTCGGGGCCTCTATGGTGATGGAAGTCCACGACCGTCACCAGAGGCACGAAGCCCGCAACAGGGCGGGCAGCAGCGGCGTCCTTCACGCCATTCGAACTCGGCGCAGCCATGTTGGAAAGTTGACGGTGTCGACACAGCTTGCTGGGAAGCGATATCACGGTCGGTGAGAAAGAAAGAAGACAGAATCGGAATACGCAGGATTTGGCGGTGAGGGTGCCGGGGGGCGCGGAGGGGGATCGCGAATAGCGTCGGGCTAAGACTGGCTGTCTCTCTCAGCCGTTAGCAGGGCAGAAATGGGCGAGGCGGTAGTCTTCCCAGCGCGGCTCTACATCCCGCACGGACAAGACTGGGCCTGGTGGGGAGGAGGCTCAGGGTGAAATAAGCAGGGAAGGCGACCTTATAGCATAGGCGGACGGGGTCTCGGGCGAGTCTGGACTAGGGCCAAGGGAAATGAGGTGCACTGGATGGCCAAGACGACGGGGCAGCGGTACAAACTGAAGGGCCGCAGCAATGAAACAACGCGGGGCGCCTCCGAGGGGATGCAGCAAGCTGTCGACTGGCTTCGCGGCCAAGGTTGCGTCAAGCGAGCAGAGAGACGGCGATGGCAATGGCGGATGGTGGTGCGAGAGTAAGCGGGATGCAGAAGAGGTCTGACGCAGACGGACGGGCGGTGGCTCCCATCGATGGCCAACAGGAGACAAAGTCGGTAGATGTAGAGGGGAAAGCTCTGGTAGCTCGGGTCACACGGCTGCCATTGGTTCAGAGCGAAGCCATACACCGTACATGATCATCAATGCCTCCGGCGGCATCGAGATACGGTCGTGCAATAGGCAAGAAGGGGTAAGGGTGTCTGGAACAGCGCCAATGGCTGGCGGGTGTCGAGGAGTTGCTGGAGGTATACCAGGGTAGGTGGATGTGCGGATGTACGTATGGATGGATGAATGAATGTATAGGTAGAGAGCGAGGGCAGCGGGAGGCGAGGGCGATAGGAAGAAATGATCAAATCCCCAGACCGGATAAGTCGATATTAAGTCAGCCAGCCAGCCAGTCTCTCGATGCATCGCTCGAATGTAATGGTTTTTTCCCTTCGATGTTTTCTCAGCTAGTAACTTACTATGTACATACGACAGCATACGTACATATACCCATATGTGCATAGCTGAGGTCCCTCCTTTGCCGAGTTAGCGGTGTCGGCGCCCACCACGCAACGTGCCCTCCCCCTCCCTCCCCCACCTAAATCCACTAAATCGAGGGTCCGCCGAGTCACGGCGCGGGCGGCCATAGGCCTAGAAAAACAACCCCTACCAGCCGGTCGGTCCAATCACGTGTCGAATTCGCCGACTTTACGGGGATACGACAGAACAGAGCAGCTTTACAGCTGGCACTAGCAGCTTACTTTGCTTCCAATTCTTTAGCGCACCTCGGTGGAAGTTAAGCGGTACCTACCGAACCCCCCGGTCACTAACATCGAGTAGGTACCTATTGAGTATACCTGTTGTCTCTCTAGGTAGGTACGTAAATCACCCATGTAGGAGGTACCTACCTCTCTGTGATTATTGATAGGAGGCATCAGGTTAGGTACCTACATGTGTTATACGATTCCATAACAGTACATACCTCGCCTAGTATAAACAGGTGGCCATCGAATTTCCGGTGCTCAATACCTTCGGCACCCCTCCCGTAGGTATCTACGTGTAGGCAGATAGGGGTGTATCGCACCCACGCTAATTCCCTATGCAACTCCGCTGTGCCCCTACGGACGGGTCCAATCGCCAACCCGGAGCCGAGTTTCCGCGGCGAAGCAGAAGCAGAGAGCAGAGAAGCACGCAACGAAGAAGCCAAAAAGCGGTTCGATCGAGAGCCAGAGAGAGAGCGTGCATCTTGGATTCTCCGGCTGCCGCGTTCTCCTCGCCCTCCTCCTCCTCCTGTGCCGCATCAGTCCAAGATCTCTCCGTCGACCTCCCATCCACTCATCCGCCCATACGCACCTCCTGGTAGGCTGGCCCGGCCTGGCCAGCGGAGCGATGTGGTGATGTGCCATGCCATGCCATGCCAACTGTCTTGCATTGCATAAACGACCGGTCGGTCCACCGACACCAAAAATCGACCCAAGGGGCTGCCCGCGCTCGCGCTCGCGCCCACACGCACGCGCTTTGCGCACCTTACCTATCTTCCTTCCTACCTACATCAGACAGCGCCGTAGGTGAGGCACGTAGACATCGTAGGTAGGAGGTATGTATCTGCCCATGTTCTACCTATGTAGGTATGAGGTATGTATGTGCGGACGCACGGGTGGCCCTCGAGAACAACAACCCCCCCCCTTCTCGTCGAACATTGCCTCCCGTCCTTCGGAGCTGAGATGCACACCACACACACACACACCCCTACACGCACGTCGGCCACCGCCACCACCAAAACCATCAACAAACAACCCACTCCTCCCTACCGAAGCGCACGCGTTTGTGTAAACGTAAAAAGCACCTTGCCTCTCCTATCGGCCTAGTCTAGGGATCCTCCGGGCCGTATCTACCCCTCCCCCTCCCTTCTCTCTCTCTCGCTCTCCTCGCCCGTTCACCCAGGTCGCCCGCCCGGTCGGGCCGTATGTACGTCCACGTAGCCGGCGGCTCGTTCGGGCGGCCCTTCCGTTCTCGTGCGCGACCTCTCCCTTCACCCCCTCATTTCGACCACTTACTTAACCTACCTACGCCTGTACGCACTTACGTATCCAGCTAGTGGTACAAGTCGCGATACAGGTATGTAGGCACTTTTACATATGTGCTCACTAACGAGGGGAAGGCGGGGCGCGGGGGCGGGGCGGAAGACGACGGTGACGACGATCACGAGACGGCAACGTTCGGGTAACCTTACTTTCTATTTGACTATGGCGTATGTGTATACGGACAGGTGAGAGAACCCGTTCGTGTGAGGTCGGCCGGTAAGTGTTATATCGGCATGCCTAGGGCATCACGTCAGAGGACGTACCTCCTACCTAGGCCAGATCGGGGCCCTGTGTCCCGGTATTCATTCTGATAACCCCTTTCCGGCATCAGCGGACCGTTATTCACACATCCGGAGCACTTGGGTTGTAGAGGCGACGCGTGGTCAACTTCCATGTTGGTATCTTCAAAGTAATTGCTACTTTAACGAGTTTTTCTCTTCGCTTATCAACGACCACAACCAGGTAGGCTTTGCAAAAAGGAAACAAAAAATCTAGACTTCATTACGAGCGTTTCCTCATCATGACCGTAATTAGGCTCTAGCTCTACTTCCAAGCGTTTAGCCCTGCCCACGGGTCGTTGTGCTGTGACTGCGGCTGCGATGATCGAGAGGTCGAGCTCTGGGGACCGCTGTATGGATAATCCTGTGGTTGCTGAGAGTATATCGTCTGCTGCGGGCCTAGTGGTGGTGGTCCCCGAGGTGGCGGAGGCGGCACGAACCCCGGAGGCACATACTGCGACGTTTGACCTTGTGGGTTCCCGTAAGTGCTATACTGATTTTGCGTGAAGGACGTTTGTGATGGCGGGGGAGAAGCCGGCCCTCTCCCGCCTAGTCCGAGCCCGAAGGTAGACTGGTTCGGCGGCGGCGAGGCAGGGCCGGGATTTCGGCCCCAACTGCTGGGATTGTACGCCGTCTGCCCAAACGCCGGGTTATTCGCCTGCGGATTGGGCGCGTAGGATGGCTGCGGCGTCGACGTATAGGTGGTGCTTGGCGGAGGGCTGGAATATCCGGGATAGTTGGCCTGGCTCGGTGGTGGGGACGTTGGCATCTGATATTGACCGGTGATGTTAGTTTGCGGATATCGAGCAGTACTTGAAAAGGATAGCGGCGCTGGCACGGGCCGGGCCGAGCCCGGTTTCGACGGCGGTGATGGATTCGGTTCCATAGATATTCGCTCCATGAGACCACGGATTCTTTCTCGCTCAGCCTCGGCTTGAGCATTCTTATTCGCTGCCATCTCCTGTTCAATCTGGCTGAGAAATTGCGCCCCCTCCGATCTCCTGTTGTTAACGAAAGTCTCCACGTTCTTTTCGAGGCTATCGACCGTCTCCTTCATCTCCGTGTACCAATTTTTCGCGCTCTGCAAGCCAGATTCGAGGTCGAGAAACTCTTGGTATGCCCTCTTGTATCTGTTTACCGCAGAGCTTCTCTGTCGTTGGATCGACTCATACTTGCTCTGCTCCGAGCGCACGCGCTTGTCCTGGAGGAGATGGTTGAACGACGCTGTGAGCTCCTTCATCAACGACGACTGCTTATGGTTTGCCTGGAGGAGCCGGGTCTGGTGAGGGCGGAACTTCTCTAGTTCAGATTGAAACAGCTCCTTTTCGTAGTTCGGTATTGACTTTTTATTCAAGATGAGAATTTGCGAGATATCGTCGTTGTGGACCTAATCCCGTCAGTTATTAGTGCCCACAAGCGGAAATCCTAGGACTAGCAACCCACCTTCTCCTTGAGATCCTTCAGTACCTGGTTCCGTTCCCTCTTCACTAAGTTTAACTTCTTCAGAATGTCTTCGACCCTGTTTATCTGCTCTACTACGCTCGGGCTGCCATCATCGAAATCGTCATCAAGCAAATTCGGCTCGCCTCCAGCGGGGCTTATTGCGCTACCGGATTTCGCGCCGAATTTGCTAACCGCTCTTTGGAAGAAAGCATCGACGCCGCCGGTTTCGGCCGCGTTCCGCATATCTTCGAAGTCTACCTCGTTCTGTCGGAATTTGGAGTATAGCTGAGCATCGCTCTTTGCCGCCTCGTCCAACGCCTCCCGATAGTTCCGAATGTTCCCTCTTAGGGTGGTAGTAAGTCTTGAGCTGGGCTGCTGTGTCCATTCACCCTCGTATTTTGACCGCATCTTCTCACAAACACTCTCCTCCATGTCAAGCTGCTTCGAGGACCTGTCCAGAACCGTCATGATCGCGTCCTTGTCTATGCGTAACGTGTCAAAGATCGAGATGGGATTCTCGTGACCCGCAACGTCGTCACACCATGTCCGGAAATCCTCGTCCGGAGCGATGTCTTGGTCGATGCCTCCCTTTAGCACCTGCAGAGCGCCCGGTAGTCTGAGGTAGTCCAAGCTTGCTGCCATTTCGCTATTGGCCAGGTCGACCCTCTCGGTCTCTGCGCGCACTAACTTCGCCTTCTCTTCGTCGTATAAACTTGCCGATTCTGTGACCGCGAAAGGGACAATCTTAGCGAACAAGTCTGGACCGGTGATGCGCTGAATATCCTGGCCGGCATACAGTTCGTTTACTGGTATCGGCTTCGCAGCAGGGAGCTTCGGCACCGGAACTAGACTAGCCTCCGTCGGGACGGTCTGATGGTAGATATAGTCGTTGTCCTTAATCAGCCCTTTAAGTTTCTCCTGAATCGTAGTTAGGTTCCGTTTTGTGATTTCTGCTAGTAGCGTGCCCGTGTCGGTGCTTAGGTTCGAGCTGGGCGGCATAGTGCTAGGAAAATTGTTGGCCAGCCTGTTGGCTTCCTTCGCTTGGGTTTCGGCGGTGGTAAGCCTCGCAACAGCAACGCCGTACGAATTTGCATCTTCATCGGCAAGCGCTTGATAATACTGGGCATTTGCGCTCATCAAACTCGCTTTTATCTAAATATGTGAGGTCAGTTGCATTCATCCCCTGTCTAGGCCCACAGACGGCGTGGTGCTATGGTGTTCAGAAGGGAGGGCTGGTGTGCCATACCTGAATGAAGAAAAGCCAGACTTTCTCGAAGATGGCCTTATTAACGTTCTCCTGAACGCCTTCGAGGGCCTGCTGATACAGGTACGCGGCCTGGCTAGACAGCTTTGCTAGCAGCCCGACCTTCTTCTGGTCGGCGACCTGTCTCTCGAGGAAGATTTCCTGGGCTTGCGCAAGCATTATCTGAATCAGGGTTTTGACGGTATCCCTGCTTAAATCAGACGATGGTGCATGTAGGAAATTCTCGTTTATGTAGGTGAACATGCCGGCGGAGGCTTGGAAAGAGTGGTAAGCGGTCTTGAGGCCCGCCTCCTCGGACCGGGTTTGGTTGGCGGCATGGCAAGATAGGACGGCGGATATGTTGAAGATGATAGAGGCCTTCTCAAACGCAAGCGAGTACTGAGAAGTGGACTTGTGCGTAAAGGCGTCAAACCTACAGTTCCCCGGTTAGAATAATTGCACTCTACCCGAAACCCGCATTTACGTGGCGTTTGCCATACCAAGTGAAGGATATCTTGATATGTTGCTCGTCGACGGGGAAGCGGAGGTCTAGCAACTCGAGCTGGCCGTAGTATCTGTACAACAAGTCTCTCCCAGCGGTGCTGTCCTTGCCGGCACCTCTCATGTCCTGACGCAACCGGTTGAGCGTAGCGCACTCCTCGGCATATCGGTCCGGGTCGTCTCCGTAACTATCTCTAATGTATGTCTTTAGCGGGGTAACCCAGTCGATCTCGTTGGTGGCCTTCAGAGGCACCGAGATCATAGGAGTCTGCGTCATGGTGGACGGTGCGGGTTGGTGTAGTCGTCGGAGGGAACGCGCGCTTCATAAACTCTGGGCGTATTCTCCCCCCCTCTGCCCTCGAGCTACGGAGATCCGCCCCTCGTAGATAATAAGCAGGTAGCGAGTGTCGTGACAGTACCGCCGTGTAGTCTCCGTTGTAGGCTATGGCGAGATGCGAGAGGTTGGATGTGGGGTCGATGCTAGGGAATGCTGGGCTGATGACGACCACTTCGCCTCGAGGAGGTCACGCTTCTGTGCGCAGGGAACCGAATACCCACTCTCGGGTAGGAACTGGGTTCGGGATCAGTTTTATCGAAGTCGGTGCGTGCTAGCAGTCAGTGTGTCCGCCGACATGCTGTCGCTAGGGGGGCGATTTCGGAAATGGAGGCGCGCTAGGTAGTTAAACAAGCAAGGTGGAAGTGAGGGACGGGAGATGGGGAGGTCTGCAACCCGACGGTGCCGCTTCGCAACCTGAGGACCGTTGAAGAACAAGGAACGGCCTAGAGAAAATCGGACAGGGTCAATGAAGATGACGCATGGGCTGAGGGGACATGCGGCGCGGATGCGAACGCAGTTGGGTGACCATGCGAACAGAGGATTGAGGCTTGTACGGTTGACCTGATGGGTTGGTAGACGACAGGTATGAGGTAACGCTTGACGGAGGTAGGAGGCGGGTAGGTTAGGTCAGGTCAGCAGCAAGCTGGCTAAAGATACCTAGGTACCTGGTAGAGAGGTACCTAAGGTACTATATTACCACGACCACATAAGATATGACCAGATAGGGCACAGCGACAGCCCGGCGAAATACCTCTGGTACCTGCCTAGGCACCGAGGGTACTTCTGGTACATTGGACGGTACCAGATGGCAGTAGCCAGTTCACCTCATGGTGGGGAATGAGGGGAGCGATAGACTTGATCCCGCTATACCGGGCCAGTCGGGTAGATCACCAGCACATTCTTTCCTAGACGCCCTTTTCACCTTTGTTTCCAAGCTGGCTTGATTGGATATGGGAGACGCAGCATGGCGGTCAAGGACTGAGGGCTTTGGCACAGGTGCCTCTAGCTCGCCTAACGACACACGCCGTAGTGCCGTACCCAACCATTGGAGGCGTCACCCGCGACTAGAATGTATACCCGGTCAATACCCACCTCCCTGTCTGGGCCACCCTGCTATACCCCCCGCCGACGATGCTGGGATCGTAACGGAGCGCCGGTTTACACGCGGCCAAACCGAGGAACAGCATGTTCGTCTTACGGGGAAACGTCAGGCCTCGGGCAACGACAGCCTTTTCCCCTCTCCTTCCGCCCCTCCTCTTAGCAGTGTCTATAAAACCAGTATTCCGTCCGCTGCCGTGGATAGGACCAGAGCGCAGTAGAGATCGTGTTGGAGACGGAGCGAGGGCACACTTATGCAGGTGACAAGCCCATCCACCAGGGCGGGGGAGGCCTTCTATCGTGTGCCATTGGTTGTGACGGGCTGTCCCTCCTCGACTTCGCGGCGGCTAACTTCGTGTCCTCGCGGCACCCCCCCCAAATGTCATCTTCCAAGATCGACGAAGGCGAGGAGAGACGCTGGCGCGTATCGGGCCGCCGTTGCAACCCTATTCTTACCTTGGAGTCGTTACTTATCGTCGTTTGGTCGACGATCACACACACACACACGTAGCTATACGCATAATTCTCATTCTTTCATTCCCCCCCTTCCCTCTCAGTTGCCGCCGCCGCGGTAGGCGGCTCATCTAACTACGCGGCCCGTTCTGCAGCCGCCTGCGAGCTATTGTACTACCAACCAGCTACATGCATGTATGTAAGATGGAATGATTGATATCTATCTCTCAGATCGAGCTACATACATGCGTCGTGCTGATAACGAGCAAGTAACAAGTATGTAGGCAAAGACATCTGAGCTGCGCGAGCTCGTATATCCCGTGGAACCCAGCTACATGGAACATAGACCTGCGACCGGCCGAGGTCGTACTCGTTAGGTACATATCCGCTTGAATTGAGGAGAGTGGCGGGCGCGGCCTCGCGCTACTTGACGTGGCTTGCCGTACCGAAGATGGACGCCTATACAAACCACTATACACGAGACTCCGAACATCGAGGCGCGCAAGACTGCTCTCGCCAGTAAGTCAGGCCCCCCCCCCATCCCTCGGGCGCCCGAGTGTCACCGGTATGACCTCAACACCGTCCATGCAGCGAGAATTATCTACCTTCTCTATTGCAGGCGTTACGTTCGTGTGGTTAACTGTCTCTTAACCGCACGGCTATTGTACATGCTTCCCATGGTCTAGGTACGACGGCCGGGTGTGGGCTCGGCCTCAGCCCGAACCGGACCCGGACTCTTTCTTGGGCTCTTCGTTCTTGCCGGTCTTCTTCTGCTCGCCGGAAGCTTTCTGCCCGGGGTATTGGTGGCCTGGGTGGTTCGTGAGATTGTGCCATATGGACTTCAGGAATCCTTCGTTTCTATGTGTTTGGGGGTCGTCGTCTCTTCCTGCTTCCCCGGGCGAGGAGGATCTGTGACGTTATGTTAGTTGCGTCCGCGTTTCAGACTGGAGCTGCTCGCTTGCTTACTCGGGCATCTTGACGTTCATGATCCGTCTCGCTGTCTTGTCTCCCATCTCGTCTGCGAGCATCTCTATGATCGTCCTCTGGTTGGCGGAGAGGTACTTTGGCATCGTGACCCGGAACTCCACCTTGAGGTCTCCTACCAAATTGCGTCGGGTACCTAACTTCTTCATGCCGAGTCCGGGCAGTGTTATCTTGTCACCTGTGCTTGTGCCGGTCGCCACCTTCACGTTGACTGACCCGTCTAGAGTAGGAACCGTCGTGTCGCCACCTAGGATGGCGGTAGTCAATGGGATGCTTGCCGTATATAGAATATCCGAACCCGCCCGCTTGAACTTCGGATCGGACGCGACTCGGATGAGGACGTAGAGGTCGCCCCGAGCGGTCTTGACATTTCCATCCGTATGGCCGCCGGTCACCGGCGCATCGCCTTCTCCGTCCACCCGTAGCCTCATTCCGTCTTCGATTCCCGCTGGAATATCCACGGTGATGGTCTGGTCCTCTCTCTTGACACCATTGCCACCACACGTTCGACAGTCTGATCCTCTTGGCGTGACTTGGCCCGTGCCGCCGCAAGCGCCGCAGGTAGACGCCATCTGGAAACCTCCAGACATGAAATGCACCTGTGTGCCGGTGCCGTTGCAGTCTCTGCATTCTACTCGCTTAGTGCCCGGCCGCAACCCACTTCCGGAACAACTGGTACACTGGACTAGGGGGTGTATTTCGATTGTCTTGGTTGCCCCCCTCGCCGCTTCCATAAACGATATGTTCGTTTGGATCTCGATGTTCTCTCCTACGGCAACTTCTCGGGCGAAGGGGTTCTTGCCAGAGCGGCCTCCGCCGAAAGGACCCGCACGTCCACCTGTAAATGCGGAAAACAAGTCATCAAAGTTGATGTTGGCGCCGAAGCCCCCCTCTCCCGTGAACCCTTCGAAGGGGTTTCCCGCGCCTCCTGTGAAGGGGTTCCCCTCCGCAGGTTGGCCATTCGCGTCAAAGGCGGCGGCGCCGAATCGGTCATACTGCTCCCTCTTTTGCGGGTCCGAGAGGATCTCGTATGCGAACTGGATTTCGCCAAACTTGTCTTTGGCCGTGGGGTCCTTGTTGGTATCCGGGTGGAACTTCTTCGCTAGGCCGTAGTAGGCTTTCTTGATCTCGGCCGTCGAAGCCGATTTGTCTACACCCAACGCTCGATACGGATCTTTGATCGCGAGAGGATGTGGGGTAGCGTGGAAGGGCTACATGGGAAAAAGTTTAGCAGGGGCGGGGACCTGAGAAGGTGAAAACAGGCAACATACCCGTCTATAAGGAGCAGCCGGGCGTATAGGCCTCGCCGGCACATTCCGCGGCCTTCTCGTGGACAGGGAAGAGAGGGTACTGCTCTGGGGGCGCCTTCGCAGGCTCTCTCGTAACCTCTGCCTCCGACAAATTTGAACGGGGGAGAGGATGCGCGGCGGCAGCACCGCTTTCGCGAATAAAGTAGAATTCATTGAAGATGCCGTCTATTGCACGTGTCGACCAGTGAGTCCAGTAGGTTCACTCATGACATGTCCGGCAGGGTCGCGGGCGGCGCACGATAGAAACGATAGAAAAAAATTGAGGGTGGATAAAGTGCAGATAGAAGCTTGTCGCGATGACGATTGAACTTTTTTTTTTGGCGCTATGACCCGGTGCCGAATTAATGGGAAGATTCTCGATTTACCATTGCCCCCGCCTACATAGGTACCTACATAGCACTCCATCATCCAGCAGCGAGAGGTGCCCCGCCGATGCGGCCCACGCCACACGTCAACGCACCAGCCACAGCACCTAACACATTTCTCTCTACTAGGAGGTACTCACTCTAAAGTAGGGAGGTACCCAAGATAGAGACATCTTAAAGCTTGTATAGATGGCCTGGTTCAATCTTGGACCAATAGATGTCCGCTCAAAAATTGCTTCGAGTCAGATCGGACCTAAAGCAGCATAGTTGACAAGACTACTCGACACGTGGTGATTCGGTCTAAACGGTCGTGAATGAGGACCATGAGAGGAGGAGAAGGAGGAGGGGAGGGGAGGGTTCGGATCAATTGGACAGTTGACAGGTACGCGAGACACAACCACACGCTTTCGACTATAGCGCCAGCCCATCTGTAAGTTAAGTTCCCATTCTACGCTTCAAGTTGTTCATGGGGAATTGGAAGTGTGCGCCGTGGAGATCTAGGAGATGTCTCCTAAACGTGCGCAACCCCTAACCAGCAGCAGTACCTGTGTCGCGCCGCCTTTTCAACTCTGCGGTGCTGGCGGGAACATCCACGCCATCGAAGACACCGCGCAACACCCCGAAGAGCTTCCGTCTACATGAGGCGCTCTCCAGAGGGGTCCGGAACCAAACAGCTTCCACCTTGGAAACCGTCTACCTCCTACGCAAATCACGTTCGCAGCCGAGTATGCACCCCATCTTGCCCAAACTCCCCATCCGACGGCCCAATCCGCCGCCTCTATCCATCCCTCTACGAGGAATCCCCGGTGCGTCCACGAGAAGCCTACAATATCTCGCCTATTTCGGTATCACACCTACGTAGGTACCTACCATAGTATATGAGTAGTGTGGGTATAACCCGGTAGGATTACCTAAGTTCGGGGTTGGTTGCGCAGAGCTCGAGGCGATGCTACGTGCGGTACGGTACAAGGTCGCGCTAAGTCGGATGGGAATTAAAGGCCATTAGTAACAGGAAGTTGGAGCGCGTCCCGCGTGAGGGGTTCGAACCACCACTACCAGGGGGGAGGGGGGTGGAAACGGTGAAACTTGAAAAATCACCTGCCTACAAGAAACCCGGGTCCAGTGTGGCGGAGAGATAGGTAGGACCGAGGATATATGCATGCATGCAAGGAATAGGTAGGTATGTATTTACAAAAGATGTGGGTTGACGAGAAAGCACTCGGGTAAGGTTGACCGTGGACCTTACTTTTTGAGGGGGGGGAACAAAAAAGGGGGGCTTGGATGGGAGAAAGACCTGTGGGCAATGGAGCGGTGCTAATCGTACAATGGAATGGAATGTTGCAACAGATACAATGGTTGAAATTAATATGTACCCTATATACATGCATACAAACGCAAAGGCTCCGAAGCGAATGCTTATGGTGATCCTCTTAACCACAGGGCATCATCCATGTGCCCACTCCTCGGGGTCGTCGGCGGCCCCTGCTCCCTCAGCCATTGAGTCCCACCTAGCGCTAAAAAACTCCAGGACGATGCAAAAAATACAAGAAACAGAGGAACATTGGTGAGGGGGGAGGAGGGGGGGGGAGGAGGGTTGCTTCGGAGCCAGAACCCGGAGCAAGCTCGGCAGCACGATGGTATCTATCTATAACAGTACAGCGGTAGTAGAATCCAGACGCCAAACTAATGTCTCTATCCAGGGTATATACTCTTAAATGTTACGGCAACGGCGACGAATGCGGTGCATCTTTATTTCTTCGCACCCGCACGACGCCCGGATTCCGGACCTTGTGCACGAAGTCGACGATAATATCCGTCTCCTGGACGCCGAGCGCATTGAAGTGCTTCCTGACGGCTTTGGTCAGGCTCTCCTTGCTCTGTCGCCTGTACTGTTGTCTTCGTGCCATCGTGGGCGAACGCAGGCCGATGCCCGGCCGCGAGAGCACCCAGTGGTGATAGGGGTTTGCAAAGGCGGTCGGGGTGGAGAGGAGGTATTTGCGACGGTAATCGTGGAGGACATCTCGGTCGAAGGACTGCCAATGCAACTGGGAGCGACACGCTGTTAGCTAGTTCGAGCCCATCTACGGAAATTGCAGCATGGTGGTCCCACCCCAGGCGTCTGGCCCGGCTGCGTCGTGGGCGTTGGCGCTGTCAAGGCTAAGGAGCCGTTGACGGCGGCGACATCTCGGGGTTGCGATCCGGCGGAATTGCCAGCACGGCGAGACTTGCCATTCGGCTGGTGGTTATTGGGGCCGTGGCCGTGACCGGGGGCGTGGCCGTTTCGGTCTTTGACGCTCGCGGTCTCCGACTTTGCGTCGTCGTGGTTCACCTTGGATTTGGCTGGCGGCATTGGGGGTGGTTGCGGATCAGAGAGCAGAAGCGAGCGGCGAGGAGGGGATGGTCGAGCTTGGAGAGGTCATTCCAGAGGTAAGGAATGCACGAATAGAGGCGGAGATCGAGTGAAGACGAGTAAAGAGGTGAGAGGAGAGTCGGAATGAAGTCAGTCTCTGGCGATGCATCAGATGTGCAGGAGTCGAGGAGGAGAGAGGAGGGAAAAGGAAGGAAAAAAACAGCAGGTGAGCCGGCTATGCTATGTCGATCACCCACCCCTAACCAACACACTATCATTATTTTCCACTATGTGTGTACATAAAGTAGGGATGCTATTTTCTCATCAGCCATGACCAGGCAAATGGGTTCAGCCACCAATGACGACAGTGGAGCTCTATCGAACCACTTGCCGAGCATCGGACCCTGCATTTCCAGGTGGAGAAAAGGCACGAGAGCCCAGGTGGCTCGTGGCAACCGACTATCGATTATGGAAATGTCCGCTTAAACACATAAGCGCATACTTTAGGTACCTCCGACCCTAAGAGGTACCTTAGGTAAACTCATCACCGAATGTCGGGGCATTTCCAATTCTTCAATACTACTACTACCACCACCACTGTTGGCGGGGTTCCAGCCAGCGCCAGGCACCACCTATGACGGCAGAAGGGTTGTCGCGAAATTGTCATTTTCTCCCTTCCGCACCTGTCCATCCATCTCGCGCCGGCACGGCCCATTTCGCGCGAGTTATCCGTCATGCCAACCCAATCCGGAGCGGCTCTGGGTCTCCCTAGACGATGCGGAGATAGCCAATCCATCGTCTTCAGCATGGACCAACCCAACAAACCCAACCCCTCGACGGCATATGGTAGACGCGGGCGCGTGGGGCGGGCAGTGGGCAGATCGATCGTAAGTTAAGAGGCCAATGGGATTTGCTGTCGGCGAGTCGAGCACGAGACGTGAGTATAAGGCGCGCCCAGTGGTTGTTGGTGTGCAAATGCCTACCTGCCTGCGTCGTCTCGCTCGCCACCTCGACCGCTGCAATCCCAATAAAGACGTCCCGGGCTTGTAAAGCCTACGAGATGAGCGGGTATACACGAGGCGAATTAACCCAGTTGTCGACAAGTACTGGGAGCGCTAACAGCCCATATCTCCCGCCTCGCTGAGCGTTTGCGCGGGGTATTCCTGTCGCCAGTGTGAGGTATACCGGACATCATCCAGCCCCAGCCCTTCGAGGGTCTCACGGGATCAATTTCGTCGCGTTCTGCGTGCTCTTGGGAAATTTGGTGGCGAATAATCCTGAGAGTCAATGCTGGGTTCTACTGCGGCCAGGCCACGCCGAGGAGCATGAAGCTATAATAGCTATTTGCATCCCAAGTTTCAGCCCATGCCGCCAATGTCTGCTCCATTGCAGTCTTCTCGTGCCTTGGATAAACTGAGTTTCCTTGCCAGCGCGTCTTATACGATGGACGTATTCCCGACTGATGTTGTCTCGCTCTTACTAGGGCGTGATGGCTAGGGAAGGGAGGGGTGAGGGGGCGTACGCATTGTCAGTAAGCGTCGCAAGGCGGCCTTAATGAATACACGGTGGCGTTAGGCGTGAGAGGCCGTGTTCTAGATACAGCTATCGGGACGGACACACCGATAACCCAAACTATCCCGATATATCGAAAACCTTCACACGGTGGTCAGGTTGTGCCGTGTCTACTAGGTTGCGGCCATTGTGACAACGGGCCCCTAGCCACATATATAGTTTGCAATGGATATTTTGAAGACGCCCTGCTGGCGTTACCTACCTGGATTAGGTGGATGGGCTGGCAATCTTGCGCGGTTCCGCTATTGTCGACTCTCTATAAAAGGGCAGACTGTGAAAACCCCATGTGTCGAGAAAACCGCTACGCCGTCGCACGTCTCGATGTGATGGGATTCCGGTCAACAGGTGTACGCGCTACCGCCATTAGCACGCGAGTAAACGAGTAAGGCAATATTAAGGTCTGTTAGTGCCCTCAACTCGATATCCAGGCCACTCTGAAGCCAGGCCCGCGACGCACGGAGTGATGGGGAGGAAGAAGTAGTCACGACTAGATTCTAGGTAAAAGCTACCACCTACTAACGGCGAGGCGAGGTAACCAACCAACGAAGGGACGCAGTCCCCTAGATGCTCTAAGATAAGACGTATACAAAATTCTGTCGCCGTATGCCACCTACACAAGCGTAGCGTATGTAACCTTGCCTCCACGGTCGATCCAGGGCGTTAGGGTTCGGGCTTCAGCCATGCTACCGATGCACTACCGGACACGGTTCCATCCGACCGAGGCGCTACATAGCCCGCGGTACTTGGAAACGTTGTTTTGCAGACCTCTCTCCGTAACCCCATCGTGACAGGTTCCACGACCACAACCGGGTAATATCCGGGAGTCCCGCTTGCCCGTCCGACCCATCACACACCACACGAGGGGGAACAGCGAAACTTCCCGGGCGGCGCGACCAGCAGAGCCGGTGCATGCACCGAAGACGCGGAGAGGCTGCAGCGCTCCCGAACCACCCCCCCTTTCCCATTACTTTGTAGCAGGAGTACCAGTCTCGACGCGGTGGAGCAGATCCTGCACGAGCTCCGCGACCAGCACCGGGTCGTCCCTCTGGATGAAGTGCCCGCAGCCCGGGGCCGTGAGGGGGCCGCGCGCCCTGGCCTCCTCGGTGAGGCGCACTAGGCCCTCGTTGTACTGGCTCCACGCCGGGTTCATGAACGCGTTCGTCAGGCTCTTGGGAACGTTCATGGGGCCCCGCAGGCCCTCTTCCGCGAACGCCTCCCAGTCGTGCCCCACGACCGTGATCCACGGCCCCCCGCCCCCGCCCCCGCCCCCGTGGCCATCGTCATCCTCTAGCGGCGGGGGCCCCTCGAGCGCCGGCCGGTCCGCGTGCGGCAGCAGCGCCGCGATGCCGCGCCGGTCGAGGTGCTCTGGATTCGGCACCGAGGGGTGGAAGGCGGCAGCGTAATTAGCGCGCGTACGCCGCAGGTCCGCCACCGTCACGTCCGCCGGCAGGCACCCCGCGTCGAAGCCGGCGGCGTCCGGGTCCGGGAACACGGACACGAGGTCGCTGTTGGCCATGTTGCTGTCGAGCAGGAGCAGCGCCGCCGCGGCGCCCGGGTACGTCGACGCGTACAGCCGCGCGATCACGCAGCCCAGGCTGTTGCCGACGAAGACCAGGCTTGGAGGTGGCCTCCCTTTGCCGCGCTCGCTCGCGCCCTCCCCTACCCCCTCCCGTCCGTGTCCCAGAGCCGGAGCTATCCTCGTGCGCCAGACCTCGCGCACCAGCTTGCGCAGGTCGTGGACGATCTCGAGGATGTCGTGGGTGCCGTCATTGGACTCGTCGGCCGGGTCGCGGCCGGACTCGCCCTGGCCGTAGCGGTCGTAGGTGAGCATCGGCGGATGGTCCGCACCGTCCTCGACGCCCCACCGGCGCCGCAGCTCTTCCACGGTCACCCGCCACCCGGTCTGCGGCATGATGAGCCCGTTGAGAAAGACGACGAGGTGCGTCGCCGAGATGGGGCCCCGGCCCGGCGTGAGCCAGTACGAGAGTGGGACATCGGGCTTGTGGGGAAGGCGAATGGATTCGGTCATCCCGGTCTGCTTCAGTCCTTTATTTACGTACTTTACAAAATAAAATAAAATAAAATAAAAAACAAGCGGGAGATGTACGTAAGCCAAGGTGATGGCTATTTCATCCCCACCCCGTTTCTACTTTTAGCAGATCTTCTCGGCAGACGGAGATTGGCATTGCTACGTGCCCAAGCACATAAGTGTTGGATACGAGGTCTCTCGCGAGGCATTGTTAAAATCGGATGGCTGAGACATGGTGGCTTGAAAAAGGAGCCACATGGACCTGGATCACTACCATTTCCTTACCTGGATTGTCTTAGGATGGGCTTTGGTGTTACCAGTGTCATCGTCGCCGTGTGGGAAGGGGAGGAGGGTGTCGCCGGGGATCCTATCCGATAGGGTAACGAACCACCCAAAGCCTAGTCCTGTGTGGGAGTGAATCAGCCATGTCACACGTTATCCGCCTATCCAGCAGTAAGCCGGTGCTGTCGGCGGTCTACACCATGCAATGGTACCTGGCTTTCTTGCTGCACACTTGCTACACACGCACCCGTCGACGTTATCACGAGCGAGCCGATTATGTACCTAAGTCAGACAGATACAGGTAGGCAGGCAAGGACCGCCTTTTCATTGCTTGGGAGGGACCTGCACGTAGTCGATGTCTGCGCAATCGTCCTACCGCGCGGCCTCTGCGGACCGGGGCGGGCTCCAACCAGATGAATTGCTAGTAATTATCGATGGGGTCTCGGGAATTCACCAGGTGCCTCTGGCAAGCATGCCCTCATCGAGAACCTCAGGTGCAGAGCCGATCGCAGAGCTCGCGCGGGCGAACACTCGCCTTACATCCAGTTCGTCGATTACCACTCGGGGGGGCATCGTTTAGTCGCACCGAACACGTCCCACACGTTATGTTGAATCGGTTTGTGTACGGTAGGGGGAGCGGGACTAACTGCCATCGACATCTCCACCACATCTGCAAGACACTGCAAGGGTAGCGGAGACTACTCATGCTTCATGGATGTTGCTGCGGTGGCATTTAGCGTGCGGCAAAGTAAAGGACTCGTCGTAATCAGGCTACTCGACCGCCTGTGTTGATCGTAAGGCACGGGTATTGTGTCCCCAAGCTTCGCCCTGGGCTGTGAAACCCCAGCAGGTGAGAAAAGTGATCGGCGGGGAACCATGTAGAATGGAATGCTCCGCCGGAGGATTGTCGTGCCATGTACGCACCAGGTGAACCGACCTAGCCCCTCCTCCTTATCAGTATAGATACCTACTTGCTAAGGATTACACCGTATGGAGCGACACAGCGACCATGTATGGCCCGCCTTCATTGCATCGAGGTAGTCTTAGATAGTGTCGTTGCGTTGGCCCGCTGAATGGGCCGAACGTCGCGGCCAAAAGGAGATAAGTAGATAGAGATACCTACATGGTAAGCCGCAGGACGGACACGTGGAGTAAATAATACCTGCCCGACAATTGCAACGATGATAGCAATAACAACAACAATAAGCAGCAAGGTAAGGCCTCGAGTGCGACAAACCCGTGTCAGGGTCTGGGCAGCAAGCCAGCAGCCGCAAGGATCGCCCTCGACCTGGATACCCCTACGAAGACCATATTAGGTACGTCCCGAGAATTCGTCAATCCTTGTTGAACGTCTGGGAGGACGCCTCGCATAACAAGGCCATGGCATGCTGGGAATTGAGAGACGGGTGCCTTCATCTATACCCCCAGGGGCTGCGATACCCGCCACGTGAAGGTCGTGGTCCGCTGGCAGGAGACCCGGCGGGGGTTTGATGGCTTCGTCCTGCTTGCTGCATGGCAAGTTGTCTAAGTGACACTTCGCGTTTGCTGTGCCCGCGCTACCGGTGCTTCTAATGCTTCTAGACGTCTCAAGACATGGGCCGAGAGAAGAAGAGGAATAGGCGGAAGGATGGGGAACCCGGGCCTGGACGAAATCGCTTTATTCCCGTCTAGCCTGCCTAGCAAACTGAGCGGACCGACCTAGTCGGCGACGATGACCAGACTTTGGATGCGTTAGGATGATGGAAAAGGGACACGAAAAAAAAGGCTTGCCGAAAAAAGGAAGTGGAAAAAGGGCTCAGTTAGGAAGGAAGGGTGAGACCGGCCTCGTCCGATGAGATTGGGGGAGGGAAGAGAAAAAGGAAAAGGGATAAGAGAGAAAGAGAGAGAGAGAGAGACAGGGCGAAGGCGAAATTACCGCAGCTGGACATTCTCGACGAGGCATATGCAAAGCGCGCACCCATCTTCAGCTCTCGAGGCACTAGCTGGACCTGACCGCCTAACTTGAAAACGCACGATGGTGTTCAGCTCTGGGACTACGGGACACCAATGCGACCCTGGAAAAGGAGGGAGAGAAAAACACCTCAACTCAGATCGGCCTGCGCTGGTGGCCGCCATTCGCTCTGAGATCACGTTCTTAACAGAGGCTGCGAGCCCGACGCCATCGTACGCCCATAAGCACGCCTACCTGTTGTGGCCCGCCCTATTTTCCATCTCTCTACCCAGTTTGCGCACTGGCTAGCTGCGTGTGGAGAGGGACGTTGGAACATGCGTGATCTGATCCGAGCTACCAATACACCGAAACAACGCCCTGGTCCTGCCGCCAGCCCGCTCCCGCATTCCTCCAATCTAGGAATTGGAGAAAACTCCCCTTTCCTGGACTCCCTCCCGTGTCGACGGCGATTTCTAGATTGGGCCGAGAGCGGATGGCGTGCCGGCCTCGTAGCAACCAGCCATCCACCATCACCGCTCCGTCCTCACCACCTACTCCCAGCTTGCTACTACACCGCTGATGATAATGCGGTACTGGCGTTACGCAGGCGAACCCCGCCTGTCTGTCGGCCCTGGTTTAGAGTAGTTAGTGCAGAATCTCTCTGGCGTCTTCCGGGCCTGTATCGGGCTACGTGCCTCGTGTCTTGTGCTGCGATCGCTGGGCAGGGGGTGGGGGAGGGGAGGAGGGGAAATTCTTACAGAATCCAGGGTGTCGAGGCTAGTACATGCTCAACAAGGGTCAGTCAGAGCGAAGAAGTCCCTGGGAGAGGCTCTGCAGGTTTTGATTCGTCCCAGCTCCTGTCTAGGACCCGGTGGATGTGCATTTGCCGGTGGTGTGTTGACTCCGATCCATCGTGGACCCTGTCGCGCTCTCTGCTACCTTCCGCCCTCTACGCAGTGCATATCATCCATACGCTATGTAGGTATACGCTGCTGCTATGCTCTACCTACCACGAGAATGCTACGTGTGTCGTATGTACGATACCCCAGCCTGCTCTTCGCACATGCCCAGGCATATACCTACATGCCTACATACATGCAACCCCGAGGGTCATTTCCAGCCTGCCGGAAATCGGCTATCAGCGTCGAGGGTCCTGGGCTCGACCCTGGAATGTGCATACGATGATATCGGAGGCTTAGGCTGTCGATGAAAAAGACCCTGGCCCGCCTTATCATTGGCCGTCTCCCGGATTATGGCCGAGGTTAGACAGGTTCTGTCACGCCCGATGTCCCCCAGACAAAAACACACGGTTGGCTTTTCCTCGCGGGATCTCGATGAAGCAGGTGGCAGACACTGTGACGTGACCTGACGATCAACGCCGCGGGCGGTATAGCTGCTGCGACTTGCTGCTGGACCTGAGTTGGCGCCGTCAGCTACCTGTCAGTGCGTCGTTACTACGTCTATGTATCGTTACTACGTGCTTACCTACCTCTCTTCTTACCTTACTCACCCGCATCGCCCACATAATACCCACATACCCACATACCCACATACAGAACTACACTACGCACATCCCTACAGACAGACAAGACAGAGAGACCGAGACAGACAGACAGACAGACAGACAGACAGACAGACAGACGTGGTAGTGCCGCATAGCACAGCCTCACCCGGCTGAATTCCCATACTAGGTGCGGGCGCAGCCTCTCTTGATCCCTCTCGAACCCTGACGGACTCGTCGTGTCGAGACACTCGGCTGGGGCGCCTCTCATTCGCCCCGCGTCGGCTGGCCAGGTGGTCCCTCAATTGTGATGGCAATCTCGACAGCTGCCCGTTCGCGAGATGGGATTCGCGAGCGACCCCGTAGTAGGCGGTTCCTCGTTGTGGATAGAGAGGGCAGCAGTACGGTTAGCGTGTCCCAAACACGCCAGTGGATTGTATGGATCGCCCCCTGTCAGCGTCGTCTAGCCGGGGTGACTACAGACGAGGGGGGCTTTCTACGGGGCATACATACAGATGTACACACACACGCAGCAAGCCCTACAACCAATCATGGCCTCAACGAGAGGCGACGCTAGACTTCGATGGTCGACGAGGACATGGAGCACAGGCACCCTGAAGGTCCGCGCAAGCCAGGGTCACGACATACTAGGTATGTATATGGAGGTTATGGAGGTGTTGTGTGTGTATGTGTGAGCGCTGCTCCCCCAAAGGCGCCACCACTCGACCCCGTCCCCCATTGCCTGCCATGCCCCTAAGCAATCAGTGATACCTTACGTGGGAGCCGCTGCAAACAGCGACGTCGGGTTGGTTCAGCCTTGATGTCTTGTCCTCGTCTGTGCCGTGTGGTAATTTTCAAATCCCATCCCCTTCACCCTTACTCGTCCTCTTTCTCTTTTCTCTCCTCTCCGTCTCTCTCTCTCTCTCTCTCTCCCTCCCCCTCTCCTTCTCTCTCACCTACTCTCTCTGCTTCTCCCCCTGTGCCTCATACACACGCACGCACGCACGCACACTTCTCTCTCGCCGTCTCCAACCCGCAGCATGTCTCACTCTGCTTCGGCTCATCGACGTTGTTGCGTGACCTGAACAGAGACTGCAACGAGGGCTGACGGGAGTGCCCCGACCTGTCGGATTCCCAGCCGCTCCACTCACCCCTCAATTCTTAGGTAGTAGTATACCAAGGTTAAGAACTGCTTGGCTTTCTCTTGTCGACCTCGACAAGTCGATCGAGACAAGACACATTGCCGTGCAAGGCTGGTCGATACGTACCAATTGCCCACCAAACGTACTTGCTGCCATGGCGGACGAAGTCGAGCGGCTTGCGACCGCGCCCTTCAGGGAGATCATCGAGAAGGGCAGGACGGCGATTGAAAATGCGCCGCACGCTGACGAGGAGACGTCGCCGCTTATGGTCAAGGTGGCGCAGAGTCTAGTGAGGGAGGGCGAGCGGGCGCTGAAGCGAATCGAGCCGCTCTGCACGAAGAACTACGAGGACTACGGCGTTAACTTTGTCGATGCGATGAAAGAGAATGGTAAGGCTCGCCCCTGTCGTCGTGTCGAGTCGAGAGCTGTAAATTGATCCCCCCGCGCACCAGATGAAATCGCGCAGTACCGATCCGAGCTGGAGAACCTCCTGTGGGACTTTGACGAGTATGTCGAGCCGGGCGAATTCGACCCCGCCAAGTTCGAGGAGTTGCAGAAGGCCTCGAGGTGGGCAGCACCCAAGATCGTGGATATACTCAAGCGGATGAAATTGGTAGCTCCCGCGCCGACGTCCGCCCAGTCCTCGAGAGCGGCGTCCACCGCGGCTGACCGCAGCAGCAACTCGCACCACGAGCAGAACCAGAACCAAACAAGTATTATCGTCGACCCTCCGGCACCTAGCCCGACGGAGAAGCTGATGGCGGAGACAGAGCAGCTAAGCAAGATGATGGGAGCCCTGGCTGGTCCCGACGAAGGCCTGGAGGCGAACCTACCCCCGCTGTCTACGAGCGACCAAGATCGAGCCCGCTCCCGCCACTCCGACGTGTCTAATATGACTTCGGAACTCCCACCGAGACCACCCTCTACCGACCCGTGGCAGCTCGGCGCCGTCCCGCCCGTCAGTCCCGTGGACCATCCCGGAGAAGCAGACCGGTGGGAGCGCCGTCCCCTGGTGCCGAGCGACTCCCCAACGATCCCTCAAGTACAACCGGCCAGTCCTTTCGGCATGCCGGTGCACCCGCTGCGTATCCGCTCGAGGGCCGACGACCCTCCCCATCAGGTTCAGAGGGACGACGATGACCGGCAGATGCGCGCGGCTTCGCGAAGCCTCGGGACGGCTAGTGATGGATCTCGGTCTCCCGGGAAGAGCAATCGTTGGACTAACTCTACGCAGGGTTCCATCCCGAGGTCGTACCCCGGCTTCGCCTCTGCGAGCCGATCTCCTCCTAGTAACGAGGGTATCGGGTGGTCGGGGCCGATTCACGACCCGTCGACCAGCCGGTCGCCCTCGGATACGTCGTCCGTGATCGGACACACGCCCTCTATTCCTGAGAACACTGCTGTCGTCAGTCCGCCGCCCCAGACTAGCCTCCCTAGTATCCCCAACTTCCCGCCGAGGCAGACCTCTCTAGCGAAGCAGGCCAGCATCCGCCATTCGTCCCGCCACCCGTCGACGGAATCGATCAACAGCTCCGTCTTCGACGTGGTCGATTGCATGAGTGCCACGAGCCCCATCAACCCCACCGCGAAGAGGAATTCGCTGCCGTTCGCGGAGCCGACGAGTCCGGTACCCCAGCAAGCGCCCGAGTACTCTGTGCATCTACCCCCGTATCCCCGCCCCGGGACGGAGACCAACAGGTCTTCGGGCGCTGCCACGTTCACCAACTATTCCACCTCTACGCTTACCGCCCGCCTCGCGTCGCCGACCCCTCACTTTCACCAAGCCGTCGACGAGGGCCTAATCCCGGTCGACACGGAGCACCCGATGCCGGAGGAGCCGGCGCCGGCGCCGGCGCGGGAACCGGACTGCACGATCAGCCCCTCCAGCTCTTTCTACAAGCTGAAGGGCTTCTGCCGGGGCGCTGAAGAAGTCATGCAGGGCCGCCTCGGCTTCAAGAAGATCAAGAGGCCCGTCGGCGTAAGTGTCACTATAGCCGACGGAGACGTGTCGAACGGCCAACTGATCAGGATAGCAGGGGTTTTCTATGGCTGTCGTAGCAAAATGCAACCATTGCCTGTTCGAGATCGACTTCAAGCAGGTAGAACAGGATCTGCATAACGACTGTAAGAGACCCCTCCCCTCCCCTCCCCTTTTCCCGTCTGTAAAGGTCTTCCTTGGTCACCGCCCCCCTTCTACGTGCCGCACCAATCTCACCTTGCGTCATCCCCAGCTTCCGGCAGCTTCACCTCCAACACCATCGGGTTCCGGCTGCGGATCCTCCAGAAGAGCCACCTGCAGATCCGGCACGTGGAGGAGCAGCTCTACGGGTGCCTGTTCTGCATCCAAGAGGGGCGGACGACGGAGGAGAGCGACGCGACCGTGTTCTTCAACCAGAGCCAGCTGTTCGCGCACATGGCACGGCACCCGCGACCGCTGCCGCGGGTGCCCGGGATCACGGTGGTCGAGACGGCCGAGATCCCGCCGGCGTTCCAGGACAACTTCGACCTGCACTTCGGGCAGCAGCCGGCGCCGTCGGTGATGGCCGGGCTCGCGCGCGAGCTGGCGCGGCTGCCGGCCGGGGTGGCGACGGAGACGCGCAAGATCCAGAACGGCGTGCTGCGGTCGCCGCCGGGCCGCGACACAGCGCTGCACTTCGCCGTCGGCGCGCGCATCGTCGGTATCGAGTTCCCGGCCAAGTACGACGGCAAGTGGGGCATCGGCTGGCACGACGGCGTCCGCGCCGCCTTCGAGGCCGACTCCGTCCTCGTCGACCCGCCCCCCAAGCTCGAGATCAAGATGCAGGGCACGAGCAACACCCAGGCCGTCGCCCGCTGGAAGTGGAGCCTGAAGGGCGACGAGAAGTGGCTCAAGTTCGACAAGGGGGACGTCATCAAGAACATCGGCTGTAAGTATCTCTCCCTCTCTCTCCCCTCTCCCCTCCCTCTAGATATATATATATATATACATCCGGCAGTCCCCTCCGCGAGACGAGAGAAGCTTGCTAACACCGCGCGTTCTGCCGCAGGGGCGTACCGCGAGCACTGGTGCTGGTCCGGCACGACGTCGAAGGGGTGGGGTATCTTCCCGCAGTCGCACCTGGACCCGAATTCGATCCGCACGGTGCAGCCGGGCGACGGCGCGAGCGTCTCAAGCGCCGAGAAGAAGGGCCCGCTGTGGTTCCCGCTCTCGTCCCTCCGCAAGAACGCCGACCGCAGGCTCGCCCCCTTCGCCGCCGTCGCCCCCGCCGACCCATCCCCCGTCCCGAGCCGAGCCGGCGTCTACTAACTGAGCCCACCCCCCCCCGCCCCGCCCCCTCTTTCTTCCTCCTTCCCCCGTCTCCCTGCCCACGCCCGCACGCGCGCGGCATCTCGTAGCGCCGCGCCGGGGGCGCTGTTTCGGCACGCGCCGCCGGGGCAGTCCTCGCGGCATCTACTGTCGAGTTGCATGCTCTGCATCGCCGTAGCGAGAGCCGTATAAGCCTCGAGCTCCGAGCCGGGAGACCTGGCCACCTGCATTTTCCCTAGCGACGTAACTCTTTCTTGCGGTTTATTGGGCTGGCTGGCATGGTATGACATGATGTGTGTTACTTGGCATATACCCCCTTTCGGTTTTCACTTTTCTCGTGTTCTTTGTTTTGTTTAGTTTAGTTTGCCCGGTCCCAGGGCTCCGGCGGCGGCTTCTTCCCACGTGGGATCTTCGGCATCGAGCAAGCGGGCGTGTCAAGTCTGGGCATATGGCAATCAGGATAACGCTGTACTCACGCTAGGAGAGCCGGGCGACTGACTACTTACTCGTCGACCTGCCCCGGCTCCTGTCGAGCGGCCTCTCTCGCAGGAAAAAAAAAAACACATAGATAGGCTGTATAGATTAGCGAACCGTGCTACGTCGTCGTCGGCTACCCTGCTGAGGGTTGACGTGAGTAGCATGGCCGTGCATAGACAGACTAGCAGTATCCAGCTTATAGGGCCTCTCCGGTTCGAGATGCTTCTACTTTCATGCGTCATAGTAATATCGCGATTCGAGGACGCCGAATTAGTCTTTCGCGCACTGGCGGAATAAAAACACACGAAGTGCTGCAGCACCGAATCTCGCGTGTTTCTGGCTGAAGTCGAACCTTCCGGCTTACCTACCAGCCTACAGTCGATGCCTAGATGATACCCCCCCCGCTAGTTTACTAGTGTGCGTATGGTAGAGCAGCAGGACAGGGCGTGATCGCCGGACTACCGGGATAAACTGCTCCCTTTCCGACCCTACGCGGTTGATCCCGCCGCCGGCGCCGCCACTTTCCTACCAGCGGGAAACCGACGTGAGAGGGGATGGACGTGACAAGCTGGGTGGGGAGGTTACCGGGACCGAGGGGGTAGCATTACCGGCTCTTGGCGACAATAATTACAGCGGTGGCTAGAGAAAATGGACATGGTGGCGTGTGGTGCGGTTAAGCAAGGCGGGCATCTAAGGTTGCCACATATTATTGTTTCGGGGCGTAGCGGCGGCGCGGGTAAGGCGGGGGGGGGGGGGGAAGGGAGCGTGCGGAACGGGCCGGGGGTGTGTCTGCGGAAGGGGTGGCGCGACGGCGGTCTAAGAGGTCAGAGAGGAGAGGAGCGCGCAGGGGGGGGAGGCGGCGCGCCTGTGGGGTCTGAAGTGAGGAGGAGGAGGAGGAGGAGAAATAGAAGGGGTCGGAGGAATTAGGAGGGGTACTGGCAATATTAACAAGGCTACCCATTCGTCCCCGGTTGCCATACGGGAGTTGAAGACGACGGGGACGACACAGCACGCGCGCGTGATACTCCGCGGTGGGGTGGTGTGGTAAGCGCCGATGGCAACGTAGCAGCTCCGCAAGCGTACGCACGCGTGCGCATACATACCTATGTGCTTACTCCTCTTATGTCCGGTGTTGGCGATTTATGTGAGCAAGCCTCGCCGTCGTCTCGCCGAGGGGTCTTCTTGGCCGCCGGCGCCACACCGAGGTTGTGTGCAGCGCCGACGAGCGCAGAGCGCAAGTCCAGGCAGCCTTCCCGATCCATCCGCAGAACCTACGTGCACACGCACACGAGGCTCCCTTACCGCTCGAGGAAAGACCGCAGTGGCCAGCGATGGAAATTAGGATCGACCCGACGGCCATACATCTGTGCGATGCCACGAGCGAAATGGCAGTGTGCTCGTGCGACGCGAGGCACGAGTCGAGAGCGAGGCGGCATTACTCCACGAGGCATACCGTCTTCCCGGGATATGAGAGGATGGCGGCGCTGCCTGTCCTCCAAGGAACCTACACGAGTCCGGGGGACCAGTCGATGGAGTCGAGGGAGTGAGACGATGAAACGGCGCGCGCTGGAGCCTGCCGACGCCTCCAACGCAAATTAGAGCCCTCCCCAAAGCGGACAACGATGTAGCCTCCCTGCAGTATCCGGCTGCCGGCGTTGGGGGAGAAAGGATGCAAGCGCATCTCGCTAACTTGCCCATTTCCTTTTATCGCCGCCACGATCGCCGATGGAGGCTTTGTTCGACGAGCGTGCCGGGAACTGGGTAGGTAGGTAGGTAGCGCTAAGACGGTGCGCCCACGGCGATAAGGGGGGGGGGATCGCGATGAGCAAGAAGGAATACAAAGAAGACCAAGAGTCGGTCTTCCTTTGTGAGGCCAATTAGCCGACACGTGGCGCGCGCCGTGGTTCGTCTACCCGGTCAGTCTGGTCACTCCAAGGGAGCACGGACGAGGCCCGCCACGTGTGATGCCTGCATTTGGCGCGGTTGGTCTGGTCTTGTCCAGTTTCCTCGAATTAGCCGCAGCCTGGAGGATCCATCTGCTCCCGTCTCCAAGACAGGAGAGGGTGGAAAAGGGGAAGGGAACAGGCGGAGGTTTCCGTATGGGTTTACCTGGGATGAGGCGAAGAAGGGAGAGGGAGGGTGAGCCATACGGGTGCCTACCTCCTACTACTTAATGTACGAATATGCACGAACGTGCGAGGCGAGGGTGCAACCCAATAATTACCTACCTACCTTACCGTGCCCTGTTATCATCTCCCAGCCTCCCTCTCCTGCGGTGATGAGTGAAATGCGAATGCGAGAATGGGAGAAGAGGGACGTGGGAGGGGCCCTGGACCGCTCGGGCCAGTTCGAGAGCCCCGAGCTGAGTGTCCGAGCCGAGTATTATTTCCTCTTTTCGCCGTATTGTTGGAGCGTCAGGACTTCTTGACGGAGGATAAAAACAAGGTATGTCTGCATTGCCGCCACATCGCATAGTACAGCACGATGGAGACAGCATCAATAAATAGATCATACATGCACGTCCTGTAGGGCTGTATCCTGGTGGGAACCTGCCAATATATAGCTTGCCACGGCAATCCTACGGGATTGAGAACGGAGGGGCCGGGCGGATGAAACACTGCTTCTCTTTCTCTCTCGTGCAAGACATAGATGGCTCGCATCGTCATCGTCATCTTCTGCTTTGGCAAGGTTTCTGAGAATACTGTACCTTACTCGGAATCAGGCCAACTGTGTTGGTATAATACACGGTTGTGCAGAAGGGTTGGGCCGTCTATGCATTCTACCTGCTTCCGCGCCTCTACAGTTGGGCACATGCACGTCTGCACGCTACTAAACAGAGAAATGCGTTCTTGCCAACGCCACGAAGAAGCAGAGGCGGAGGCGCGAAGAGAGAGAACGCTGACACCATCACGTAGTGCCGAGTCTGCGGTAACCGAAGAGGAAGCTGGGCGATAAGCGACCATTCACTTTCGGTACCATGTTTACTGTATTCTCCAGAGAGGGGAATCGGCTTCGCGGCCCTTGTCAGCGATTAGGGTTCAGATGGGCCATCCGATCTAGACGTCGGCCGAACGTGGTTGACTTGGGGGTTCATCTGGGTGGTAGTCAGACAACCATTGGCGCTTCAGCTGACCGGCCGTGGTGCCCTCCCCCGGTCTAGGCTAGTGGTACTCCCTTTCTCTCTCTCTCTCCGGCGACTTGCGCTCGCTGACGATGAGAAGAAAGGCGCACGCGGTCGCACGCGTTGCTCTCATATAAAGAAGATCATCTCAGCCACGCGGCCGGCTTGGGGTGGCCTCAGGTACCGATACCTCAGGCGCCGGGGAGTCTTTGTGCGCGCGCGGACGCGTGAGACTAACATCGATAGGGCTCTCGGTGCCTCGCAGCAACGCACGTGGGCGTAAGTCTGACAAGGAGAGCCAGTAAGACACGGGAGAATCGCCAGGCGCGGTTCCGCGACAAGCGACAGCCTTCGCCCTTTTCTTTCTTTTTGGCAGGAAGAAAACATGCCACCGAGGGATTTCGACGTGCTGCTGGTTGCAAAAGTACCTATCGGATCAGCTGGATCAGTCAGGTAGAGGTCGAAACTACGGACCCAGCAGGTAGCAGGCTAGATGACTCCAATGAGGTTGTTGCAACTCGTAAGACACCTGTGGCAGACCGTGACTACTGTGTGCTACTACGTTAGGTAGCATGCTGCATGTGGATTCTATGCTCCGTGTCGCAGTCCTAGACATGAGTATATGTCCTCAGGCGAGCTTTTCATGCCATATGTCGGTGCTGGATAGATACGTCGAGTTAGGCTGCTGTGGACATGCATACATATACTACACAGTAATATAATAGTATGTAGTCGTGCATCATGCAGAATCGCTAGGTGACCGCTCCCTAGCTCGTTAGAAAAGTTGGACGCCCCCCACCCGTCGCTGGATCTCGATCAATCACGGCCGATGGTTCTAATTTCCGGCGACATCGCGCTATGATCCTAGACCTCCAGAGGATGAAGGGGACTTCCGCGGCGGACAGGGAGCAGTACGCAGGTTAGTCGGTGACCAAGTCTCCAGACCAGTCCTCTCTGCGCCGTCCAAACAAGTGGAAGGGAAAGATGGAGCGGTTCCTACGCCTTTTACCGTTGCCTCATCGCGAAGCCTTAAGAGGAGACTGACATATGCTCCAACGCTCCACCCCCGGCGGTGCCCCACACGTCGAAACCGTCACCGCCTTCGCGATGAGGGGCGAGTTCGGACAGTTCACGCTGCAGCAACATGATGATGCGATACAGGATGGATGGACGGATGGACGGATGCGCATACATAGGTATGAGTAGTTGCGCTCAAGAAATATCGAGGCCGCGAGGTCAATTGGTCCCTGCGCGGACGCTGACATGGACTGACCCCCCCCCCCCTTGTTGTCCCCTGCCGCCCTAATTATAGAAATCTGGTTGGTAGCGATGCTGTTGCGGGCTTGGAGGCGTTTCGTTGTATGGGTAAGTGGTGGGCGTGAGTGGGAGTAGGAGGGCGTAGGTGGGAGCAGGTGGTGGTAAGATAAAAGGTGCCTACACACGCAGGGTTAGGTACCTACACACCTGTAGGAGGCAGCCATCGCAGAGGACAGGTAGGTAGCATTGGCATGGCATAACCTAGGCGCAGGTGACGACGGGCGTATATGTACTCGCAGGAACCCAGTTCCGTGCCGTAGCGTTAGAGACGGGCAGGCTACCCATATATTGCAGTCCATACAAACGCGCCAGCCCAGACCTGGCTCGCATGCGCGTAGTGTAATAGCACTGCCCTATATGCATATGGTATATCTCCGTGGGCTAAAGCACATCATACCAAATAGATAATCTGGCCTCTCGTCCTCCCCGAACCAGAGCCATCTCCGGCCGGGGCGTCTTGTCAGTTGCAGGTCCCGGGACGCATGGGCATTGGTAGCCGGTGCGACTTGGTACCAAGTCGTATCACAACCTGGATTCGATTGGGCTTGGGGGGCCAATGGCCGAGGGCATACCTGGCCGTGCGGTACGTACGTACGTGTTTATGTAGCAACGTGCAAGTGTGTGTGGAAGTGGGCGTAACTGGTGTGTGTAAGTGAGATAGACAGACGTAGGTAGGTTGGCAGGTCGGCATGTAGGAGGCAGGCATGTATATAGGTGTGTTATTACGAGGTATATGATATGTGGTTTATACATACCTCCTAACCTACCTATGTACCTGCCTAGAGCGTATGCGGGTGATAGTATCGCGACGATACGAATCGACGATAACCGACCCAATGAGGTGGGCAAAGCGCCGGCGCGACTCGACAAGCCGCGGACAAGCTGCCTGATCTGTGCAAGTTGGATATGAAAAGAGACGGTTTATCACCCTGGCTATCGTCTTCGTTCCCAGCAACGGCAATGGTGGCAGCAAGCAGCAGCTCCATCCTCATTACTACTGCTACTGCTACCCCTCCGGCCGTCCTCTCGTCGTCCTTCCGAATGTGTCTGTAGATACATATCTGACCGGAGCCTGAACGAACCTATTCGAGTCGGCCTGCCGGATGGCGATAAGCACCATCAGATTTTCTAGGGAGGGTGTTGCGATTCGTAGATTGATAAGGCGGGTTGACCAGCGGCCGCTGCTGGTGCTGTCGCAACTCGCGGGGGAGCTCATCCCATCCTCAGGCTTATTACCTATAACAAAAAAAAAAACTTTGAGCACACACAGATATAATAGTACGCCCACGCCCACCCACGCCCACGTCCACACCCACGCCCACCGACAGCTCATGTGGGACCGGTTGCGGATGATTCTACACTGAGACCGGACACTATGATGTAGGTGGTAGACCAACCACAGGGATGTGCCTCCGCGTACGTAGTATATGTACATCTGTATGTATGAACATACCTTAGGTACCTAGGTACCTACCTTACCTACCTAAGGTAGGTACATAGCCATCTGTTGTCCACCGATTTCCCTATCAGTGCCCACGGCGCCCAGGAGAGGCCAGCTACCTGTGAGGCACGGCGTGACCTCCACTGCTGCCAATTGGAGGAAAGGAAAGGATATGCTACGCAGTAGGTGTGGCCTGCCTTCCCGGTTCACGTTAGGTACCGACCTCCTACCGTAGGCGCGCAGGTACTTAGGCAGGTAGGGATGTGCCAACGGAGAGGTGCTAATGCTAGGTACCTACACGTACATAATACGTGCTTGGGTGTAGGTACCTATAGGCAGGTGCTCGCATTCTGGCCGGAGGCAGTCCTGCGAGCTGTGGCATCCATTACGGGGCCTAGATGGCACAACCCGACACGGTGGGCGCCGCAGAGTGCTCCGAGCCTGCACACCTGCATCACGGATGTACGTATGTACATATGTATGGCGGGTTGTGAGCAGGTACCGTGTACACATGTACAGGTACGCCGCGATTCCATTTGCCAGCCTGTGTGTCCCCTGGTAGCAAACCCACCTTCGAGCCGACAAGGGTCTACAGCGATACCTCCCCCCCGGCACGCTAGGCGGAATTGCATACCGCCCAATCACCTGATGCTAACTCCGCGAACTGGTCGACACGTTCAGCCCCTCTCGGCCTTCGCTCGCAGCTTTTCGCTCGCAGCTTTTTGGGGAGAATTGGTGGGTGAAGTTTCGGTATGGGAGAACCACCGCTGGACCCTGTCCGCCCAGACCTTGCGCAAGAGGCAATTCGAGCATCATGATTGATTGATTGATTGATGGGCGCCTGGGTTGCATCGGATTCGTGCTTTGAGTAGATGACTGGCATCTTCCTGTCCGTCCTCGGTTGGTCTCTATCTCCTAGCCCGCTCTGGGTTCTCTTTTCCCTCTCTGCTTCCGAACGGTGGCACGCATCGAGAGCGAGCGACGCAACCGACAGCCTCGTCTGCCCAAATCCCGTCGACTTTTCTCCCCAGCCCGTTGATTGCCGTGACTGCGCACACCAGCATTTTTCCCGCACTCGCATTTCCCCTCAGTCCACCTCTCTTCCAGCGCAATCCGTCTTTTCCCTCGCCATTGTTGTCGCCAACGCCACCCGTCGACTATCCGACCGCTATCATCGCCGTTGTCGTCCGCGGTGAGAAGAACATCTGGGCTTGCGCGCGTTGACGGGTACTCGGTAAGTGATCGGACATATGATCCTCTTTATGCACCCACCCTCCTATGCCTTCTACGTCCACGCCAATCACTGCCTTTGCCAAACCCGGTGCTCGCATCTCTTGCTTGCGGTCTGGATACAGCTCTCGTCCTAATCCTGTCCCATACTATTCCCTCCTGTCCCATACTGTCCCATACGATGCCGTCCCATACATACATATACACATACCTGCATGTGCATACACGCCTACCCACACACGCGTATTTACTTCACCTCTGTTTGAAGACTGCGATATTGCACTATTATACATAAAGAGTGTAACGCTTTCCTGGTCCTCCCAATTTCTCCCCCTTCCCAAATATCGTCGTTGTGTGTGTACGTTGTTTCACTTCCCCTTTCCCTCTCCTTCTTCCCGCCTCTATCTTGCAGCCGCTGTCTCCCTCTAGCTGGGAGGTCGAGACCATCGCATTGTACGCCTACCCGCAGATTTCCCTGGCATACTCCCCCCCTCTCCCTCCCCTCACTCCATTACGTCGTCACACACACACACACACACACACACACACACACACACACACACACACACACATTAAGCAAGAAGCACGAAAAACAAGTCATATATAGGTCCGTGGGTCGGAACCTGGTCGGTAGCGTGGAGGCAGGGTTGGAATCAGAAACATTCGTGCCAGGGGAGAGAAATTGATCTCCGACTCCTTCTCGAACTCGTCTAAGGTCTATCGAGGGCGTGTAAGGTCGCTCGCTCGGACCAGCGGATTCTGTACCCTCACACCTCTCACTCACTCACCTCCCCTTGCTTGATCTTTCCTAACTTCACCTCGCTTTACTTCGTCCTGCTCGTCTCTCATTACCATTTCTATACTTGGACTCCCATCTTAATTACCCTGCCGAATCGCGTCTCTTGGCTGCACTGCACACCCTCGCTTCGAGGTTGAACCGGTCATCCGTGGATGGGATCTCCAGTTCACAGTCCATTTCGGTCCGGTCATCAGTCGCGGAGCTACCTGGGACGCTAATTCACCTACCTATCTTAGATACTCGGTCAATCCATTTCGTCATATCTCACGACAACTTCCGACTGAATTCTCCGATTATCGCAAAGGAAGTAACGCCGTCTCTGGCTAACTGGACGACCTTGAAACCGTCAGCCGGTGCTGCATCTTGACATTAAACATCGCGGTCAGCAGCAACCATCTAAGCTTCGCCAAACAGAGGGCCCGCATTCGCAACTCTACCGATCTTCCCTCAACCCCCCCCCCCCCCCCCCCCCCCCCGGCCAGTTGGAACGAGAAAAGCCGCGCAGAAATATACCGTGGCCAGAGCCGACCAAATTTGGACAGCAGAATATGCCTATAGACGGTCTCTGTTTCTAATCGCCTAGGCTCGTCACCGTCAGCTTGCAGAACGCCGGTAGGAGCTTCCGAGCACCGGCCTGCCCCTTATACCAACCCCGGGCCACCCCGAGACAACTCAAACAACGTTGCCATCCATGATGGGAGCATGCATGAGCTCCAATAAGGAGGAGGAGGAGCAGAAAAAACGAAGTCAAGCTATCGACCGGGCGCTCGACGAGGACTCGAGGAGGCTGCGGCGAGAATGCAAGATCCTGTTGCTTGGTGAGCCAATGCTGAATATAAGTCGAACTGGCCGTGCGACAAGGTACTAACGAGCGCGACCCCTTAGGATCCGGCGAAAGTGGGAAGTCGACTATCGTCAAACAGATGAAGATCATCCACCTCAAAGGCTACTCGGAGGATGAGCTATACAACTACCGCGCGACGGTCTTCAAGAACTTGGTCGAATGTGCGAGAGCCGTCATCATCGGGATGGACCAATTCGATATCGAAGCAAGCACCCCAGAAGCTAAGGAATTATGCGAGTACCTGTTGGGTTATACCGTGGAATCGGGTCCTACGGCTCTCATCGAACAGAAAGTTGCCACCGCTGTGCAGGCTCTATGGCACGACCCCTGCGTTGAGCGGCTCATGCAACACTCTACCGAATTTTACCTGATGGACTCGGCGGAATAGTGAGTAACGGCTTTTCTCGACGCAGACTCTCGTACTGACGACGAGGCAGCTTCTTTGACGAGGCGTCGCGAATATGCGCCCCCGACTATCTACCGAACGAGATGGATGTCCTTCGCGCTAGAACAAAGACGACAGGCATCTACGAGACTCGGTTCCAGATGGGCGCACTTAGCATCCAGTAAGTAGTGTAGCGCGACGCGACTCGGCCTGCTATGATTTCTGACTTTGTGCGTCTAGCATGTTTGATGTCGGTGGCCAACGGAGCGAGCGGAAGAAGTGGATTCACTGCTTCGAGAACGTGACGTCCATCATATTCTGCGTGGCGCTTAGCGAGTACGACCAAGTGCTCCTCGAAGAGAGTAGCCAGGTAAGCCTCGGGGCATGCTTAGGGAGCGGTATCGGGGTTCGCTAACGCTGGGGGTAGAATCGGATGATGGAGAGTCTACTCCTTTTCGACTCCGTCGTTAACTCGCGATGGTTCATGAGAACGAGCATCATATTATTCTTGAACAAGGTCGACATTTTCAAAGTGAAGCTTCCCAAGTCGCCGTTGGGGAACTACTTCCCAGACTATTCGGGCGGCAACGATGTCAATAAGGCCGCCAAGTACCTGCTCTGGCGATTCAACCAGGTCAACAGAGCTCACCTCAACCTATACCCACAGTAAGTCTCTCGGTCCAACTGAGGGTCCCGTTTGTGTCGGCTACTAACAGCACTGCCTAAGCCTGACCCAAGCAACCGATACCTCCAATATTCGCTTAGTATTCGCGGCGGTGAAAGAAACGATACTCAATAATGCACTTAAAGACTCTGGCATATTGTGATTTCGCCTCCTGTTCCGACACCCCCCCGAGGGGGACACCCTTTGCCTTAGCCCGAGGCGATAATTACAAAAGCATTGGGAAGGAGTTTTTGGCAGGGACCTTGCAGCTGTCCTTTTTGATAAATAAGGAGGGGGGGGGTGTTTTTTTTTTTGGCAAGGCGTTGGGAGCTCCAATCTCACGGGTTTCGGTGCCTTCGCGGCATGTGGGCACGACACGGGATCACAAGGCAGAGAAAAATACACCGGCTAGAGACACCGGCTAGAGAGTTTCGGCAGGGGGGATGATTCATATTCCCGGTTGGAAGATGCTGCCCAATATTCGATCGAGAGCCCGATACATATCACATTCGATATGGTATGGACGAAGGGCAGGGGAACGCTACCTAGGCATTGGCTCGCTCAGACGAAGTCCGCAAAGCAGGTGCCGTATGTAGCCCCTGGTTGGCTCCAGTTCTGTGAGATAGCTACCTAGGTACCTAATTACGATGCAAAAGGCGACAGACAACCTCGACGGTGTCTTCGAGATGTAATCGATACTGAAGCTGATGGATACCACGAATACTGTATATGAGCTACGTTAGATACGCAATGAGATACGGCCTCGCGGGGGTGGGTCTATTTTATTTAGCCGTTGGACGGCGCCGCCGTTGTATTTCGGCGACGAGGGTGCCGGAGAGACAGGCGACCCGCGGGCGGCATTCGTAAGCAACGCATGCCTATTGTGGATACGTATGTAGGTATTGCATGCACGAAATCGTCGTCCGGATCTTTGACGACGAGTGAACGAGATGCGTGAGGTAGAGCCATAGGGGCTCGGTAGCCCCGAAATTATCACTCGTGCACCAACGCCAGGACCCATCAACCCAACGTTCGCTCTCATTTCCGTAGACTGGTTATCCGTCGCCGGGCTGCCCCGACCCCTTTCTTGTAGTAGAACCAGACTTGCGCATCGTTCGCCGTCGCCGGGTATCGCATGGCATACCTAGGTATCTTTCTTTCTTTCTCTGTTCCTCCTTCTCTTTTTCCTGTCTCCCCGATTTTTTTTGGTGGACATGGAAGCATCGAATCCTCCCTTTCGCGACGGATGCATATGTACCACATACCTACATACATACATACATACATACATACATACATACATACATACATACATACATACATACATACATACATACATACATAGACGTACACGTACAGCCGGTATATGTACAGCATCGGGTTTCCTCCTAGATCGGGCCCTGGACGGGTAGACAGGTGGCGCCGAGCGCCGGTGTCCAGGCAGATAAGGCATACCGATCTGAGCGTCGGCGGCTCAGGAGTGGACGGCGGAGAGCAGGGGGTGGTCGTGGCAGGCGGACGAGGCGTGGGAGGAGGGGCACGCAAAAAGCTGCTGTCCCCGTGGGTCGGCCCCTCTACCAACGATATGCTCGCATCTTCATACGCGTACATATTCTCGCGTAATGGCAACGGGTATGCGTGGGTAGCGATTCATGCGTGGACTTTATTTGGGGTTACTGCAGCACGCCTGAGAGACCACGCCTAAAGGCGAGGAGGAGGTGTGAGGCATCTTTGCTGCAGCTGCCGCCACTTTCTGGTGGTGTTGCTGTCGAGCTGGCGGTGCTGCTGCTGCTACGGTGGCAGTAGGTAGGTAGGGAGGTAGGGAGGGAGGCCGGAGGAGGGAAGGACGCGACGTGACATACCTATAGGTTTCTGCCGCGAGGGCGTAGCCAAGCAAGCAAGCATAACAAAGCCGCCACGGTGGTAGCGGCAGGTGGGTAACGTCGGAAACGGGGCCTGGTAGGCGGGCATAGGGCATGTGCCCCCCATACCGGCGCTGCTACCTGTCCCCATACCGGAGCCGCCGACACATTTCGAAACGGGGTGGCGTTACCCAAGGCTATTAAGATGAATTTGGTTTCCTTACCCCCAGGTACCTGTGTATGAGGTTCCGCGGGGAGGTTAGGAAGCACGTATGAGCATACCTTAGTGCCTCTTACAATACCTTAGGCTACGTAGTACCTAGTATCTTCGCTGGCTTCCCGTGAGTAGGTATATGTAACAATACGACGAAAGAAAGCTCTGAGCTTGATGGCACCTAATGCGTTATGCACATGTAGGGTTGGGCGGATGCATGTCGCAGACCCAACCAGGTTTATCGCATCGTGACGAGAATCGTGATGAGAGGAGGGGAGGTGAGGGGCTGCTGCGTCTGGCGGGGTTCGGCTCGTCGACAGATATGACGTACCGCGGCCACCCCTCTTCCTATTCGCCTCTCCCGATCCTCAACTCTCCAGAAATTGCCTCCCTACCCCGCCGACCCTGGCGGATACACAGCATGATTTATTGTCGCCGGTGCTTGGCTGGCTGGAGTGCGCATCCTAGACGGCGGGGGCACACCGGACGCAAGTAGCCGTGGGCGGTGGGCATCGCGGCACGGGCGATGCGTCGCGGCCGAGCCCAACATGGGGACCCTTTCCCACCAAAGCCCTATCAGGCGCCGGCGGTTATGTGTGTCTTGGTGGGCGGGCAGGCTAAGCCGTCGACGTCGACGGGCTTGCATAGGTTCGCAGCGAGCTGGACCGATGGCCCACGCGCTACTGGGGAGGTGGCGTGTCTGAGGGCCGGTTCTAGCCTCTGCCGGTCCAACAACGCGACGTAAAAGTCATCGACTGCGTAGCTCGTAAGCCTAGCCGGCCCTAACGCAATGGAACTTATTCTATATGCCTCCTCTACCTACAGGTGGGTGGGTACCTCTAGAGTACCTAGAGGGATACTAGGTAGGTAGGTAGCCCAGCAAGTAGCTGGCTGCCTTGCCTCTCTTTCTTGCTCTATCCGGATCTCCCTCTCCGCTCCTCTCTTCCCTCTTCCTTACCTCTAGGTGGGACCTCTTAACCTCTCTCTTATACAATGTCTAGGTAGGTTAGATGCTTACCCTCCGTCGGCACGTCGGCACGTCGTCAGAGAGGCCGGCTGCTGGCGAAGCCCAGGTCCGGGTCGATCCATGCCGTGTAGTAAGGTAGGAATCAGGCCCGGCCGGCGCTGTTAGGCCTTCGTAGAGCTGACTATGCCTAATCGCAATTAGTTGGCGGAGAGGTAGCTCCCTGGTATCTCGGCCCTACTCCCACGCCATTGGCGAAGATGTGAGCGCTTCTCGTTGTAGAGCAGCTTGCAGCTCTCACAAGCCAATCGTCGTCATCGTGCTCGCCCAGTGGCATGTTTTTCCCTGCCTCTCTAACCTCGACTTCCCCTCTCTGCCTCCCTTCGTATCCACCCGCAAAGTGCGCCGTCTCGGCCGCTGCCCTTTATTTGTCCCCCCCCCTCGCGGACAGGTCTTTGTCTGGCTTGCGTCCTTTCGATCCCCATTGATACCTAACCGTCCAGACCCCAACCTCTGCCAGACGAACAGACGGCCACGGAGAGAGAGACTTTGCGTGTGTGTTGAGTGTCGAGAGGAGAGGTTCCCAGTCACCGTTGTCCTACCCCGCGGTCCTCTCTCTTAGGCCAGGAACTTCCACGGAGCTCACCAAAGCTCACCCAATCCAGACCCCCCCCTCTCATCCTCCCCTCCAGCTCCCAGCTCCCTCTGTCGACGACCCACCCCCTCATCCGCCACCCTCGCAAGCAGCAGCTCGCCCATCGTTTCTTTAACTACCTCAGCTACCCGAGCCCCTCATAGGTGAGAAGCCGGCGCCGCCATTGCCTATTGTGCCAGCCGGTCCATGCTGCGTCAAGTCTGCGTATAAGTACCTAATAAGGAGAAAACAGACGGGTCTCGTTAGCATCCCCATCTTTTACCTGCTCAAGTCTTCTTTTGCCTAGTTTTCCCCCTTCTTCCTTCTTCCCGGGCTCTCCCCGTTCCGCCTTTGGGCACGGACACTCTCTCCCCGAATCGAAAAGCCCGACGGCTCCCGAAAATGGCCTCCACCGAACATCGTCTACCAAACCGGGAACGCCGGCCTTCTTCGGCGGCTCCCATCGTGGACATTGTCGGTTCCGTGAGTCCCGCTGGGGTTTCGCGCCCGAAGCATAAGCGCACATACACCGGATTTGGTGCCAGCGACATCAAGAGCGTAGAGGGTTCGTAAATATGCCCCCCCCGCCCCCCCCCCCTCTGGCAACTCGTCCCCCGTCTTACGGCTAGACTCGGACCCCGCTCCTCTCCCGTGCACCCACATAACGGAACTGATCATTCTCCCCTACGTGTAGCGGCGATCCCCGAACCCCAACGTGACGTATGGACCAAGCACCAATTCAAAGGCTTCAAGACGAAGGACGAGTTCGAGACCGAGGTTGTCCGCCATGTCGAGACTACCCTTGCTCGTAGCATGTTCAACTGCGACGAGACGGCCGCGTACTCGGCCGCCGCCTTGGCGCTCAGAGATAGGCTGATCAAGGAATGGAGCAATACGCAGCAGCGACAGACTTTCAAGGACACCAAGCGCGTCTACTATCTCAGTCTGGAGTTCCTCATGGGCCGTGCTTTAGACAATGCCTTGCTCAACGCCGGCGTCAAAGCCGTCGCCAAGGGTGTGTATAAGAAACTATTCTTTGCAACCCCCTCCGCTCCCCGCTCGGCGATGCTAATTTCGCCGTAGACGGTCTTGCCGACCTAGGATTCCGCATCGAGGACATCATCAGCCAGGAGCACGACGCCGCGCTCGGTAATGGAGGTCTGGGACGGCTCGCAGCATGCTTCCTCGACAGTCTTGCCTCGTTAAACTACCCTGCATGGGGCTACGGCTTAAGATATCGTTACGGCATCTTCAAGCAGGAGATCATAGACGGCTACCAAGTAGAGGTCCCCGACTACTGGCTTGATTTCAACCCCTGGGAGTTTCCGAGGCACGATGTCACAGTAGATGTAAGTCGCCGCGAAGAAAGAGCAAAAAAAAGGGAAAAAAAAGAGTGCCCTGGTCCATACCACGTTACTAAACAAACGACAGATCCAATTCTACGGCAGTGTCCGAAAAGCGCAGGACGAGAATGGAAAGAAGGTAGCTCACTGGGAGGGCGGCGAAATCGTCACTGCTGTGGCTTACGACGTACCGATTCCCGGTTACGACACGCCCTCCACCAACAACTTACGGTTGTGGTCTAGTAAGGCTGCCAGTGGCGAATTCGACTTCCAGAAGTTCAACAGTGGAGAGTACGAGAGCTCGGTGGCCGACCAGCAGCGGGCCGAGACTATCAGCGCAGTCCTCTACCCGAATGACAACCTAGAGCGCGGGAAAGAGTTGCGCCTGAAGCAGCAGTACTTCTGGGTCGCCGCGTCGCTCCACGACATCATCCGACGGTTCAAGAAGTCGAAGCGCCCCTGGACGGAGTTTCCCGATCAGGTCGCGATCCAGCTTAACGACACCCACCCCACGCTGGCTGTCGTGGAGCTCCAGAGGGTTTTGATAGATATCGAGGGTCTCGAATGGGACGAGGCCTGGAAGATAGTAACGTCGACTGTAGGTTGAACTGGATTAGTTCCGTCCGCTCTCGCATCCGCTAACCTCGCCTCAAGTTTGGCTACACAAACCACACCGTCTTGCCGGAGGCCCTTGAGAAGTGGCCTGTCGGTTTGTTGCAACACCTGCTGCCCCGCCATCTCCAGATCATCTACGACATCAATCTCTTCTTCCTCCAGTCCGTAGAGAAGAGGTTCCCCTCTGACCGTGAACTCCTGCGCCGGGTTTCCATCATCGAAGAGTCTCAGCCCAAGATGGTCCGTATGGCATTTTTGGCCGTCGTCGGTTCTCACCGGGTCAACGGAGTGGCGGAGCTTCACTCAGACCTCATCCAGACGACCATCTTCAAGGACTTCGTCACGATCTTCGGCAGCGATAAGTTCACCAACGTCACCAACGGCGTCACGCCCCGCCGGTGGCTACACCAGGCGAACCCCCGCCTCTCGGACCTGATCGCCACCAAGACGGGCGGCTACAGCTTCCTGAAAGACCTCACCCTGCTCAACAAGCTGGAGCACGTCGTTGACGACAAGCAATTCCGGAAGGAGTGGGCCGAGATCAAGTACGCCAACAAGGTGCGCCTCGCCAAGTACATCAAGAGCACGCTGGACGTCACGGTCAACCCGTCGGCGCTATTCGACGTGCAGGTCAAGCGAATCCACGAGTACAAGCGGCAGCAGCTCAACATCTTCGGCGTCATCTACCGGTATCTAGAGATTAAGAAGATGAGCCCCGAGGAGCGCAAGAAGCAGCTGCCGCGCGTGTCTATCTTCGGCGGCAAGGCAGCGCCGGGCTACTGGATGGCCAAGCAGATCATCCACCTGGTCAACAGCGTCGGCGAGGTCGTCAACAAGGACCCGGATGTTGGTGACCTGCTCAAAGTCGTCTTTCTCGAGGACTATAACGTTAGCAAGGCCGAAATGATCATCCCCGCCTCCGACATCAGCGAGCATATCTCCACTGCCGGAACCGAGTAAGTTTTTTCTTTTGCTTTTTTTTTCCTTTCTCGTTTTCCCTAGAAACGACCTCCGAGTGTCTGCCTGGATATCCATCTCGCCTCCGCTAGAAGCAGTAAGCTGATGTCGATTGAAACAGGGCGTCCGGAACTAGCAACATGAAATTCGTGCTGAACGGCGGTTTGATCATTGGGACCTGCGACGGTGCCAACGTAAGTCTATTCCGTTCCTTTTCTCTTCTCCTAACCTCGTGGTCCCCGGGCCAAATCGAGGCTAACGAGCGTGCTCCCCTTTTCACTCCCGGGTGCAGATCGAAATCACACGAGAGATCGGGCAAGAGAATATCTTCCTGTTCGGGACGCTGTCGGAGGACGTGGAGGACCTGCGGCACGCGCACACGTACGCGGAAGAAGGGACGCACCCCATAGACAAGGGGCTCGCGCAGGTGTTCGACGCGATCACGGACGGCGTGTTCGGGAAGCCGGACGACTTCCGTGCGCTCATATCGGCGGTGCGCGACCACGGCGACTACTACCTCGTGTCGGACGACTTCCAATCCTACATCGATACGCAGCGCATGATCGACGCCGAGTACCGTAACCAGGACTCGTGGGTCGCCAAGTGCATCAATAGCGTCTCGCGCATGGGCTTCTTCAGCTCCGACCGCTGCATCAACGAGTACGCTGAGGGCATCTGGAACATCGAGCCTCTCGCTGTGTAAGGCGGAGACCGAGGCGCAGGGACCCGCCGGATCGATGCGCGGCGATGGCCTCGTGACGAGTGCCGGTGGCAACAGAAGGGGTATCATCGATGGAAACAGGGTGGGGGAGCATCTGTTAGGTAGGTAAACCAGATCCCGGCGGGGATACGGACGCGATCATGAGGGCGACCACCGGGGGATGCGAACCAAGGTGGTAAGGCAACAGAAGGGAAACACGGAACACGGTCAAGTAGCACCTAGCTATTCTTTGGATGTTTACCATGCCAGCTTAGGTAATTACTTCTATATAGGTAGTATACGACGCCACCAACTGCGATGTCTTTGTTGCGCAATGATTACGTTTAGTAACGAGTGCGGCATGGGTATGGACGGGTACTACGGTAAGAAAATATGCCTACCCAGTTATCAGATAGCTAGGTATAACATTGCTAGTAGGAACTATATAGGCATAGGAGACACGACCTGCCGTCCCGCCAGTCCACACTGGTTGTTTGGTCTATAACTCATAGTGCACGGATTACCTAGGTATAGGTATTGACATCGCTTTCAAAACCATACCTTGACGCACAGACATCTCACACGTCTGGATCAGATACTTACCTACCTACTTCCTACCTAGGTATCTTTAGGGCAGGTACCTACCTCTCGACATGCGCCGGACGCTTTCGTCCCGCGGGCCCAGCTAGTAGCGACGGCGGCGACGAGCCGGTCGATGCTAGCCCGGGTCGAGCCTGGCTCGCATGATGTCATCGGGGCGCGCAGACAGGGCAAGGCAGGGCAAGGCGAGGCGAGGCGGCGGCGCACGGGGAGGGAATCTAGCACTGGACGCCGTTTATGCAGGCGGGGCGCTGCCCAGGAAATAGGGGCAGGGTAGTTCCACGGCGGCGCCGTCTAGTCCGCGCCCGTTGCTATTCGCGGGCCGGGGGGGAACGAGACACGCGTAACACGCCCCCCCCCCCCACGAAGCCTTGCCACCCCTTCCCCGTCGGTGTGCGGACGCGCTCGGTCCTGGGAGGCTCACCGTCTACGTAGGGTAGTTGTGTAGGTATGGATCTAGTCCTAGGTGGCCTTTTCCGCCTTCCCCTTCCTCCGCGAGCCGGTGGGAGGAGCTAGAGGCGAAGGGGAAAAAAAACACCCTCGCTGAAAAGAGGAGAGAGGGTGCCTGGATAGTAGTCGATACGCCTGTCGACCGCTCGTTATAGTAGTTGGGGGTGGCGGAGGGAGGGGGAATCACTAGCCTGACGAGCGAGCGATCTTCAGGGTCCCGGGTGGCTCCGTGCGCTCCCGCGTACGGGCCTATCCGGATCGCCGCCGGCCATACCCCTTTTCTCTCATCTGTCTCGTAGCTGTATTTGTGTTCGTGGTGGTGTGGGAGCATGCAATCCGACCGCGGAAAAACACGTCCGGTTGGGGCATGACGACATGAAGACGAGAAATGAAGAGTAGACGCTAACCCTGGCGGTCGGATGGTGCGTTCCTGAGATGACGTCGTTGGCATGGGAGGTACCTGGCCTCTTGCCACAGAGGTGCATATTGCATAAAGGAGTTTGGTGGGGGCAGGTTAACCTCTTGGGCGCACCATATATGCATCTGTCGCATCTGTCGCGACTGGAGCCTGCGATGATAGGCGCTACCTACCTAGGCAGACAGGCCCCCCTTCGCACTCAACACTAGGTTCTCACCAGCTCTCGGCGGGGTTCGCCAGCCTAATATTACCCGCCTCGCCGCCGGCTGACCTCGGCGACCTCTTGGGTAAAGCCCATGGCTCATGGGTCTGTCTGATTCAGGTTGAGGAGCTTAGTATACCTATCTACCTACGTCATCAGCTCCGACCAGCTCCCGCCGCGGACCACCTACCAGATCAGGCGTCATGTTTCTGGCGGTGCAGGATGGTGAAAGCGCCTGCGTCTCCTACGGCCGGGCCAGACGAGATCATTGGGCCCCCAAGGACGATCCCGCCCCTCGCCTCAACGAAATCGCCAGGGTGGATCGGTCAACCTACCCAATCTAGCGCGGTTCGCGTCTCGAGGACATGCCCAGGCCAAGTCCAAGCCAAGTCACGAGTCCGATGCTGTTTTCTCCCTGTTCTCCCCCCCTCGCTTCCCGTCCCCTTCCACACGGAAGGGCGAGAGAAGGAGAATAAGAGCTGCCCCGAGAAAGCCTATACCTAGAGGTAGTGTGCTGCGTTAGGTAGGCAACAAGTAGTAGGTGCCGCTGATTTAGGGGTCGGAGGCATGTAGGGTTCCATGCGCAGAGGGACAGCGAAGGCGCAGGTGGCGGAATCGACACCACCCCCCCTGATGGGGCACTGGAAGTTCGATGGTCGGGGAAAGTTGCGAGGGACCCTGCGGTTGGATCCTGACAGACAGACGGACAGACAGACAGACATGCCTGCATGCTTTCCCATAACTTAGCTCGCCTTGACCCGGCCCTCTCGCCTCCGTCGAGCAGCCCCCATCCCGGTGTGGAGGGGAGCGGTGATGGCGCACGTAGGTATATAGGTAGGTATTTATTACGTTAAGTTATGTAGGTAGGTACCTAGCCCCCAAAGGCAGCCTGTATGGCTACGGCACAGGTACATGCCCGGCAGAGTGGAACCTACCTACCTTAGGTACCTACCTACTTAATCGTCTCAACCTGCGCCAGTCAGAGGACGCAGCGCGAGATGGGACGGGGGAAGGTGGGGCTGAGATGGTGGGGTTGAGATGGACACCGTAAGAGATGACGTCACAGGTGCTGGGTGGAAATCGTGTGGTCTGGTTGGTTAGGGCATTGGATTCTTGGCCTCTTGGCCTGGGAGCCCCAAACCCCTTCCAAGTTGCCCGGCTCAGATTCGTCACCCTACGCTAATACCCCAACTGATCCCATCTGTATGCACCGTGATTCTTGTCGAGATCCCGTCTACGGACCTATCGATTACGCCTCCGGACAGGGCTCTGCGCGCCCTCGCGTGGATGCCTCTGCTACAGATGGAGATAAGCCACGGCTTGGCCGCCCTCAGACGTCGTAGCATTCCTGCTTGCATATGCATAGGCAGAGTGATCACCCCTGTGTCGAGAATCTTCAAGATCCGCCAGTATCTTTCTCGCCGTTCTCATGTTGGGGAGACCGAAGCTCGAAAGCCGCCAAGCCCCCGGGTTTGCTGGCGCGGTTAGCTCATGTCGTCGTCGACGACCGAGGCCATACACACACGCACACACACACGCAACACATTTTGGCCACTCGTCAGCAGAGTGACACGTCTCAATACGTCGTCTATATCGACTCGACCGGACCGCTTGTCGTCTGCAAGAAGATGCCGGAGCGACCGTGGCACAATATGTAATCGTGAAGGTGCACCGTGCGTTATGGGCACACCACGTCGTATTCGCTGGCTGGTTGTCGTTCCTAGTCGATACAAAGGTAGGTAGGAGGTAGGAGATGACAACCAACTCATCCGGGGCCGAACCTCGCGCGGGACCAGCCACCAATGCCGTCGGCCCACGACTGAGCATTTCCGACCGTGGCGCGCCTATTAAACGTCTGTCCCTTCTCGATTGCTCGAATCTTCTGCGCTTAGCAGCAGCGGACTGCGAGATGATCCAACCAGACACACGCGTGATATAACGACATATCGCACTGGCCAAAAATATTACCCAGGTTACCGAGTTTCTTGCGCGCGCCACAACCCAGCTGTAATTTTCCGACGTCCCTGCGGGTGCGGCCGCATTCCCTACCCCCTTTTCCGGTGAGAGATTCCAAGAACCGACTTGGATAAAGAAAATACGTAGGAGCTTCTGGCCGGCCTCGCCTTGTGCCACTCCGTCGGTTGGGTTTTCTTCCTCCCCACCAACCGATACGACAAGGGCCGATGGTTCGTGGATATATAGGATTCTTTCTAATGGTGGTAATGCGGAAAGGCAAGTAGGCAGGTAGGTAGGTGTGTGGATGGGGGAGTGCATGTACCTACCTATCCTGTTGATGCCGTATACGTACGTAGGTAGATCGACGCCCTCGCAATCGTTCGTTATCTCATCCCACGTGGTATCGGACTGTGATTCGCATGAGAATCCCCCGGTCAATCTAGGACGGCATTTCTGTCAATTCCCATCTGGCTTCCTACCGGTACGTTTCGAAGAGCGACGCCCGATAAAACCCATGGCCAGCAGAAGAGAAGGCCAATTGCACACCTCCCGCTAATCCTGTGAAAGGCTTTGTCCGACACTAGGTAGATACGGGACACCAAATACAGATGCACCTAACTTCCTACCTATTTGCACACGGATGTTCGCGGCATAAACTGCGCAATATCAATCCGCCTCAGGATATAATCATCTGGCCTGCGTCTCTCGCAGATGAGCACGGTAGCGCCGACAGCCGCGCCTAAGGCCGGTCGTGGGTTGGGAACAACACTGACCTTGTACCTATTCCCTTCCGCGCTGTGTCTGAGCGTATCCGAACTCCCCCCGCGCCGCATCATAACCACTACCTTAGGTGCTTATCAGGCACGAAGTGTATACTGACATGGAGGCGATCCTAACTACCTCTACCCTACCTAGGCCTAGCGGGTACCAGGCAGGTAAGTAGGAGTGTGGTGTTTACCGAAGGTAGGTGAAAGCACCATCTATATGTATGGACTCACCGGGGTTACCTACCTACTGCCTCCCGACCCTACCCTCAGATAGATTGCATTGGAATCGGGTTCCTAACGTCACAAGGACCCAATCGCCACGACGGGATCCAGGTAGGTGCGTAGGTATAGTTAGCTATATTACACCACATGATGCTGTCTGGAATGTTCGGGCGAGTTTCCGTGTCGACGTGGGCGAGGGAACGGGCACGGGCAAGAAGGTAGGTTTGGGCGAACGCGGCGGTGGAATGGCGGACACGCGTAGAGGTAGAGGTAGCGTAGCGTAGCACATCAGGGTATCGTAGCCTGGCCAGGCCAGGCCAGCTACCTGTCACATCAGATCGGGCTGGCCGCACATCGGGCTGTACTTACCTACCACCTAGGTACTACTAGTAACCTACATACCTATATCTAGGTAGGTACTTAAAAGTAGGTTAGGTACCTAATACGGAGTCGCATAGCTGCAACTGGGAAAAAACTCCACTTTTCGGTACGTACACCCTAGGGGTGTGGTAGGTAGAAAGGTACAGGTTGAATATTCAACTATACGTAGGGAAGGAGCTACCCTCTGGTTAGGTCGGCTAATAGGTAAGCTAGACTACCCCTTCGCGAGCTAGGTATTTTATATAGGTTTATATACAAACGATTTATCCTCGTAAAAAACCGAAGAAAAATCGGAAAAATCGGAAATTTACTTACGTAATTAATTAGCTTAATTAAATTAATATATAAGTTTTTTAGATTTTTTGCTTAGTAATATAAGAAATCATTTACGATTTAAAGTTTTCTAAAACTATATTAATAATTCGCTATATAATATAGTGGTATGGTAAGATATACCCTCTTAATATATTACGTAATACGTTACGATAGGCCTTATGCTTATATAGAGTAACTATAGCTCCCGTAAGTACGGGATATATTATGCTTATTATTTAGTTTATTACTTAACTAGATTACTATCTTTATTATTTTTACCTTAATTAAAGATTCGTTTTTATTATTAGATTCGTCGTTTTCCGATTAGTATATTTATTTTAGTTATAGGCGCTTAAGTCGCTTCGTCGTACCGCTATAGCCGAATAAGTAACTTTTACGTTTTACTTCTTTTCTTTCCTTACCTTTTATGCCTTCGGGCTAGCGATTATTATATCTTTACGATTAAAGGGCATAGCTAAGATACGATAATTATATTAAATTCCTTACCTCTCGATTAGTATAGCGATATTAGTTTTATTTATCTTAGATTATCGTACGTACTATAGTCTTCGATAAAGTATACTTTCGAATAAACCTATCCGGGTCTTTAATATCGCGTACGCTTTATTCTTTCTTAATAGCGACTACCCTATAACTTTTTCGACCCTTTAACCTTTAGTCTTAGGAGTTTTTATTACGTTATTAGGATTTAAAGGATACCGATCGCCGTCGGCGCCGCCATTTAACCCGCGAAGTAGTCCGCGTTTTACGTTAAATAAAATATTCCGCTTTATGGTTATTTATTTACTATAGGGAGGTACGTATAAGCCCGGGAACTTTTATAACGATATTATTATTACTAGGATAATACCTAGCCCTTAATACTTATAACGCTAATAAGCTATCGATATTATAATATAATACGACGATTAAACCGTGTTTATACCGATTAAGATATCCCTCGTATGGTTATTTATTTATTATACGGAGGAACCCGTAAAACCCGGGAGAACTTTCGTCGTAATACTACCGCTACTAGGAATAATACTTAGCCTTCGATACTAACCGCTTCCTCGAACCGCTAGTAGTATAGTATATCTTACGCGAATAAATAACGCTTTTAACGATTAGGGTAGCCCCTTTATAATTACCTACCTACTATATAAAGAACGTACGAGCGCCTTAATATAAATTACGATAACTTATATAACCCGTTACTTCCTTATTAATACTAAGAGCGGATAAAGGCTAATAATAATTATACCTTAACCGACCTTACGATAGCTTTTTTTTCCCTCTAAACCTATTAATCGATATAAATTAAATATATAAATACTAATAACTTATTATATTAAAGGTATTTTAAGATACCTAGGCGTAGCGATTTAACGATATAATATACGATATAATATAAATATTTATATTAATAATATAAATAAGAATTAATAAATTAATAGCTACTAGTAACCGATAGTTTTAAAGAAAACTAGGAATTAATATTAATAGGACTACGTAGATATAAAGGATTAGGGAAACGGAATTAAAGTCGAGCTAATAGGTATACCTATATATAGGCTAGCCTTATATTATTAATTAATAACTAATATAGCGAGAAGTATTAATATAGGCGTAAAACGATACCTAGCGGTAATACCGCTAATACTATTAAATAGCCTTCGTTAAGTCGAGACCGGCCTATGGCTATAACCGGTATCGTATTTAACGCGATTCTTTACTCGGGATCTATCCTTTATACGTATTACCTTAACGAAGGTTATACGTTAGAAGTTCTAAACCTTAATAAAAGGAATTATCGTCGATTTATTTATAATAATTAAACTATTAGTTTAAGGAATACGTATCGTACTTTAATTAGGCGTTAGCCGATTAAAGAAGCTCGTATAATACCCGGACCTTATCGATCGGGATAGTATAATAGATAATAATATACCTATACTAAAGGAAAAGTATTAGGATATAGATAATAATTATTATACCTTTATCCTTATGTTAGATAATAAGACCCTTACTATTCCTCTTTTTACTTTATACCTCGTACCGTTAGATTAAACGGAGTCTATAGCTAGGAAACGGAATAAATCGTTATTAGGACCCGAAGTAATAAAGACTAAACCATTAGTAAAAACCTTAAGAATCGATACTAGCTTTCCGCCTTTATATCCGCCCGAAGAGGAGGAGAACGACGATAAAACTCCTACTTAACTACCTCTTATCCGCGGCTTTATACTTATTCCGTTAATTCCTATGGCATTATTTTAAAATAATAATAACGGGGCCTCTAGTAGCTAAAATATACCGGTAGTTATCCCGATTATCGTAATATTAACTATTAGGTTTCCTAACCCTACCGATTACCCTAGATTTAAGTTTAATAAATATAATATAACCTAGTAACTAAAGAAGGTAGATCGATTATTTAACCGTTACCGTATAAGCGACGACGATAAAATTAAGGAGATCGGCGAATGGATTACGATTAAAACCATTAGGAAGCGTATTAACGACGTTACGAAGGATTAAACGATTTAAAGAGTTATCGTTATAGCCCTAAAGTACCGTTTTAGGATTACCGATAAACTAAGTTAAGCTAACGTTAAACGTAAACTCGTATAACTAAAACGAGGTAACGTAATTAACGATCTTAAGGCGATCTTTACGTATTTTATAAACTATAAACGTCTTTTTAAGCTCGTAAACGATAACGGAAAGCTTTCCTAGAAAGTAGGATACCTAATCGATAGATTCCGGATATCCCTAATTATAAAGTTCTATAAAACGGAAGATTACGATTATAATAAGATCGGAAATATCGACTACCGGATTCTTTATACCTAGCTTTATAAGTAAGCGGAACGTCGTATAATAATATAAATTACCGATAGAACCTAAGCCGAAGAACGACGATAGTAGAAAACGGTAACTTTCGAAGAACCCGAGAAGCCTATAATATAAATAATTTAACGATTAACGACTCTTAGCCTTTAAATACCTTTACTACCGCCTTTTTCGTAGTTTAAACCTTTTTACGGCTACCTAAGTACTAGTTAGGAAGTTAGTATATAAGCCCTTTACGACCGACTTAACGCTTTAGAAATAAAAATAACTTCGTAAAACTACCGTTAGGATAGTAACTCTTATGGCCCTAGGGATACGTATAACGCCGATTAATAATATTAATAGGAAAACCCGTTCCTAGTAAACGCGGTTCGGAACCTAAGTCTTTATAACCTATAAACTAACGGAAGGACCTTAATAGGCTCTAAACGTAATATTATACTAGACTACCGAGGTATACGTAATAAGATTTTATTAACCTAAACGAATAACTATAGGGAATTCGAATGCTAGTTTTATAATACTTTCGATCGGTTTTATAACTATAGCCGCTACTTATTATTAATGGATATAACCTAGAATCGGTTCTATTATAGGAGTAGTAAGCGATTATACTACCTCGAGAACGGAAACCCGGATAAGCTAGAGTTAATATTAATCTTAAGATCGATTATTACCTAAGCTAAGCGTAAAGAAGAACCGATCGCTTATTATATCTTATTTTACGTATATTAAAGTAAGGAATCTTTAGAATAGGTACGTAGGATGGTATATTACTACTTAGCCGAGAAGCTAAAGCTTATATCCCTCGACTTACGATACTTTAAGAACGAGGAAGTAGTACTAAAGTAGGAAGAGATATTAAGAGCTATATCGGAGATTAACGTTATTTAAATAATCGAACGTAAATATAATTACGAACTATACGAGATTAAGATCTTAGGTTATAGTTAGATTAAGGGTCTTATCGACGACGAAGGTATTTATTATTATAAGGGTATTATTAAAACGGACTTAGTCGAAGTTAACGTAGTTAAGCGAACTAGAGGCCTTAACGGCGAGTATATCGAAAGAGAAGTACCCGATTAAGAGGATATAGAAGTCCTATCGTTATAACTTAAGCGTAAACCGACTAAAGCCGGTAAAA